CGGGATAACGAGGGCAGCCTAGGAGACTAAAAGCTTATCTTCGCCTACGAAGACGGGCTCTGCGCCCTGTATTTAGAGCCGATCTTCCGTAGAGACCTTTTGAACCGCCTATACAAGGAATTTGGTCATCTTGGCTATCCCGGCCTAATAGGTATGCTCCGTCCGCGAGCGTGGTAGCCCTAACTACGGTATAATATTGAAGATCTAGCACGTTCGTACCCGAATTGCTAAATTTTGTAGGGTTCGCGCACGAACCTAGAGAGGGAACTAGCCTAATATATAGTTACGGCCGGTATCCGCCCTTTCTAGCGATAGGGAATTAACCTAATCGGACTATTACCAAAGACGCCGAATGGTAATAAGTGGATAGTCACTATAATTGACTATACTACCGGCTAGCCGGTCGCGAAAGCCCTCTAGGAAGTAACCGAGGAAGAATTAGGTTAATTCTTGCACGATCAGATCTTCGCAAATTATAGAGCCCTAATAGAACTACTCTCAGATAACGGCCTGAACCTTCTATCTAGGGCTATCCGGTTCTATCTATAGCTTATAAGGACGAAGCACCGTATAACAACACTATATCACCCGCGAACGAACGGGAAAGTTGAGAATTTGAATAGACTACTAGGCCGAATGCTCACGAAATACCTCATAGGGAAACCGACTAGAGCGTAGGATCTCTACCTTACGTAAGCGATAGTTACTATAAGGTTCTATAAGCATACTATAATAGGCTATAGCCCGTTTTACCTTGTGTATAGAATCTAACTACGCCTTCTAGGAGACGAATTGTCCACGAAAGTATTACCCTTCTACGAGAGAACTGAAGAGCTCTAGAATATAGCGGATGCTCGGACGAAAGCAAATAAGCTTTTGCTCGCGAGAGCGATTCGAACGAAGCGTATCCGTGATAGTACGGTCACGAAAACGAGCTTTAAAAAGGGCGATTAGATATTAGTTCGAAACGAAAGTGGGAAGAAGTTCGAGAGTAAGTAGTTCGGGCCCTATAGGGTCCTATCTTCCTATCTACTCGGAATATATACTCTCAAGGAGCCGTCTAGCCGCGTGCTTAGGAATCTTATTAACGGATCCCGGCTATTAGAAGCAAATATAGCTAATCTAACGAAGCTATAGGCGTCTTCGGCCGCGAAAGCTACCCTCTAGAGGGTAGGCCTACGCCTGCGAAGACCGGAAGAAGTACGGAAGGTACTCGAGGATAAGACTAGTATCCCCGATTACTCGGAGTTGTCTACGTTCACTCGAGAAGAATAGGCCGACTTTAGGCGTAACGGTGCGCGCTACGAGCTAGTAGGGGAGGAAGCGATCGCTGATCGTGTCATCGCTAAGAGAATCGCAAGAAATCGAGCTAAGCGAAGGCGAAAGGACACAGCTGTAAAGAGAGACGCAGAGGATTCGGTAATAGGCCTGTCCGAAAGTTCTTATGAAGAATCTAATTAGGATAACGGAGCTAAAGAAGACGTTCCTCAGCAAGGTATAAAAGGGCCGCGGGACGCCAACGCCTATAAAAGCATACTATTTAACGGGCTACTAGCCGTTGTGGTCCCCTTAGGAAGGTCTACGACTACGAAGAAGTCTACGAATTAATCTACTAGGAAGAAGATAGTCACGAAAGGTTATATTTCTACGGCCTATAGACTAGATAAGCAAGGACGGGAAAATATATCCGTCAGGGCCTCTTAGGCCAAAACAAACGAACAAGGACGGGCGATAGATACTCCGTTAGGGCCTTTTAGCCACCACTAGGAGAGAACGGACCTTATCTACTAGTATATACCGTAGAAAGGGTTGTCGGAGTCCTCCTTCTCTACTTCCTCTTCCGACTTATCCGGAAGCTCGCTATTATCACGAGTATATACGTACAGCGACTAGTAGTTAGCTATAACGCGAGCAGCAGTCTCCGGCAGGACGCTAAGGGCCTTACGGATAACGTCCTAATCGGTCTTCTTCTTGCCGAAACGCTTATTATCTAGAGGAGAAGCGTACTACTCGTTAGAATAGCGGCCGACAGAAGCGTCGACTAAGGGGAATTCGACCTTATCCGGTCCGACAGCCTCCTCTTCCTTCTCCTCCTTCTCTTCCTCCTCTTTAACTACGATAGCCTTCTGCGTCTTAGCCTTCTTAGCCGATCGGGCAAGGGTACTAACTGTAGGGGAGCTAGAGGGAGCGCTAGGAGCCTAACGTTTACCTAAATAGGGGGTATTAGCCTTAGTTAGCTTGCGGAGGAACGGATAGTTAGGATTCTGCTCGGTAAGCTCCGAACGGATCTACTCGGGTAATAGGTCGGCCTCGGAACCTACGTTAACGACTAGGGTTAGTAAAAGCGGGTAGAAGGATTAGGATTGAAGGATACTTACGGAAGGAATAGCCTTTGCCGCCTGCGTTAAAGGAGTAGTTAGCGTAAGCGCCCGAAAACTATAGCTCTCCGTCTAAGACGAGGACGCGACAGGTTGCAAATAGACCGAAGCCCTTGCTGTAGGATACGCACGCGTAGCTATCAGGAGCAACAGAACCGACCCGCTAGACCTGAGTAGCCCGAAGCTGGCCTGTACCCTTATAATCCTTAGCCTTGTTACCACGCTAGTCTACGTCCGTGATAGGAAGCAAAGATGCTAGTCGACGGTCCCGTTCGGTTGTGAAACGGTCTATTAGGGGGTTGCTATGAGGGTCTAGGTTAACCTTTGCGGTTACGGTAGGGCTACTAAGAGAGGTTTAGGCTAGGTGTTGAGCGTTCTAGTCTATAGTAGGCGAAAGAGGGACGAAAAGCTCGTTATCGGGGTCTACTATAGTTAGCATTAGTATACCTACTTTATTAAATCTCGACCGATTTCATCAAAAACAACGCGCTAGGAAACTTACTTATAGGCGGAAGGATAGAATTAGAGGTTCTAGGGTATAACAGGGAGCTTTTGCGCCTAGAAGGGGATAAAAATGCGCTATAGGCTGATGGAACAGGCCGACAGGGAGAGGTTAGAGATGGCGAAGGGGAGAAGTGAGAAGTAGTAGGCAGAAGGGGGGATTTTATACCCGCTGCGACTAGGCTCTAAGGAAACTGCCGTTTTAGGCTTTGTTGAAGCTATTCGGAAAGTTCTACCTCGGGCTTTCAGCCCTGCAGGTCATAGGTTCGAACCCTACTGCAAGCAATCAGCCGTACTCTTTTCTTATTCTTTCTTTATGTTTCCGCTTATAGATACGTGCGTACGGCTCCTCTGCGATGTATACCTAACGGGTGGCTACATTCGCAAGCTACCGGGCCCTTCAGGGTAAGGGAAAAGCTCGTGGGCGAGCTTCCGTCTGGTAGGGGAGGATGTGATCCTGACGGCCACGTGTAGCCTGATTACATCATCCGTACGGCCCGGGCACCCAGAATTCTGCCGGTATCTACCGGATTACACTCATTTAGACCCATTTCCTTACGAATATAACAAAACATGCTCTACCAAGATCACAAATATATAGTATAGACGGGCGGTAATTAGCATAGGTAAACGTCTCTCTATCCGAAGAACTATTAGCGAGAGAAATATAATTAGATTAGTATTACACTTACTTTCACTTATTAGATAAGTTCATTATTTAAAGGGCATCGGTATAGGGAGCCTTGTTTATCTATGTTTATTAAGATAAGGCAGCATTAGTCAGACTTAAGCTCCTAGGAGCCTATGATAATTTCTCGCCCGAACAGACAGATTATTTTGATTCAGCTATCTTGAAGATATAATATTATAACGCTCCTAGGAGCAAGTGTTTAGTCATACGAATAGCGGGTCTTACTTCCGTTTATTGCTACCTAATCTAGCAAGAATAGTATAGCATCAAAACTATAAAAGGTCTTTATCTTAGTAGTAGGTAATCATAGAAGGGTATATGAATTTTTATAGAGAGATCTGAAAGTATCTAATCAAAATCAAAGAAAATACGAAGTTCGTCTAGAAAATCCAAAATTGCCTCCAGATTTCCCCAAATATAGCCAAGGTATCGCACGAAGAATACCCTAGGAACATTAGATCTACAATAATTATAATCAGCCAATTAAACGATTTTCACTAAATACATCCTGTTTACTATAGCAAGGATCGCCAAGGTAGTAGCAAATTTACGATGCCTGCTCTTTGACTGAAAGGGAAAAGCTGTACAAGGGGTCGGGCTAGCTCGTTGCGTTTTATTGAGCCTGCCTCCGTACTCAGATCGCCTCTCGGGAGGAGATTAGTAAGCAAATCTGGGATTGCTCAGGTCAGGCTCAGTGATCAGATCAGGGAGGCTATGGTCAGGCTCAGTGAGCAAATCAGGATGCTCGGATAGGGCTCAGTGAGCAGGTCACCCTGATTACGTAATGATCACTAAGCAGCTTAGGCTGATCAGGGGCGTGCTCAATTCTACTCAGTGAGCAAAAGCGGCGAGGGGGTAAGCACTAGAACGGAAGGAGACCGCCAAGCGTTGCCAGACATTTTCCGGTATATATGTATCTGGGAGCACATGGGTCTCGAGTTATCACGTGATCTAAACACTCCCGATTTCCGCACGGAGAGAAGAGGTTCACAAGGCGCTCAACTAGTTCATCCTCGGCTTTGAATCCAATGTCACCTCACGACGTGTTGTAGACAGTATAAGCCAATCCTGTTTAACCATCCGACCCCGTGTATCATGTAAAGTCCGACTATTACTGTATGACTCGACTTCCCCCACAAAAGCGGGACTGAAATCCTTATCGGAGCTGTTATCAACTTGCTGGTCCTATCTGGCTTGCCTTTCTCCAACTTCTTTTTTTTTGATATTTGAATATTTTATACTCTTGTACATCGCATCACGACAGCGCGCATTCTAGAAGCTAGAGGTAAGATTGAAAAAAAAATGCAGACAGTATAACTGGTCCAGTTCAGTCATTTATTACCAGTTTACTGCCACCCTTCCCAACCAGCCCACTTACCACCATCTGAATGAACATAGCTAACCATGACTCAGGAAAGAATACATACACAATGCCATTCTCCCACCACAGCCACTCGGGCCAATTCTGCCCAGGCCATGCCAAAGACTCCCTCGAGGAAGTCATCCAGACCGCCATCAGCAAAAAGATGCAAGTCTTCTGTCTGACAGAGCACATGCCCCGCCAAACGGTGGACTTTTACCCTGAAGAGGTACCCTCCAGCACCACCCTCTCTCCCTCAACCAATCTCCTCCCTTTATATTCACATCACCCGCTAACAAAAAAACCCCAGATCGAAGCCGGCCAAACAGAAGCCTGGCATTCCACCAACGAAGAAGCCTACTTCACCGAAGCCCTCCGCCTACGCGCCAAATACGCCTCCCAAATCTCCATCCTCATCGGCTTCGAATGCGACTGGATCCGCCCTTCATCCGAGTCCCTAATCACCCGCTCCCTCACCCGCTTCCCCTTCGAATTCTTCGTCGGCTCCGTGCACCACATGCACACCATCCCCATCGACTACGACCACGATATGTACAGACGCGCGCGCGATATCGCCGGCGGCACCGACGAGCGCCTCTTCGAGGATTACTTTGATGCGCAGCTGGATATGCTGAAGGCATTGAAGCCGCCCGTCGTTGGGCACTTTGATCTTATCCGGTTGAAGAGTGATGATCCGGAGCGGAGTTTCAAGGTGTGGCCTGGTGTTTGGGAGCGGGTGCTGAGGAACTTGAAGTTTGTGGTTGGGTATGGTGGGTTGGTGGAGGTTAATGGGGCTGCGTTGAGGAAGGGGATGAGTGAGCCTTATCCCAAGGGTGAGATTTGCAAGGTATGTATCAGACTTGGGTGTCTGGGTTGTGTGTTTTGTGGAGATACTGATTGAGATTTTCTTTTTTTTTTTCTAGGAGCTTTTGGCCCTTGGTGGACGGTTCTGTTTGTCGGATGATAGCCATGGTGTTGATCAGGTTAGTTTGAATTTCCACCGGGTGTTGGAGTTTTTGGATGGCGTGGGTCTGAAGTCGTTGCATTATTTGTCGCTGGTTGGAGAGGAGGGAGGGGATGTGATGCCTGCGCCGGATGAGCGGTTCTCTCGGACGAGGATTGCTGCTGTTTCTATGGAGGAGGTTAAAGAGATGGCTTTTTGGAAGGCGTGAGGATTCTTGATGATGAGAATGCAGCATATCTTCCGGGAGATAGAAATATTTGGGGAGCGATATGCTCCCTCCACGGAGTATATAAAATGCATTTAAGAGTACCTACTGGAGAATTGAGTGACCTCCTTGTAGCTAGCAGTGATAGACCACCTAGTCATCGTAGCATTCAATGGTTTAGGGTAGATCTATAGGGTGCTAAAAGGCTTCCCAATTGTGGCTTCGACTTGCCTATTCGCGACCACTAAATAATACCTACAGTAGGTAGGGTATCTAACTATCATCTAGCACTTCGTAACATATCAATTAGCGCGAGACTGACCTACCCCCGTGTCTTCTCCGAGTCCATCTCCATCCCCGTCCATTTGGGAGGCTCGGGAAAACGCGGCTTAACCGCGGGGTTATTTGCCACGTTCCCAACTTCAGGACGAGACCAGGCTGGTCAATTGTGGAGCAGAAGTGACAAATAGTGAGCTAGACTATACTCGATACTACGGCCTCGTTCATGGCGAGCTCTATCAATCCAAAAGTAACGAGCTCTAAGTTCGTGGGCATTCCACTCAACCAACTGTATTCCGCCACGACGACCACATACAAAACCCTGAAGGAATGACCACAGTAATCATACTACCTACTTCTGGGATAGATCTTATAGGTATTTAAGCATGACCTGTCATCATTCAGCTAGCCAAATATATTCTCTCTGAAACTCCAATTCGAGTAACTTTTCTCCAGGGTCTACAGGCCAGTACTGGAACTTACTGTAGTTAGCCCCTCATTCCTGGCCCTCCGGAGCTCTGCCATCCACCGGAAGGCGTCATCCAACGAGCTGTGGAGAACAACCCCCCCCTGTCCGTGTAGAGTTCATTGGGTCTGACATACCGTAATAATCCGATTAGATAGTTGACTCTGACTGGTCCAGGGAAAAAGACTATGGTTCACACTGGTCAGTAGTAGTTCCAGTAGTTCCAGCAGGAGCAGTCCATTACGTCGCGGCGCCTCCGAAACCAAAACCAAAACCAAACCCCCCACTTGGAGAAGTGGAACCCAACTTTGCTTGCCCCTCGTTTTTTTTTAAAGCTTCCCTTCTTCTCCTCTTCCATCTCTCCCTTCAAACCCACCTCCTCATTAAGCCGATCTTTTCCTACTACCCTCTCTTTCAATTCAATCGCTATCCTTTCACAATGGGCGTTGAGAAGACTACTCTGAGCCAGGGCAACGGCGTTGACTTCCCCAAGAAGGGAGACAACGTTGCCATGCACTACACTGGCTGCTTGTACGACGCCAGCGCTGCTGCTAACTACTACATGGGCCAGAAGTGAGTAGCTTTCCACCTTGGGTGTGGTAATTTTTGCTAGCAAGGAAAGTTCTGTACTGACCACTCTGCAAATGATCAGGTTCGACAGCTCTCGGGACCGCGGCTCCCCTCTGTCCAGCCCTATTGGCGTTGGCCGTCTCATCAAGGGTACGTGCATGCAGTTCTGGCTGCACGAGATGATTTACGTGGATGATCCATGATGATCTCTAGCGCGCGTGGTCCTACTTTTGTGGCACTGCTGACTCAATTGTGTTTGATAGGTTGGGACGAGGGTGTTCCCCAGATGAGCCTTGGCGAGAAGGCTATCCTCGACATCAGCTCGTGAGTATTCTCCAAGCTTCACGTGTCTCCCATCAATGATTCGAAGAACCGCATGCTAATACACGTTTCCTTGACAGTGACTTTGGTTACGGACCCAAGTATGTGATAATGCCCACTCCTTGTACTCTGCATGGCAGCTAGCCTCTATACACCCCACGCGGTCACAAACACCACCAACCAAGATACTAACATTGGTCTTCTTCCAGCGGCTTCCCCGGCCTGATCCCCCCCAACTCCCGTCTGGTCTTGTAAGTTCCGGGTTCTCGCATTTCTTTCCGCCTTCCTCGAACTATTGACACTGACTGTCTGTCTCTCTAGCGAGGTCGAGCTCGTCAAGATCAACAACAAGTCTGCTTAGACTCCTTCATTCCACAAGCATGAGTCTTTCCTTGTTTTCTTTTTTTTGTCTACGCCTTGGAATCACCTCCCCGCGTCTCCAATCCTGGGCTACGGTCTAGAAAACGGAATGAAGCGGATTAGAACACAAAAGAAATACAAAGTTCGGTGGACACGCTCCGGCCATGATTCCCTACATATTGAAGGGGAATTCATTGAGCCATGGAGTCGCTTGCTTTGCCAGTCATCCCTCCCTCGTAGCTTAATATCCCTCGTAGAAACACCCTCTACGCCAAACCAGAACGGTACTCTATAGTATATTCATCGCTTCTACTTCTCTTCTATCTATCACCGTCCACCCCCCAAAACCTGTCAACTCTATATCTATACAACAGCATAACTAACTCGGCTATTCCCCTTACTCCTCGAAATCTTCTTCACAACCGTGCCCCCACACAAATCAGTCGTATCAACATGCGTCCCCCCACAAGGATAAACCTCCGCCCCAACGATCCTCACAACCCGAAACTTCTCCTGCCCAGGCCCCAACAACCCCCGATCGGGAAGAAGATGCGGCACCCCCTCGCGAACAAAATCCTCCTCCGCCCAAAACTCAACTTCCACCGGCATCCCCCGCGCAACGTACTCGTTCACGCGGGTCTGGATGGCATCTTTGTGCTCGCCGCCGATGCTGCCGCGGAACTCGCAGGATGCGCTGTCGGGGAAGTGCGAGGCTTTGAGTTCGTCGAAGTTCGGGATCGAGGATTCGAGGAGGTGGCGTACTGCAGAGCCGAGGACGTGGCCGGCCGTGTGGAGGCGGGAGTAGAGGAGGCGTTTTTCGGCGTCGATGGCTTGGAGGATGGTTGTTGTCGGGGTTAGCGAGTCGAGGGGTGTGACTGTGGTGGTGTTTGTTACGGCGCGGACGAGGTGGAGGACTTGGCCGTTGTTGGTAGCGTCCATGCGTGCGGCGAGGACTTGGAGAAGTGCATTTTGGGGATTGTTGGTGCTGATGCTGGTTGTGTCTGTGCCTGCGGGGAAAATGTAGCCTTCGTCGGAGGGTTGGCCGCCTCCTTGGGGGTGGAAGATGGTGTCTTTTGTCACGAGGATGAAGTCATTGTCGCCGGGGGATTTGAAGAGGGCTTTGTTGGCTTCTTCGAGGGTGGAGAATGGTTGGATGGATTGGATGGTTGTTTCGAGGTGGAGGAGTTTGGCGTCGTGTTGGTAGGCGAGATACGTGGGGTTGGGTGTTGGAGGAAGCATTGCAGATTAAACGGAGGTAGATTTTAAGAGTTGACGCATGCAATTCACTGCACAAAAGGAGAAATAAGGATAGGAATGGAGTTTGTGTCTTTATCAGTGTGTCGCAAGGGATTTAACCGGATTACTTAAAGGAACAGAGTCTGAAGTAATCTTGAAATGAGTCCCGCACGCCCTGCTAAGTACAACCCCCGCAGCCAGCCAATGACAGTCTGACAAAAAATGGATCAAGATAGCAAGAAAATACTAGATCAAAGTACATCATTCTAGATGAGTGTGCATTATTATTAATACGTCTGCATGTCAATGGCAGGGCGGCTTTATTAACTAATAACTTATCTGACACACTGCACGGAAATAGCGAGGACCTCATGTATACACTTCCCTAGAGGCTAACGGAAAACCAGTACAGAAGGATTCCATAAGCTCGAGACCCCGAAATAAGTTCAAAACCGTCCCATCAGTCATGCTAAAAGACTAGGTGAGCAGGAATACCGAAACTTTCGAAAGAGAGAAAGTTGAATCGTATTTAATTGGACTCTTTTCTCGGTCTTTAGATTCAGAATTTTTGAACTAACAGTGTACTAAAGCGAAGCTAAAACAGCAATCGTTGTCGAACCCATGTAGTCTTTCCAAAAACCTGTTGGAGTATGCAATTTGCCAATCCTTCCCCCAAGGCTGCCTTATCGCGCAATACTATTGATATAGCCCATTCCCGACCCCCGATAAGTATCAGCTTCCACATAGCCTTCATTTCGAGGAAGCCGGAAGACAAAGTTTGTAGCTTTGGACGAATAGCGGGGCCATTGAGGGATATGTGGTACTACGTATCATCTTGTTAGTGCAATTGGCAAAAAGAGAAAACACCGGCATTTTCATTATGCAGACCACGAAAACAAGTATAAGGAAACTCACCTCCATGCCCGTTCGGATCCAAATCAGTTACAAAAGACGTCCACATGCGAGCTGCCATTTTTCCAAGTTCCAGTCGCGCAGGGTCAGATCCTAACTCTGTGATGTTCTGGACTGGATTTGCGAAGACGAAAGGAATCTATACATTGCCAAGGGGGTCAGTCAGCAATTGTCTTCTTGAGTGTTCCTGTAAGGAAGGGCACGGGTGTCTCCTACCTCCGCAAAATGTTGAACTCCAATCGTCGTCGAAGTATTCAGCGCTGCAACATCCCATCGATACGAATAAACATGATCTTCAAAACGAGACATGGCCTGTGCTAGCATACGGCGGGGCGCTACCATGGTGATATCACCAGCCATGGATTCGTAGCGTTTATATTGTAGTCCATTTTTTGGCCAGGTTACATTGCCCCAGCCGTAGGGACAGCCGAGGAACGGGATGTTGGGGTAATATGCGAGCAGCTTGGTGGCTTCGTCGCGGGTGAGAACCCAGCGTTTGGACGCTGTGGAGCAGGGGGAGTTAATTTTTCCAACGAAGAGAGCGTGGGAGATTAAAAGATACTTACAGATTAACTGGGCAATGCAATCTTCATCTGTATTCGTGCCTGTTGTCCCGAAACTCGTTCCCTCATCTGTGTTCGTGCCCAGCAGGATGGGGACTTTGGCGAATTTGCCTTCGTGATAGCTTATCCGCGGATACTGTGAGATGAAGATGTTGTCTATTGTGGCGAACCATTCTAGTCCCTCGTAGGCGTTGTTATAGAAAGTCTCGTATGGTAGGTCGCGGAGACATTGGAGGGTGTTTGTTGAGTTGGTACATCTAGCTGGAATCAGATTCTGTGCTGAGAATTTTGGGTGATACTGAATCTACTTACCCTGTTCTCTGGACAATTCGATTGTACATGGGCTGGTGCCATTCTGTGCCGTTGTAAGGTGGGCCTACTGCATTGCCAGACTCCATGATTGCTAGACCCAATGTCAGACTTCTAGTTGCGTGGAAGGGGAGAACTAGCCATACCAGCTCTAAAAAGACCCTCGTTATCGCCGTTGTTGGTGACAAGGTGTGCTCCCACGCTATAAGCTCCCCTGTATACCCAGCGATATTAACACCCAAAGAGTTCCTGCATAATTTCACTGGTCGCCGATACTCACGCAGACTCTCCCCAAATAGTGATTCGATCCGGGTCCCCACCGAAAGCCTTAATATACTTCTTCACCCAGTGCATAGCAGTACGCTGATCTCGAAGGGCGAGATTGGTATTTCCCTCAGCCTATCCCATTGTCAGACATCTTTCAAATCCATCAGAGTAGTATATCTCACATACCCTCACTTCCTCCGAGTCCAAGAATCCAAAAGCCGACAAACGATAATTGATCGAGACACCCAGCACAGGCTTGCCATTCAACGCACTCTGCTGGACAACGTAGCTCATATTATACCTGCCCACCCGCAAAACTTATATCAATGTGCCAATTCCCCATTCAAACATATTCCAGAGGTCAACTTACCTAGGATCCGCAGTAGCGCCCTGCGACCACCCACCACCAAAAATCCACAACATAACCGGCAAGGACCCTCCGGCATTCTGGGGCCTGATCACATTCAGATTCAGACAGTCCTCATTCAACCGAATCAATCCCATATTCACTAAATTAGTGGTATCGGACCCGTACCCCGGACAGTCATATCCATACTCAGTGGCATTGTAATAAACAGCGTTGGAATGAGACGACAACCCTGCCGCGGCGAGATCATAGACACCGGAATTACTATCGCTCGATGCGTAATGCAACTTCAATTCTGCGGGCGTGAAGCGAATCGGTTCATCGGCATATTTGATGCCTAGGAATAAGTCCTGGTCGAATTCGGGGAGTGTACGGCCCACGAATACTGTTTTGGTGTTGCCATTGCTTGGGCTGAGTGTGGCTGTTGGCGAGTGAGATGAGGATTCTATTTCTCTTTGGGATAATGGGGTTGAGTATACCGCTGTGGCTAGTGTTAGCCACACAGTTGAGCGGAGCATCATAGTAGTTTGTGGACAACCGGTTCCTTCGACTTTGAAGCCTGAGTATGATGCAGTTGAGACACGAGACAAGGTTATGCTACGATGGGCTCGCGATGCAGTGCCAAGGATAAATATGCCCCTCTGCTAGCAAGACCTGAAAGCGGAGGAATTCTACAACTGAGCAGTAGGCATGCCAAGGCAGAGACAATATTGTAGATCATCTCCTTTCCCCATAACCCCTCAATTGGGGTCTCATCATACCTAGACAATAGGCTAGATGACAAGGAACCCAATAAACCCCAACTCGAACCGGGGAAATTATTTACGAGAGAGGGTTGCGAAACTACATTTAGCCTCTGTTAGGGTTCTCATACGCTGAGCTGTGGAGATGGACACGCCCATAGGTGGGAAAATAAAGCTGGGGTAATTCCGGGGGAAATGGCGGGGGTTGTCAATCTCGACGGACTAGTACTGTAGACTGAAAAATGGGGTCAAGATGCTCCAAATGGAATCTTAGGGCCGAGATGGTTAGAATTTCTTATTGAGATGTGTTTTTCTAAGGGGCGCTGTGTTTAGATGTGGGTCGTACTGTAATCCCGTCAGATACCACAAAGTGTGGCATTAGTTGGATGGTTGCATGCTGTCAGTTGGCAATATTGGTGAGATCAGCTGGCACTCTCAGAGCGAGTCAATTAGACAGCGGTACAATAAGGCCTTGATTACACGAAGCTACCATGCATGAAATTCAATTCTTGCAGGACCCTGACAGCTTGAGGTGACAAGTTGAATTCACCCAACATACGGAAGTTGTTCACAAGAAATACGAGAAATGCATAGGTATACTCCGGTATAGTTCTATTTTATCATCTGATTGAACCCAATGCCAATTTCAATAGCCATGTGGGTAATGAGCTCCTCCACTTCTGTTCTGCCATGCACGTTGATCAAGAATCGGCGCTGCTATTACCAGGCCCAGCAAGAGGAAGAACACGTTTGTGTGAATGAGAAGAGAAAAAACACCAATCCGCTCATGAGAGAAGAGAAAGAGAGAGATTTGGACACAGAAAAGTCGGAACAAAAGACACAAATGAAAGAGAATGCTCATCACACAGACGCTCTATTATGTACGGTACCTCTTGCAGACTCCGCCAATTACACGCATCAGTCGTCCTTTGCTCGATCGCCGTATGCATTCGAGCCCGATCCAAGGTTCGTCGCGCGAGACCTGCTCGTCGCGGACGCCGAAGTCCCTGCAACTCGATATGAAGAAGAGGTAGAGCTTGTGCCCTGCGCTTCTCTCCGGGAGGGACCTAGAACACTGGGCGATTGTCGACCTTCAAAAGTATCATCCAACTCAATCAGATCGCCTAATCCCCAGAGCCCACGGCCACGGCTAGTAGCCTGTTGGTTGGGAGACCCTTGTTGAAGCTCGCTGATTCCGGCCTTGGTGCGGGTCGCGACCTTGCGGATCCATCCCTCGACAGCCCCACCAATGTTCTCCAGACCCGTTGACGCATTGGACGTTGCCGTGGACTCCGATCCAAAGGAAGATCTTCGAAGGTTCTCGGGGACGGGAGGAGGGACCAGATTCGGCATGTGCTGGGAGAAGAATTTGCTCAAGCCGTCCAAAGCAGGTCCGGGTCCAGTGGAAGTTCGGTCGAGAGTACCTACGCCTGTAGCAGCCAGGTGAATACTACTGTGCTGGCGGCGATGCTGGGGACGGATTGGATTTGACTGGCCTGGGCGAGGCCTCGCCCGAGGAAGAACACCGTCCGTTGGAGTAATCTGCGGCGAACTGGCCGGCGACGAAGTCCTGGTTGGATCTCGTGAAGAGTCGTCCTGGAGAGGCTCTGCATCGGTATAGGATACAGATTTTCGGCGTGTGCGTGGGAAAAAGCCCAATGCCCTTCGTGGGACTCGGCCAATCTGTACTGCGGACGGGAACCCGTCAATGTTCACCCAAGACTCATGTTTCCAAATCTGATTACTGTCGGTGTCGCCGGTTCCAGGGGTCTTCTGATTCGACAATGAGCCATTCATGCACGCAGTGGCCGGTGTGATAGAGCTCCCACTCGCATCTTCAGCATCAAGCGTCAGAAGATCGGCTTCTGCAGGTGGTATTGGCCTCCCTTTCACGCTGCATGCATCGACTGGCAGTAGCACCGTCTTCCTGCTTTGAATATTATCATTGGGCCAGAAGCCGTTCGCCTTTCGGAAGATTGCAGGTTGGCATCCATATTTAATTGTGACCCCCGTGATGCTGTCCGTTGCTTGGACAGGGTGAATGTATGCAAGGGCATCCTCGTCTTGCTCTGGATCAAGCGGCTGGTCGAAGTAATCCCCAGAGTCTCGACGCTTGTGGCGAAAAGCGCTGCTAATAATCGGGTCGGAGTCTGCAAGCAGAAGCGCCTCGCGTTTCTTCGCCTGAACCAGTGCTTGACGCTCCTCCTTGGTTCCAGTTCCAATTTCTGGTGTGCTCTGTCCTGATGGACCCCATGCAGCCGGCGTAGACCGAGGAATACTTCGAATATATACGTCTGATCGCGATGGTTTCCTTCGTGAATGTCCCTTTGCCGTATTATTTGTCGTGTTTCGCCCAGTGTCGCTACCAAGTACTGACGAGGCCAGGTTCTGGAGAGACGACCATGACGAGTCTAGAAAGTCTGTAGCACCCCGTGAAGATGACGCCTTTGATGATCCATTCCAAGCAAAAGACGACGATTCGTTGCGACCGCGATTGCTCTGTTGCGTGACGCGGGAGGGGTGTTTCATGGGCAGCGGCGAGGTTCCACGGGATGACAATGGTGAGGGGGTCGCACCACGAGATCGTGCAGTTCCAACATTGGCTGAGAGGGTTGTAGAAAGACCCGACGCAAAGTGTTGCGAATCTTGATAGGAGGAGTTGCTAGTTTTGGTGCTGGAATCTTCATCTTCGTCGTCGATAAAGGAGACGAGGCGGCGAGGGCGCGATCGGACCGCGGAGGTGCCTGCGCTGACAGTGTTGGAGCTCAGGGAAGCATTGACGAAGCTATTTTGGGAACTCATTCCTGTCAGTACGGTCTTGTGGAAGTTCTCTTCCAAAGACACAAATCAAAGGCTCCCTTCGGAGTTGTGGGTGTTGCCAAGGCACTGATTGTCATCAGTGGTCTCCTAGGAGAGACCCATTCGTCATCCACTGGCCGTGTCGCATTCGTGGCCTCAACGCTGAGACGAGATAATGAGGCAGGTCATTAAACTGAGCCCACAATCGCTAGAGCTTGGTATAGAATAGAATACTTTCCCCGTGTGTGACGTGGGGGGTTAAGACCGTGGAGTAAATGTGATTGCTCAACGATGCGATAGGAGGCAGTAGTGGGAAGCGTGGAGGTGGTGGTTGGTGACGATAACGACCCACTAAGAAAGACCGCGGCGGGCACCAACGCAACAAAGATGGAGAAGACGGGGAAGGGCCCAGAAGCCAGCAATCACAACCTGAGGGGAGGACAAGGCAAGGAATATCTGTACAAGGAGGAGAGAATGTAGAAATAGAGGTCGGCAGGGAGTGGGTGGGTTTTCGGGAGGCGCTGTTGGATGATCGGCAGGTGACTTCGCCGCCCGGCCAAGTAGCAGTACGTCACGTTGCCCGTGGGTTATTATGAGAGGGTCTGTACCTGTACTTGCGACGAAGCTCGACGTTCAACCTAGGATATACAACGATAAGGTTGGCATCAAATCACAGTAGAGAGCAAAGACGTTTATTATAATGTACTGCGGATTCCAATCAATTGTACAAGGAATCCGTCGGACAATTCTATGAACAACCCGAACCTGGCTCCAGCCAGGAATGGCATAACCCACTGCCAAAAAGAAGAAGAAAGACCAGGGGGACGGTCTGGATAAACCTCTCTAAACAGTCGATATCCAACATTGAAAATAATCCGCAAGCCAGTCCATTCCAGGGGCGTAAAATAACACATAGAAAAGAAGAGAATGGTAAGCAAATGGGCATCTAAATCAACAGTCGAAAATAGTTCACGATCACTCTGGCGGCTCAGCCATCTCAGAGGGGCGGGTGTCGGTCTCTGAGGCGGCCTCGTCCTCGGTGGTCCAATCCCCGTCTTCCTTCTCAATGACCTTGCCAGTTGGAGTGGTGGGCATTTGAGCAGGCTGGGGCATCACCCTCACACCTCCAGCGCGGGAAAAGAAGTCTTCTGTGCGAAGGCCGCGAACTTCTTGAGGGTCGACGGCTGTTATTTGCAACCCATCGGCCTTCTTCTGTCGGATCAGCTCTCGTACGGGAGCCATAGCGGCATCACGGCAAGCTTCCTTGATATCGCTACCAGACATGCCGGCCATGGACTTGACCAAATAGTGGAGATCGAAGTTTTCCCGATCAACCTTGGTATCCTTGAGGATCAGGCTGAGAATTCGGAGTCGCTGTTGGGCAGGTGGAAGTGTGACGGGGAATTTCTTGGGCATACGACGGAGAATGGCCTCGTCGATATCTTGCATCCGGTTGGTAGCTCCAAGGACAACGATACGCTGGGGCTCACCCGTTGAATTGGCGGAGGTAAGACCATCCCAGTGTGTCATGAATTCCGCCTTCACCATGCCGCTTGCTTCGTGTTCGCCGCTCCTCCGGGTTCCCAGGACTGCATCAATTTCATCGATGAACACAATCGCGGGCTGGAGCTTGCGTGCGAGAGAAAAGACCGCATTGACCAGTTTATTGGAATCACCATACCACTTCTCCGTCAATGTCGAAATATGCAAATTGATGAAACAAGCGCCACTCTCGGAAGCCAGTGCCTTTGCCAGCATCGTCTTTCCGCAACCAGGCGGGCCATAGAGAAGGACACCAGATGGTGCGGTCAGGAGAGACGATGTCGAGGAGTAAAGATGGGGCATCGTCAAAGGATAGATCACAGATTCCTTCAACTCTTCGATGATATGGTCGAGACCTCCAATATCTTCAAACGAGACATTAATATCTTCGGGCGCAACCACGTCCATCGCAACAGCTTGTTCGTATTGATTGAGCGTCAGATCGCCTTTTCGTTGGCGACTACCTTTCTTGGTGCTCCCTCCTCGGTTCATTCCGTCATCCGACTCATCTCCGCCATCAAGTCGGCGCAGAATGGCCGCTGATTTTTGTCGCTGCTCCTCCTTCTTCTGGCTTTCCGGGTCGAAATCAAGGCGCGATAGGAGATAGCGAATGAGGAAGTATGCCGACGCCGACTACCAAGCAACAGGTCAGAATCATTCAACTCTGACCACTCTAGAGTCTTAAAACTTACCGTACCAGCGACCATCACCAGCTCTTGCAAGAAGCTCTGCCATCGGCGGCCGCCGGCTGAAGCCATGACGACAGCGGTGTGGATACTCAAGGGGTATGAGAGGGGCGAGAAGTTGAAATGCCAAACCCTCTAGGAGTGACTATCTGCAGGTCGTGAAACAAAGAGAAGAAATGCGATCCCGACTCCGAAAACGTGGAGTCGCTTGAGAGTCCCGAGATCTGGCTCGGGCATCGGGCAGTTGTGGCGCGGATGATTCCTGTGGCTCGGAATGTCACATGTCACATGTCTGCCGCTGGGCGGAGAGTTGTTGATATTTCCGGCGCGTCTCGAAAGCCCCAACCCGCGGACATCAGACGAAACCACAATCCCAATTACACCATGCCCAAACGAAAGGCTCCTTCAAAGCTCTCTGGCCTTGTTGGCTCAGACGACGAGGACATTTTACAATTTACTGAGAACGAGAATGTTCCCTCCCAAGAACCTCAAGAGGAGCCGCCCGCGAAGAAACGTAGAGGCCGACAACAAACATCAATGGAGAACGCGCCGCCGACCAAAGCTTCCACCTCTACCAGGAGACTTGCACCCGCTCAAACAGTACAAGAAGATGATGATGATAATGAAGAAGAGCCTGCACCTAAAAAAGCGCCTGCTCGGCGTGGGCGGCCGCGCGGTGGCAGTCGCACCTCGGAGAACACCGTGTCGCATGCGCGCCTGTCCGTGACACAAGAGCCCGAGGATGAGGACGTCAACGACCAGGAGAATGAAGATCCTTTGGCGGCCAAGCAAGCGGCTTCCAAGACCACGAGAGCTAGCAGACCCGCGACCACAGCAACACGTGGACGAGGCAGAGGTCGAGCAAGCGTCACTCGGCCGGTGCAAACGGATGGGGAATTCGAGTACACACCAACACGTGCCATTCCACAGCAAAGGATACCCGAAGTGAGCGAGACGCAGCAGACCGATGGACCAGCAGATGATGTCGTGGATGAGTCTAGGCTCCATTTTGACCAGCAATCTGCTCCCTACGTGCCATCATCTGTTGTGAAAAATGCTAGGGCACGACTAACTACGTTGAAGAACATTCGCGACCTCTCCCCCAGTAAGCGCAAGTCCGGCGCGGCTGTTGACCAAGGCGGTGATCCGGACTTGAGGCGTAAGATTGGTGAGATTACCAAGAAGCATGATGCGTTAGAGTCCAGATATCGCAATCTACGTGAGATTGGAGTCGTAGAGGCCAACACAAACATGGAGAAGCTACGTAAGCAGTGTGAGAATATCACTACAGGTATGATTTCGCCGTTGGTGCCGTACTTGACAATGCTTCATATTCGCTAACCGATCTTTAACAGCGTCTAACGAACTTATTGCTTCGCTCAGATCCGAGCTGGAAGCGCAGCGGACCTTGGGCTCACAGAGTCGCACACTGCAGAAGCAATCGAAGGAGCGGGATGCCGAAATTGCCAAGCTCAAGGCCCAAGCAGACGAGGCGCGCTCTCAACTCGCCTCCTCACAATCCGAGATCAAGGCGCTACAGACGAAGCTTGCAGCCGCACGCAACACGGTTGCCAGCCTCGAGGCAACTAAGGCCCCAGGAAGTGCCATTAAGGGTGGCGCAGCTAACCGGGCAACCGCCGCTGCTACTGCCGAGGCGGCGCAGGTCGCCCAGCTTGCGCAACTGAAGGAGGATCTCTATACTGATTTCACTGGATTGATAATCCGCGATGTCAAAAACCGCGAGACGGACCATCTCTACGATTGTATTCAGACCGGCGTCAACGGAAGTAAGTACCCCTATTTAAAACCCCACCACTCAAACCACTGGTTCTAACCACTTTCCAGCACTTCATTTCAAGTTGGCCATTCCCAAGGTGGCTAGCTCAGAGTATGAGCAGGCTGAATTCCAGTATCTGCCACTGCTGGATGCCAGCCGTGACCGGGAGCTTGTTAATATCTTGCCAGACTTCTTGACTGTTGATATTACTTTCAGGCGAGACCAGGCATCCAAGTTTCATACACGGGTGATTGATGCCCTGACTAAACGGCGGACTAGCACATCATGATGTCATTGATATAATATTGGAGGCCCTATAGGGAATATAGTGTGGATATTTGTGGCAGGGTCAATACTGCTTTCCCTGCGTAGCTATCATCCAATCAATATGGACTGTCGTACTCCCAGACTAAGTAGATCATCTACAGTGACTACAAAAGTCCAGACACCCCTTCTGCTACCGCCTTCCTGAAGTAGCCCTACCGCCCGGTATTATCGGTCTTTGATTAGTGGAGGTCTCACCGGCAGAATTAGGGGTGTCTGGACGTTTGCGTAGTCACTGTACCCTGATCTAACTTTACCTACTCCGTGCACTTCACAGCCTTAGAGGAACTAGCGTACCTAGAGCAACTTGGAAAGTGCCACCATATAGCCCTTCTTTTACTTCAGCAGTGTTACCTCAATTTTCCTTTGTCTACTCATCTATTATTAATCCCTTCCATATAACTTAGTACCAGTCCATAGAAAGGAGGACAGTACCTGGCTGGAAGTGGGTCCTGTTATGGTTCTGCCGTGCACGATTCGAAGCCCATGATTGGCCCTCACCGCCCCCCGTCCGCAAGTTCCCCGATACGTTTCAAGTAGGTGGTGTCTGTTTCTTCGCATTTGGTGATGTCGACCTCCTTTTAATTATCTTCTCTACCTTCATTTACCTTCTCAGCAGGGGTCCATTGACACTCCTCCCCCAGTTTCCACCCCCTTTTTAAACTGGGCCCGCTGTGAAGAAGAAAGGATCATGGCGCGTCTCGGCCGCGTTGGGTTCCTCGCCCTCGCGGTGGTTTTCCACCTGATCTATACATATTCGATCTTCGACATCTACTTCGTGAGCCCAATTGTGAGTGGTATGCGCTCATATGGCGTCGAACGGCCAGCTGGAACCAATGCTCCCGCGCAACGACTCGTCCTCTTTGTCGCCGATGGACTCCGCGCCGACAAGGCCTTCCAGGCCTTCCCTGATCCGTCCCCCGATGCTCTCGCCGAGCCATCCAATGATTTGATTCGACTCGCACCGTTCATTCGTTCAAAGGTTCTTACGCATGGAACCTTCGGCGTCTCGCATACTCGCGTCCCCACAGAATCGCGGCCCGGTCATGTTGCCCTCATCGCGGGTTTATACGAGGACGTGTCGGCAGTCACAACGGGGTGGAAATTGAACCCCGTTGACTTTGACAGTGTCTTCAATCGCAGCCGGCATACGTGGAGCTGGGGTAGCCCGGATATTCTGCCAATGTTCAAGGAGGGAGCGGAACCTGGTCGTGTTGACGCGGAGATGTATGCGGAAGAAGCGGAGGATTTCAGTCAGGACGCCACTCATCTGGATACTTGGGTGTTTTCGAAAGTTCGCGAGCTGTTTGAGTCGGCCAAGACTGATCCAGATCTTGACCGGAAATTGCGCGAGGACAAATTGGTGTTCTTCCTTCATCTATTGGGACTGGATACCACTGGTCACGCTTTCAGGCCCTACTCCAAGGAATACCTCAACAACATCAAAATTGTGGACAAGGGTATTGAGGCGGTTACCAAGCTGGTCGAGGATTTTTACGGCGATGACCAGACCGCGTTCGTTTTCACTGCGGACCACGGCATGAACGACATGGGCAGTCACGGAGACGGTCATCCCGATAATACACGCACGCCTTTGGTCGTGTGGGGATCTGGTGTCGCTAAGCCCCAGATCACTATGGAAGGAATCGCCCCTGGCCACGAGGATGGGTTCTCGTCGGATTGGGGATTTGACCAGATCCAACGACACGACGTTGCACAGGCCGATGTCGCGGCTCTTATGGCTTACCTGGTTGGCGTTGATTATCCCGTTAACTCGGTTGGCCAGCTGCCATTGGATTATATTGATGCCAGCCCTGAGGAAAAGGCACAGGCGGCGCTCGCAAATACCCGGGCCGTGCTGGAAATGTATCGAGTCAAAGAAGAGCAGAAGAGGAATGCTCTGCTCCGCTATGTACCCTTCGAGCCTCTCTCTGGCGATGGCGAAACTTCCATTGAAGGGCGCTTTGCGAACCTGGAGACACTCGTTTCAAACGGGGCTTATGAGGATTCCATTGCATTGTCTTCTGAATTGCTGGTCCTCGGTCTCGAGGGTCTGCGCTACCTCCAAACATACGACTGGCTGTTCCTGCGGACAATTGTCTCTCTGGGCTACTTGGGTTGGATCGCTTATGCGTTGACCACAGTCATTGACTTGCATGTGTTGCACGGAACGACAGATTCTCACCGAACGACCGCTAGTATCTCATTCTTTTCGTCAATCTTGGTTGCCCTGTTCTCCGTCTTCCTGTACCAAGGCTCCTCGTGGCGGTACTACTTCTATGCATTCTTCCCGGTCTACTTCTGGGAAGAGGTCTTTGCTCGCCGCAAGGCGCTGATCGCTGGACGGCAAATTGTTCTCGGCCATGTTCACTCGTTTTCTGGATATCTGACCTTTGGGCTGCAGGCGCTAGCATTCCTTGCCGTGCTCGAGGCACTGGTATGTCTGGATCATGTCATTTGCGTATTCACCCTAGCTGACGTATACGTTGCAGGTTCAATCTTACTTCCATCGCGAAATCTTCACCGTTGGGTTTGCGTTGGGTGCCCTCTGGCCTCTAGTCTATGGCTTTGGGTTCATTCGTAACCATGCTTTCCTCTCTGCAACATGGGCCCTCGGCTGCTCTTTGATGAGTACCTTTACTCTTCTTCCCGTCCTGAAAGTGGAGAATCTTGATACTATGTGAGTTCGTTCTTTGTGTTGCCAAAAAATCTTACCAGTTCTAATCTTGTTATAGTACGTATGGTGGTCTCATCATGTTCTTTACTGGCATTCTATATCTGCTATTTGAGGATGCAATCCTTGAGCATGGTGGCAGTGTTGCAAAGCGCTCAAAATCCACCCCTGTTGGCTCGCGAGTCATTGTGGGGTCGCAGGTACAACTCCTTGTCTATAAGATCATTTGACATGCGCTTACAATAGTTCCTTCTAGGTTGGCATGGTTCTCCTTGCATTGATTGTGACTCGCTCGAGTGTGACATCGCTTCAAGCCCGTGAGGGCTTGCCTGTTGGGAATCAAGTGGTGGGCTGGTTTGTACTGGGTGAGTTTCTTCCAAGTCTTTTGTGGTCGAGTAGAACTAATTCTTCTTCGTCAGTGGCCTCGCTCTCTTTGCCTTTCTTCCACCGATTCTACCCGAATAACAACTACCTCCACCGCCTTATGGTCATCTTCCTGACCTTCTCGCCCACGTTCATCATTCTCACCATCTCGTGGGAGGGGCTGTTCTACTTCGTATTCTGCATGACCCTCGTAACATGGGTCCGTCTCGAGCACGCTATCTACGTTCATACTGCAGGCTCAAAGACTGTTCAGTCGCAAGAGCCAGCTACCAATGGCTCGGTCGCTCCGTCAGAACCTGCTCCTACCAGCACCACCACCGTCGATGGTCAGACATACTGCTACCGCGCACTAACCCTTTCTGATACCCGTGTCGCGTTGTTTTTCTTCTTCCTACTCCAGTCTGGCTTCTTCAGCACTGGAAATGTCGCTTCGATCTCCACTTTCTCTCTAGACAGTGTCCGCCGTCTCATCCCGATCTTCGACCCCTTCGCCCAGGGCGCCCTCTTGATCTTACAAATCCTTATCCCCTTCGCTATCATCAGCGCCAACTTGGGCATTCTCAACCGTCGCCTCGAAGTCGCCCCTAGCGCACTGTTCATGGTCGTCATGTCCATCTCGGACGTGATGACCCTGAACTTCTTCTATATGGTGCGCGACGAAGGCTCCTGGTTGGATATTGGCATGACTATCAGTCACTTCTGTATCGCCAGTGCGCTTTGCACCTTCGTTGCTGGACTTGAATTCCTCAGCGAGCAGTTTGTCAGTGGGGTCGACTTTGGCCGTGCTCAGGCACTGGGATCCGCTGTTGTGCAGGCTGTGAGTGAATCTGCCGAGTGTGGCCATGAATCGACTACTGGGCCGAACTCAAGTAAGAGTTCATCAAGTCGCAGCAGAGAAAAGGGCAGTAAGGCCCAGCAATGAGTGATTGATATTGAGTCCGTGTACTATTATCTCCGGCTATTGCTGCCTAATACTGTTAATATAGAACTTTAATTGTGATTGTCGATACCCCTTCTAGTTGGATGCTTGCCATGTATCTATCTAGGTTTCGGCGCTCGATATATTTTGGCCACGATTTTGAGAGCCAAGGGTCATACCTTTACATTGTGCGGGGAATTTGATGCTTCCAAGACCTCATTCTAGAGAATTACTAAGTCTTTTTGTCACTAGGTTTCCGATAGGATACTTGCCCCATTTTTGGATAGAGCCTGACTCATTATGCTTCGATAACGAACTAGCTCTCACAATAACATTTCACCATCCGATCATGTGACCTGTATACATAACGAGACTAGCGGATGACGAAATCGCCGCGCGCTACGATTCGCCAATCAGCGGACCGCCCGAGCGGAGTCATAGCAATTGGCTTGTCCGGGGGAAAAGAAGGGCGACTTCGAACATTTTCCCGACTCATTCTTTTGCTTCCCTTCTCTCATCCATTGTGCTACGGAGACTGCATTTTTCACCTTATTACTCATTGTCCGACTCCCTCACATACACATCCGCCCGCATCTATCCCTCCTCTCTCTATCTGTGTCTGTCTCTGCCCCGCTCTAGCGATGTCGGCGTCAGGATCCGGAGCACCCAGCGGTGCCTCGGGGTCAGCGAGCTCCATGAAGAAGGCATTCCCTCATGTTGATCTGCAGGGCAATGACTTGCCCCCTTCGCCTGCTCCCTCGAGCCCGCACGCTGGTCGTCGGTATAACATTGCCACCGAGTTGGTCTTTACTGAGGGCAATGATCAGTACAATGCTAGCAGTGTGCCAATCTATCAGGTAAGAGAGCAATGCCATCATCGGACCAAGGGGAAGGTCTCAATTGGGAAGAAATTCAAGTACTGATATTCTATCCTGATATAGAGCGCTACCTTCAAGCAGACTTCCGGCAGTGGTGGTGGAGAGTATGACTATACTCGGTCCGGCAACCCTACTCGCACCCACCTTGAGCGACACTTGGCCAAGATCATGTCCGCACAGCGCGCGCTCGTCGTATCATCCGGCATGGCTGCGCTGGATGTGATCACCCGTCTCCTCCGTCCTGGCGACGAGGTCGTGACCGGCGACGATCTCTATGGCGGCTCTCACCGACTGCTCAAGTACCTCTCCACCAACGGCGGCATCATCGTGCACCACGTCGACACCACCAACCTCGAGAAGGTTCTCGAAGTGCTGAGCTCTAAGACGACCATGGTCCTGCTCGAGACTCCCACCAACCCGCTGATCAAGATCGTCGACATTGCCCAAATCGCTACAGCCGCCCACGAAGCTAACCCTAACTGCCTCGTTTCCGTCGACAACACCATGATGTCGCCCCTTCTATTGAACCCCCTTGACCTGGGCGCGGATATCGTTTACGAGAGTGGCACTAAGTATTTGTCTGGTCACCACGACCTGATGGCTGGTGTGATCGCCGTGAACGATCTCGCCCTCGGCGAGCGCCTGTACTTCCCCATTAACGCCTCGGGCTGCGGTCTGTCGCCGTTCGACTCGTGGCTGCTGATGCGTGGCGTGAAGACCCTGAAGGTCCGCATGGACCAGCAGCAGAGCAACGCACAACGGATCGCCGAGTTCCTCGAGTCGCATGGCTTCAAGGTGCGGTACCCGGGTCTGCGGTCACACCCGCAGTACGAGCTGCACAATTCGATGGCGCGGGGTGCCGGAGCGGTGCTCTCGTTCGAGACGGGCGATGTCAACGTCAGCGAGCGCATTGTCGAAAGCGCCAAGATCTGGGCTATCAGTGTCAGCTTTGGCTGTGTGAACAGTCTGATCAGTATGCCCTGCCGAATGAGCCATGCCAGCATTGACGCGAAGACGCGGGCGGAACGCGCTATGCCGGAGGATTTGATCCGTCTGTGTGTGGGCATTGAGGATGTCGATGATCTGATTGAGGATCTGCAGCGAGCAGTAAGTTATTTACCTGGCCATGATGGTGTGCAAAGCACCGGAAATATAGAGACATCCTTGGCTAACAATTCGATCTCTCACAGCTTGTGGAAGCAGGAGCTGTCAATGTCACATTGGACGGCTTCCACGCGGCTCAAGTCGAGTCCTCGTAGTGGTTTTGTTATTTTGGGTTGGGTTCTGGAATCATATCATTGTGTATACGGGCGTTTTCTGGGGTTAATAAAATATCATGAGCATCTATCTTTTCTAAAAATTCCTGGTTTCCTCTGATTGTGTTTCTACTGTACTCGATCGTGAGCGTTTATCCGACCAACCAGACAATCGGACCCGGCACGGGGCCGGCATCGGAGAGGGCGCCCGGGCCATTCTCGTCCGCTGCATCTCACATCTGCCGGCCTTAAAGATTACATCGCAAGTCCCATTTGTAATTGTCCCTCTTTCATTCGGCTTTGGTGCTAGCTGTCTCCTTTCTTTTTCTTTTCTTGGGGTTTCCGCTTGCCTGTGTACATTGCAGCATTTTTATTTCATGCGTCACGCCTCGGCATCTTCGTCACTCTCCGATCCCGCAATCCCGTATGAGTATGACTCGCGATGCAGTCGCGCAGGATGCTTCTTTTGCCATGGCTACGGTCTCAGAACGTTCTGTTGCGTCCCCAATGCCGCCAACGGCTGGCCAAAAGGTAGCTCCAGCTCCAACAGTAATACCTACATGGAATACTCAGGACTTGGGCTTGCGACTCGGTGTTGATGTTGTCAGTGCGGCTTCGGCCGGCGCGCTGACATGTCCGCTGATCACGATCATTGATCGGTGAGATTTCTCTCATCACAGCTTCATATACTATTAAAGAGTCACAGAGCTAATCACTCTCTTTGCTTGTACAGTGCCATCATCGAAAAGGCGTCCAAAGGCTTCCCAATCCGCGAAACAATCACCAACTGTCTCAAGTCCATGATCGCCAAACCAAGCGGCTTCTTCTTCAGCACACCCTTCCTCCTCATCTACACACTGTACACCTCAACATATCTTACAGCAAATGCAATTGATACTGTCACATCTACCCTCCGAAATCAAAATTATTCCAACGTGACCGCAGGCCCGGCCAAGTTCATCTCCACAACAGCCGTCAACATGGCCATCTGCGTATACAAAGACGCGCGCTTCGCAAAAATTTTCGGCGCCTCGCCTCCCCCAGCGCAAGCCGGAACACAATCACAAAGACACTCTACCGCTTCAATCCCACGCCCATCAGTCTGTCATCCAATTCCCTCACAAGCCGCTGCCGCACCTACCATTCCCAAGCTTTCATACTCCCTCTTCTGTCTCCGCGATAGCGTCACGATCTTCGCCTCCTTCAACGTGCCCCCGCTAATCGCACCTTCAATACCGGACTTCATCGCATCAACACCTAGCATGAAGGCCGCTACGGCGCAGTTCGCTTGCCCGGCTCTAATGCAATTCTTCAGCACGCCCATGCACCTGCTCGGTCTGGATCTGTACAACAGGCAACCGCCAGGCGGTTTGTCGTGGACGGATCGCGTGGCTCGGATCCGGAGAGACTATATCTCTAGCAGTTTCGCGCGCATGGGCAAGATTGTGCCTGCGTATGGTGTTGGTGGTGTTGTCAATGTTCGGATGAGAGCTACTCTGATGGAGCGGCTTGAGAAGAAGGCCGAGTAATGGCATTCCACATCCTATGACGCAATATGGGACAATGATAGAGCTCGGTCTCATGGAGTTGTCGGGAGTTAATGACCTGATGACTACATGGTTTCCTGTTGTCTTTTCCTTTTTTTCCCCTCGGGATTTCCTATCCTCTCCTCTCCACTCCAGATTTATCATTGGGACTTGGGCTTTGGAATTTTTCGGAGTTTTGTGGCATTTGGAGTTTGGCCGGGGATTTAATACTTTTCTTGGGATTTTCTGCATTTTCTCATCATATGGCCATGGCGTTTACTGCTTTGTTTTCTTTCTCGTTGCGTTCGTGTTACAATTAGACTGTGTCATACATTTCGGGTCTGGTATAGTTATTGACTGGGGACTTTAGATATTTGACTACTCTGTTTTGGCTGTTAATAAAGGTGACATCGATATTGATAATTTAGTTCATTGATTTATTTGTAGTTTACCCTTTCTCGGGTCTCCGCTTCATCACGCACCAAGGCGATTTGATCGCGCAATATCTCACAGGCACTGCTTTCTGCATGGCGCAGTTATTACGCCAGACCGGTGGATATCCATACAATTTACCTTTGAACAGTTCAGTTTGAACTGGAGCTAAGTTAGTTGGTTAGCGTGATTAATCTAGCGTTGCCTGTTGCGGGCGAGATCGTCGACATCCGACTGGTGTACACTGAAGTCAAGAATTCAGAAAGTACTGCATTTCGCCATAAATACTGTCTGCTATCAACAATCCCTCCTCGGAGCAACCATCTGACGTCGTCTCCACAATACGTTGTTATTAAGAACTGAAGAACTTAAAGTTCCGGGGCTTAGCCGGGCTCAATGCCCAACCGGACCCTCTCGGCATGGCGTGTCTCAGTACAGCCTCGACCGGGCTCCCGGAATCTTCAGGGTTTCCGTTCATTGCTGGAACTACGCGAGTCTAATATACTAATTGTGCTCGTTGGACGTGGGGCCCTTTCCCTGCCTATTTCTTTCAGTTCTTGTCTTTAGTCATGATCTGATCCTGCTTGTTTCATGGCAATTCCCGGAGGCCTGATCAGAAAGTAGTTACCAAAGCTGCGGTTCGCATTTTGTGATATTGGGAAAGAATAATTGAAGTATTATCATTGAATTAAAGTAAGACTAACTAGAAATATCACTTTCCCTACTCACTCTTGCTATGAGAGCAATCAACCCTGTACACGCCAAGATGATCTAGACGTATTGCGATCTGCGCCAAGAGAGCAACCCTAAAAGCCTATCCTGGAAAGGGGTTCACGATCCACTACAACTCAAGATTAGAAACACTACTACTCTGTCAGCCTGTGTCAGACTCCACAGTTGTGTCAGCGAATATCTAGAGACGGAATCGTGCCGCACTCATTCCCTGGATATTTGTAATGCACAAGAGCAATGTAGGCTCCCAAGGTTACCAGGAAAGGTCCTCATGGAGACGACAGGCAGCAAGAAGTATAAATGTAAGAAGGGTGTGACTTTAAGACCATCATCGACAACTTGTCATTTCAAATATTCTAGTATCGATACATCGTCCCGACATGCACTTCATGACCATGAGGGTGCTCAGTGGCCTGGCCTTCGTGCCTGGCGTTTTATCTGCCGCGCTCTCACCTATCCCCATTGACTCCAGAAGTCTATCGGATATTTACGCGGCTGCGCAGAAGGAGAACGGTGTTCTCCGAGTAGTTCATGGAGGAGACGGTACATACCTCGATACCTGGAGAAATGATACTGGTACTAATATTCAAAGTATCCAGAAAAAAACCAAGCTGATGACCTGTTCAATGCATTTTCTACAAAATTCCCGAACATTAAGGTGAACCACAGCGTCGAGCTCTCCAAGTATCTCGATGGCAGAATCAACCAAGCCTTCCTGCAGAACGAATTGTACGCCGATATGGCTATCCTCCAGACGTTGCAGGATTACGATGCCTGGGAAGAGAAGGGGGTGCTTCTGAACTACAAGCCTCCTTCATTCGACAAGATTTGGCCTAGCTTGACCAATCCAAACGGCGCCTATCTTCCTATTTTTGCAGGTATGCCTTCTACTTCTTGTCACTTTCTTGTTCCGGTAGCAACTAGGGCTGACCTATACCCCCGAAATTATAGCTAGCTTTGGACCATTCGTCTTCAATTCCTCTGTCGTCTCTGCAGGAGATATCCCCAAGTCATATGCAGACATCCTGGACCCGAAGTGGAAAGGCAAGATTGTCCTGACCTATCCCAACGACGACGACGCCGTGCTATACCTCTTCAAACTAATCGTCCAGGAATACGGCTGGGAATGGCTAGACCAACTCCTCTACCAAGACGTCCAATGGGTCCGAGGAACCGCCACACCCGCAGAGATAATGCTGCGCAACACAAGCAAGACAATCTCCTTCACGACCTACCCTCCTGCCGAAGGTTGGATCAGTGTGGCGCCTGTGTCCGACCCATACATGAGCTGGACTCAAACGAGCGCTATTTTCAAGGACACCAATCTTCCTGAAACTGCAAAGCTTTTGCAGGCATTCCTGATTTCTGAAGAGTTCCAGGTCAGTAGGGGAGCTCCGTCTGTTCGGAAGGATGTAGGAAACTCTACGATTTGGGATGCGAAGAATACGGATTATGTGACGTTTCATCAGTTCATGGAGGATAGGGATATTGTTGAGCAGTGGCGGTTTGTCTTTGAGGATAAGATTGGGACTGCGCAGGGTCTGAACCCGCTTATTGACGATATCTTTTAGGTTGGCAAGGAAGACTGGTGAGAACTAGTAATGGTTTTAATAGCCAACTGCATTGTATAGTACGGAGCTGGTATCTATTTGTTCTGATAAGATCTAGAAGCTTGAGTTTTCAGACAGAAAGTTTTAAAGCTCACCTGCGAGGAGCAGGAACACCGTAGTAGTACTTTGGTAAAGTATTCAACACTAGAAATCAAAGAGACAGATAGAGAGAGAGAGAGAGAGAGAGAGTGAGTCAGTGTGTGGCTATGAGAAGAATAAACATGAGATACATGACAGACCAGGCAGGCAATCGAATTCCCATCTATCACGTATATAAATCGTCACAAATAGGGCAAAAACAGCTTCTAATCCATATGTAACATCGGTACAAGACAGATTCAAACAGAACCCGAGTTCTTCATTGCTCCCTCTTCTGGAAGTACGCCATAGAGCTTGTAGTGCTTCCGAATACGGATGCAAATATAGCTCTGAACGCAATCCAAAGCACTAATGCATACTCTATTAGCTTGGATTCTTGAGACCGGTGGAAGAGATGTCCACTTACCATAAAACCAATGCCAATATGATGACAATAGCACCCAAGGCCCGACTACTCGTACTATGTGAGGAAGAAGTCCCCAAAATAGTAATTATAAACAATGCAAACCAGAACACCGTATCAATAATCGTGAGAATCTTGTTCACTTTGGTGCTTCCCCATCTTTTGAAGCGAGTCACGTGCCCCGTCACAAGTTGGTATGCAAGAAAGACAGCAGATTTTAGACACTGTTGGAGAACACATTAGTTGCTCATTTATAAAGCGTCACTGATTGACGTAACTGACTACTGCAATTCCCCATGTATTAGATCTTGTTGATGGCGTGCCTTTGTTGGCTACTCTGGCAATGATGAGTATGAATGTAAGAGCAACGAGAGAGCATATTGCTATGTCTAAACGCAGCTTGTTTTTCGAGGTTGATTCGATAGGAAATCTCATTTTGACTTGTGTTTGTTTCGAGCAATGGAGCGAATTGTCGACGAGAAGAATGAGATATAGATGAGTATTTAAGCGTCCGAATAGCCAGACTCTATCTGCCTATTTCATGGCTGTGGAACATCTATGCACAAAATTCGTATCCATTTCCAGTTTTGGCCTGCATCTCATACCTAGGCATCAATATAACAGTCCTCGCCGCAGTGTTCTAGGAATCGTGAGATTCGTCGTGTCCCCACTTCTCTCACTACAGAAATAGAGCTCGTAATCGTATACTTATCCCAATATGGCGTCCTCAATTTACAGAAATTTCAAAGGTGTGTGATTATCACTTATCGGCGCCACTTAATTGCCGATTGACAAAAGTCAGCCCTTTTTTTTAACTGTGGAATCTCTCAATATGTCCCGGGTACATAGAGATGGAAAAAAAGAGGATTTTATGTCATATCTCTTGAGATAAAACCTCAATAGTTCCGTTCAGCCTCATAATGGTTGGCTAGCATCTCAAGATCTTCAGTCTTTTGGTACTGCTTTCCCTGTTCACCCAGCATTTTACTCGGGTGTAGAATAACGAAAGCAAAACAACAAGCAAGCATCAATGCGGCATCAAAGACATAGACAAATGCTTCCTTGCTTTGCAAAAATCCGCCACTTCCCTGCGCGTATTCAACCACTCGGTAGATAGAACGGATCATAATCAGACAACTAACGGCGTACAGGACCTTCATACACCGTGCCCAAGGAATATAACTGCCACCCACATAATTCATAGGCGAGGCAAGCATTCGGCGATGGAACACAACAGAAACAATGATAAACAATCCGAAGAAAAATATTTGGACGAAGAGACCGCCGAGGATCATATGCTCGCCCATGTCCACACTGTCCTTGGTCTTCGCACTGGCAAGATATCCTCCTCCTGTTATTGATCGCGTTAGCTCCTGTACCAAGTCCAAGTGTTTCTAAATTGCGAAACGAGGGCACACCTCCACATTGCATGAGGCATGATAGAACATCCCCGATCACAAAGATTTTCGTTAACCATGACGGTCGAATAATTGAATTCGAACTCGCGTTCAGAGCCACAATAAGGCGGCCCAATATCATGTAGATAGAAGCAGCAAAGAGAGCAGGAGCAAGGAGAATAAGGAGGCTCTGGCCAATATAGGGCGTCGTTTGCCAGTCTGGCGTTTCGGTTGAGTTGATGTACCTGCACAAGTAGCCGATTGCTTCGACTGAAACGAACAGGATAAATTATCAATATATGAACATTCCTGTCTATCATACGAAGACTCACAAACACCGCCAATTGTAAATGGAATCATGTACCAACTCCGTGTGCGAAACATCTGCACAATATGGATCACTGTTGCCAGTCCGAAAAGGGCAGCAACAGGAATGGCCGCGCCGCCAGAAGGATTGTAATTGTAAAGTTTGTAAGCCATGACTTTGAAGGATAGAAACGAGGGACGGTAAGAGAAGACAAGTAAATGAATGTTGTGACAAAAGCGGTTTCCAATGAATGGTTCCTAGGTTCATTATACTTAAATATCAAGGCTACTGTTGATAGCCGGACACAGCTTCATATCCACGCTAGGCAGCGAGCATCATCAAATAAGCCTGAAAAGGCGTGAGATACGATGAATACTGACCCCCAGACACTATCGATCTAACTACTGTCTCAGGTCACTTCAGACCCCCAATTGATACGAGATTTGATTGGATGGTAGATGGGCATGGTGGTTTTAGAGGATCCCTTAGTGGATTTCAAAAGTCGTCCATCCAAAATAGGTTTGACCAGAGGAGGACCTGAGTTGAGAATATTTTAGAAGCCCCATGCTTCCAAATTCGGCTAAAATCACGAACACGAACCAACTGTCGCAAAATTAGTGGCAAACACCCGGCGCCCCACTTTAACCTACCCGCAAAGGAGCACGGAACGAATACGGCGCAAAATAAGCTTAAGTAAGGAACATGGATATACGTACCCCTAAACAAGATGTCTATGTGTTATAATTTTGTGGCTTAAAGAGATTTTTGACTTTCTCGGCGGCCTTCCGTTGATCATGGAATATAAAGTCTCCAGATTGATCAGTCTTGGTGTCGATTCTAAGTCTCGCAACATTCATCTCATCCAGCACTGGCTCGTTTTCCCTCCAGGCCAAAAAAGCAGCAATGCAGTTTGTTTTCTATTACTATACCCCATCTACCGCGGCGGCAGCCATATTCACTGTCCTGTTCGGACTGAGTAGTATCTTGCATTTCTATCAGCTCCTGCGGACAAGGACATGGTTCATGATCCCCTTCTTGATCGGTGCAATCTGTAAGTCCAAAACACGATTCCTCGATTCTAAGGAAAATGCTAATAAAATCCTGTCTTCTCAGTGGAGACTATCGGTTATGTCGGTCGTTTACTGGCCTCGTTCGAGGCACCAGACTTCACCAAGGGCCCATATATCATGCAAAGTGCCTTGATCCTGATTGCGCCGGCTTTCCTTGCTGCCAGTATCTATATGACTCTCGGACGAATCATCTATATGTTGGAAGCAGAGAAACTATCTGTTATTAGAGTAGGGTGGCTCACTAAGACCTTCGTCGCTGGCGATGTGCTCTCTTTCTTGATGCAAGCCTCAGGTGTGTATTTTCCTCCGATCCACGCATCCACCAAGGGCTTACCAAGAATATAAAACTAACTGACTTCAAGGTGCGGGACTTATGGTCTCAAACTCGAATGACCCCTCGACCGGCGAACATATCATTATTGGCGGTCTCTTCGTACAAATTATTTTCTTCGGTCTCTTCACCATCAGTGCTGTTGTCTTCCAAACTCGCATCAACAAGGCCCCGACCACCCGATCGATCGAGTTGAAGAGTCTCTGGACCCGCCATATGATTGCTCTCTACACAGCCAGTATCTTGATTCTGATTCGCTCTGTTATTCGTGTGGTGGAGTACCTGGAAGGCTATGATGGATATCTGATGAAGCATGAGGCCTTCATCTATGTCTTCGACGCCCTCCTTATGTTCATTACTGTGCTTGTTCTTCAGTATGAGCACCCCAGTGAGATCAACTGCTTGATCGGTCGCGGCCACAAGTACTCAGAGAAGGTCATCTGGACCCGCGAGTTTGTCCCGGCCTCTGCGCTCGAGATGGGTCGGTCAGTAGAAGTTTGAAGAGAAGGGATTGTATGAAAATTTGCTATGTGAGGAGGCTACTTGATGATTTTATGGTCTATTACTGTCAAACATGAGTCTTGTTATTATAACATGCGTCTATAATTTTGAGTTCAATCATAATCAATCATACCAAAGCTCATCACTGGTCACATCGAATCGTCATCTCAACACTTGCACAACTGCCCATTTTATATGACGTTGCCAGTCGGCATCCAAGATCTGGACTATTTCCCCTAGAATAAGTCGACCCCAGGATCCAATACACCAATTCTCTCGGGTGAGGTGCAGAAAGACACAGAAATGTGCAAGTATCACCAAAGCAAAGGGTTCGCGGGTTTTCAGTCCTTCCAGAAACTCTGGCGGAGATCGGATAGCCCATCCGCCCACTACCGTCAACGACGTTCGCTCCGCATAGGTAAAAGGAGCCAGTTCTTTCATGGTCTGAATCGCACGGTCGTAAGACTTTCCATTATGATTCCCTCCTTGCTGACCATACTGAGCATTTAGATCATCAAGGTAATCGAGTGCCGCAAGAACATCACTGGGTACGGTCGCCCCAGGGTTAGTGATATCGAATAGAGGCGCAAAATTGCTGTTTCTAAGGAACTCCATTGCCTGACTTCCTACTGCTTGAACTCCACGAGCCAGCATCAAGATATCAATGAAGGCATTCAGACTGGGCCCGTCGTCAGAGTCGGAGCAATGAAGTGCGCTCGCAAAGCTGAACACAACTGCGATTGAGGCAAAACTCGTCATTGCTCTCGCATTTGACTCATTGATTTGATGCAGTTGTTCTGAAAAGATAGCTAGAGCTGTGCTCTTATGTGCAATCGCAATATTGAGCCACTCTGCTTGGCGCTCATGTTGGCGTAGATAAGCAAGGTGTAATGCGGAAATAGCCAGTATTCCATGCATTAAGAACGGAGTATGTAGTGCTTCTTGAAGCACTGGTATTTCCCATACTTTCCTAGTTTCTTCATTTCTTGCGAAAAGCTTGTGCGTATGCAAGATCCACTGGAGTTCAAGTTCCAGATGGTCCAAATTGAGTGGAGGAGCCCTAGTTGTCGCACCCGACGCAGAGATATAGTTGCTGACAGAGCTGCTAACCTCGGACGAAGATCTGATACCACCTGCAGTATTTGGTGATGGTGTTTCTGATGTTTCTGATTTACTTGCAAAGACGAAAGGCACTGGCGCAATGTAGACACATGTGTCATTGCGTTGGGTGCAATTTTTGCAATACGGCCGCTTCTCGTCACACTAATAGAAGTGTTAGCGTCTTCAATTCAATCCAATTCAGCTTCTTTATCTTCAAGGTAGATGATCGCATACTTTCACTCGTCTTCGTTTGCAATTGCTGCATCCATGACGTGATTTCTGATGGGAGCGGCGCGTGGCCATATCTTGCGGGAATCGGTTCAGAAACCCAGAATGGCTTTGCACCTAGTGTTCGTACTCGTGTGAGATACACGAGATTTCTGCCTAGTAGGCAATATTCGAGACTGCCGACGGGGGGCTGAGCCATAAGTAAGATAATGTTGAGTGTCTGGCGTCGGCCGGGAAATTCGGATGCAGATAAAATCACGAATACGAACGCGAGCCCCACTTTCGTGTTTTTAGAGTTTTAACGTTCCAAAACGAACTGGACAGTGATCGATGTAGGTAGCAAGACATGGAGAGTAGTCCCTACGGCCCCTCCCTTTATTTATTGTTTGCCGTTGCTAGTCATGATAATTTTCTTATTTTCTCAACCTTTTCTCCTCACCTGCAGCAATGTTCATATCGTTACTGGTCCTAGTCGTTGCTGCCTGGGGCTTTGGCGCCCTGGTGCTCTGGCGCCCTGGTGCTCCCTCTCTATCAAAACCGGTGCATTGCTCAGCGACTCAAAATCCCAGTGATCGTCTGTCCCATCTCACGCCATGGGCTAATGTGGAGGTACCTTCAAGAGCTATTGAAAGTTAACCCACTCGTCTCTTGGCGGTCGATCTTCCCCTTTCTTCGAATTTTGCGGCCAAATTGGACGTTTTTAGAAAAACATGCCGTCTTCGAAGAGTATGGCGATGTATTTGCACTCGTCACTCCAGCTGACTGCGAACTATTCATTGCCGACTCAAATGTTGCCAGCCAAATTCTTATGCGGAAGAGAGACTTCCCTAAACCTCTTGATCTTACAAGTAGGTGAGGCGTTGAACCTTGTCGGCTATCTGAAAGTGCTAACATAGCTGCCAGGAAGACTTGGAATATTTGGGAGAAGCTTGGCTACTGTATGGTCTCTCCTCCTCCCTGACCAGGCTTCCATTCTTAATTTCTCCCTTTGCTAGATGTCTAATAATGAGTATGTTTAAACAGGTCGATGGCGCCGACTGGAGCCGTCATCGTCGAAGTACAGCTGTGGCTTTCTCAGAGACAGTCCACGACGCAGTATGGATAATATCATGCGCTGAAGCTTCTGACATGTTAAAACACTTCATGTCCCAGGAATATGTCTCTAGTACGCATCCTAACATGATACGATTAAGCTTCACCGTTCTTTTGAAAGCATGCCTTGGGCTGGACGACAATAGCGGTGCCGATGCGGCGAGCCCAATTAACAATGCCGCAAAAACGCATCTTGAAGCATTCTTCAACATGATTTCAAGAAATCCCGACATCCGTAGAGGAGGAAGGAAATCCCTTGTCTCTTTCCATGCAAGCCATCAAGGAATCCAGTCAGTCATGGAAAGCCTGGTGAAATATCGAAGGGACCACCCTTCATCTAAGAAAGATCTTCTTTCTTCTATGCTAAGCTCACAGGATGCGCATATGCTATCTAATGAGGAGATAGAAAGCAACTTGTTTCTTTTCATGTTTGCCGGCCATGAGACAACCGCGAACACACTTGTCTACATGATTTATCTTCTGGCCGTCTTTCCTGAATGGCAAACTTGGGTCGTCCAGGAAATCGATCAGATATTCTCCGATGTGCCATTAGATAATAAAATGCCTTACAAGGACATTTTCAATCGACTTACTCGGTTGAAAGCAGTTATGGTAAGCCATTTTTACTCAGAGTCAATGCTTGAAAATGACCTAACTAGATATCTAGCATGAAACTCTCCGACTCTACGGCCCGGTCGGGAATCTCCTCCGAAGGACATCTCCTGACCATGATCAAACTATCTCCCGCATCGACGGATCAGAAATTTTGATTCCGGCAAATACTCTCGTCAATATAATAACGACGGCTCTGCACACTCATCCAGATTACTGGGGCCCAGAAGCCCTCTCATGGAAGCCTGATCGATGGTTGAGTAGCGATGAACTCGACAGTGAAAAAGTAGATCATCTTTTCGCATGGGCCGAAGGTCCTCGAGCATGCCCAGGAAGGAAGTTCTCCCAGCTTGGAACTCTCGCCGTCCTTGTCACTCTACTGCATCAATCGTCGGTTCACATTGTACCCAAACCGGGCGTGAGCCTTGAAGAAGCCCAGTCAGAGGCCTTGGAGGTATTGCAGAATAGTCGATCTCTTCTTACATTGCATATAGAGCAGCCGCAGAAGATTCATGTTAGATGGTGCCCGCGAATATAACGGCGTATAACATCGAGGCTATAAAGCATCCTAGTCAAACCTGCCTTTTGTCAAGCGAAAATAACGAGTTTCATAACATGAAATCACAGTAAAATTATTTCCAGTCACAAGAAATGACATCCACCCTCGCAACACCGTCAACCTTAGCATTCAAGTGCAAGTAAGACACGATATAACTTTCTGAGGCCCCCAAATATATACACGGAGAAAATAAGCACATACTTGTGGAGCAAATTAAGCAGAAATCACCCACTCTGAATTACAGCACAATAATAATCACCAACTGTATCAGGAAAGGTCAGTCAAGCTGAGTCACAATGTTACCAAAGGAGAGAAAACTCACGCAAATGGTTCTGAGTGCAGATATAGCTCCTCAATCTCACCACCAAGCGTCCGTTTCTGCGCCAGCGCTGCAGCGTTCCGGGTATCATGAAGCATGGACGCGGGACCACAGACAAGCACACCAATACGTTGCTTCTTGTCATTCGGCATCGGATTCGCGTGAGCCATGGGAACAGTCCGAGCCACGAGTCCAGGGATATCAGGGCGAGCATTTCGGTGAATGTTGAGACTGAACGATCCTGTCGTAGTGATGTCTGTTGGAGGGAACTTGTCGGCGGTGCCATTCTCCGAGTCCAGCGTTGATGTCGACCGAGTCAAGTCGCGATTTGAGGTAATATGTACTGAAACAGAAGTCTCAAATCCGTTGTCTGAGCCCGGTAGGGTGGTGGATTGCGAGAGGCGCGATTCAATCTCATCGATGTACCAGTCTGCCATGGGGGCGTCGCGGGTCGAGAAGACCACTTGCAGATGGCGGCGGCTTTCTTGTCCCGATTTGTCCTCTCTCGTGTTGAGACCAGACAGTCGCAGCGCTTCGTCTACCATGGCGAGTGAGAAGCCGCCACCTGATCCACCAGCGATGACGAGTATAGTGTCAAATTGGGATATGTGATGTGTACTAACGCCGCCATATGGCCCTTCAATGAGAATCTTCTTTGTGATACCTGGTTGCTTGGCGGCCAGCGCGGCAAGGCGAGCAGTTACTCCACGACGAGGCTTGATATAGAATATGAGCTCAGAGGCTTTCCCAATCTGGTCGGGGTCACAGGAGACGGAGGAGATAGTGAACGGATGCGCGGTAAGGAGGTGCAAGTCTAACGTTAAGAACCGCAGAAATACATGCTGACCGGGCGTCCATTTGATGACAGTTGGAACAGAGACACGAATGAGTCCGCTGGGGAGAAGCTCGAGCGTGGCCGTGTGAATCCCGTGCAGCAGATAGGTGCGGCTCTGGGAGAACACTAGACAGAGAAAGTAGACGGCACCACTGGCAATGAAGTAGTCCCACGATGAGAGACGAAAATCGCAGTGAAGGAAGAAAAAGACGATAAATAGAATAGCAGCAATCATATGGGTTGCTTTGAAGAACTCATAGAACCGATTCCGAATGGACGGGAGTGACATAATGGTCAGGTAGGCCTGTGGGATAATTGCCCCAATGCCGGTCCAGTAGACTAGACTAGTCTTCCATTGCCTGATCATATCGCCCTTGTCGATATGGTAGATAATGAAGGGGAAGGTATGAATAAGTGCCAGCACAAACATGGCGTAGCTAGTCCAGTGATGGAAGACTTGAAGCTTCTCATGGGGGATGCCAGTTAGTGCAGAGATCATGTTGGCCTTGACACTCAGACCACTAGTGGTATATTAGCAACATAGACGTTGTCAAAGAGTAGAACGTAATACTTACAGAACAAAAGGCAATAAAGCAAGAGCCATCCAGCCTGCCCTAGTTGCTATGGGAGGGCTACTTCCATAGCTAGCATCGGTGGGCCAATAGTACGGTTTGGGCCCGAGAGTCATACCTGCCAATTGAGCATTAGATGCTGGGTTTTTCCAGTGTCAAGCATTGGAGATTATTTCATACCGAAGAAGAATACTGTGCCCACGATGCCCAGCAGAATGACGCCCAAAGATGGAGACCAATACTTCAGCACCGGGAACCGATACCCACGGTAGGACATGTACCGTGAAACTGAGGTCGTTACCCGCCATACTCGAGTCCGCTTGACCCAGTCTGGTAGAACTTTGACAAGAATATTTGAAATGGCAAAGGCTGCAATGACTGCACAGCAGAAATACACTGTGCTCAAGGCATATACATGGTCGGCCTGGTACCTGTAGTTACCCAATTGAATTAGCATCTTGTGAGCTGCATCGCCAGTAGACAAAAGTAGCGATATTTGGAATGCATACCAGTATCTCCACCTATTATTCCGATAAGCACACTGTGCGTCGGATAATTTGCACATATCTTGACGAGACGAATGAAGCATCACAGGCTGATCAAGCCAAGGAACACCACCGCCTGACATGTCCATATCCATGTCCATCATGTTGAACCAACCAGATAAACTACCTGCCCAGCCTCAACGAGATTCGACGAGTATTGTTGTCAAGGAAGAAAATTGAACAATTAGATCGAACCGAGCAAGCCACAAGATTGTTATGATGACCAAGGGGTGGAATGATGGAGTATAGAAAATGGAGCCGGTCGGCGGGTTAAAGCTTGGCAGGGTCGATGGTCCGGAGCCATCGGAGAACAAGCTTTGCGTCATTATATCATCTGGTCATTTCGCTGCAATGTCATTGAATACATGTTCATTGAATCGTGAGGAAAGAAGCATGCGCCGAAAACGGTAATCGGACATGGTGTAACGGAGACGGCAGGGGAACCAGGGAACCAGGGGAGCAACCGAAAGGTATGAATGAGCCCGATAACCTGATGGCATTCTTCATGTCGATCAGCCGTGATTATCTGCGGGAAATTGCGTGGGTTTCGCTGAAATCAAACAGTGATCATCAGTCTTATAGTATAGGCGTTAGTTCCTTCTTGAAAATTGCTCGAGCCGAATTAAGTCACTGTAGTTCTGATACTATGGCGGATCTCGAATATTCTTCAAAATTCACCATATTGAAACCGCGCTAATTAGGTTAAGTCCAGAGCTACTGAGCAGATTTGCGCGCCATTCGTAAATTGTCCAGGTCCTCTTTAGCGCTAGCGTTGGCGGTGTATACTCCACAGTGCTTGGTTGCGTTAGGTAGGCCAGGACTGCACTTCCATAGATCCTTTCGAGCGCATCAGGAAAGTACATCCGCGATTCACATGAAATTTCTTGACAGATGATACCCCCACACCCCGCAAGTTCATGGCTGAGAGGTCATGGAGCTTGCCTTGTGTTGGAGTAGAGCTAGGGTCCATAGTGGTAGTCAGCTAGCGAGGACCATCAGCACTCCGTACATGAGACGATGCTTAACGTAGGCAGTGCCCTGGACATAACGAGGGCTCGAAGTCTTATTCAGGGCCCATTTTCAGACGAAGCTTGGGTCAAATGTAGATGTTGTATGCAGTAATGTAATTCAAATCGACAACTACCGTGGAAGGATACAGTGTCACGTGCTAATTAGTTATGCCACGCTGTGATGAATGTTCTTTGCTATTTGTTCCTTAGGATTCATTGATGCACTTCTAACTGGATATTCAAGCTTTAAAAGAGCTCACAATTTGCAGGGATTTACTTGGGGAAAGCATAATCACGTGACATATAGCTGTCTATTTGAAGCCTTAAGCAGAAAGTAGGGTAACAATTCACCAAAATTATCCAGCAACACACGTGTTCCAAAACTGTTAATATTTACAAAATCAACAGTCTTCGTCATTTTCCATCAGTCTCCTCACATGGCCATCTCCAACCCTACATTCCTGCTTGCAAAACCGATGACGATCTTCATTTGCGCAGATCCTTCGATAGTCATCCCCGCTATGTAACTAATGTCTTAGCGCTTCAATCAAGGAGGCACGACCGAAACACAGACCATCGCCGCATTAGGCATCTTGCTCGCGGAACAATCCGCCGATACTGATACCCCACGCGCTGCAGTCTCGCTCCCAATGCCATACATCCGCAGTGCACGGTGGCCTCCACGCACACTGTCCGCATCAAGGCCCTTGGCCCGAAGCACGCTGGTAGCTACACGTGCTGTATCTCCATCATAGCACACTACCAGAAGGTGATGCGAACCAAGATCTGAGATCAGGCGCTCATCCCCGAAAATCTGCTCCAGCTCCACCCACTGCGCCTCGAGCACAGCTGGATCCGAAAACGGTGATTTGGTGTGGAGTCCAACACTGGAGAGAGGCACATTGATTGACTCTGGAAGGTGCCAGGCTTGGAAATCGGCTGATTGACGGAGGTCGAGGACACGGTGCAGTGGGTTCATTGAAATCTCATTCAGTGGGGTTTGGTCGAGGGATCGTGGAGAGCCGTAAACTTGGGGGAGGACTTCGAGAGCATCACGCTCCCAGGCTTCGTCGTACCGGTGCAGGTCAACCTTGACCAGACGCTATCCGATGAAAGACTGTTAGCGGATCGATCTAGAAGGAATGAGGATCGACGATAATGTGGGGTGGAATCTTCGACGCGTCCGCGGCCGGGAGAAGCTTACCTCGTTGCGGATAGGCGGGAATTCCTCAGCGCCGAGTTTCTGGAAGTACTCGCCAATATACTGGTATGGCAGGTCGCAGCACATGAAGACGCAGTGCGTAATCCCGTCCGAGCCAGCGAGATCAGACAGTGTTCCCGCTGTCTTGCGTTTGGATAGCATCTGGAACAAACCTTGCAGATTGAATCCGGATGATGGGCCACATACCAGTCCCTCCCGGCACAGCTTTAGAGACAGACTGTACGAGTCAGAAGAGCCAACTTCTTCAATCGTATCCACTGCTTCTTTCCAAGGAAACTCCACTGGACGCATCAGCGCATAAGATCGGGGACCGGGGACCCGGTCACCTGCCGCTGTGCAGACCCCGAGTCTCATGACGGAGGGCTTGACACCCTTGAAGTATGTTCCAAGGCCGGTCATTGTGCCAGAAGTACCCATACCGGCGCAGATAACATTGATCTCGGGCAATTGCTGGAAGATTTGGGGACCAGTCCATCGCATGTGCGACTGCCAGTTATCGTTGTTCTCATATTGATTAGGGTTGACGATATCCTCAGATTCCGTGGCCATACGGCGGGCATTTTGAATACCCCCGCGATCATCAATGGGCTCTGGCTGTGACGGGCCACCGAAAAGTGTAATGTCCAGACCGAAAAATTGCATCAGCTTCAACTTAGCATCGCTAGTCTTGTTACTTAGAAATGCCCGCGTGTCCTGCACACCATGCATAACCCGGGCAATCATTGACATCGAAATCACCGTTGACCCAGAGCTGTATTCGATGATTGTTTTGGTCTTGTTTGGAGCGACGCTTGACTCAAGCATATTCAACGCTACTCTCGCGTTAGCATCAAGCCTGGACTGATGTGTCTCGTGTCATCTCACCTGGCATTGCCTTGACATTGTTGGCAGGGTGCATGGTCATCATCTTGGCATAAATTCGAACTCCATCCTCGTGAAACGGATTCAAATACTCTGGCAGCTCGACCAATGGTAAGGGCGGCTGACAATCTGGGTCGAAGTATTTCTTCAACGAGTCAGGCCCGAAGTATACATTCCGCTCATTGGAGTTGGTCATTGTGCTATTCCGTGAAGGGTTGATCTTCTTGCTGAAACATCCAATGCATATGATAAAGACATATAAGAGATGACAGTGCTGGAAGTTTGAGCATAAACGAGTCAAGGCGTGGGAATTTCCTCACAGATATATTTCTATAGCGGCATCAATTCCTTCTCCATCCCGTTGCGTCCGCTTGGCACCCGGAGGGTAGAAGCCACGCGGTACACACGAGGTTTCCACGACCAGACCCACCAATATAGATCTTCAGGCAATGCGAGAAAGGTATAGAAGCATGGAAATTAGGATGTTTGAAGGTGGGGAAGCAGTCGTTCCAGTTCATCCATACAACGCTGCAACCGCCCAAAATGACTCTCCGTGCTTACGATGAATGAGACAGAAAAGGTCACCGATCACGAACATTATCCCGGGCATCAAACTCAATTTTGAGCAGCTATTCCTATTGAGATATCCGATTATATACTATATCCCTCATAGTCCGAGCAATCCAGGTTGGAGACCCTAATCGGCTTTCTCCGGTGGATAGCATGGGGTCGAGAATCTTGGACCAGGAGATATGCAAACGTCAGGATCGCCCGCAGCGACTGCATCATTAGCGTTTCCACTGTTGCATTCTTAGGTATTTGATGATCATTTATTCCCGGGAAATAGCCTCAAATATTCGTGAATGAGCTCGTGTCGCACGTTGGTCTCATGCAAGTCTGCCGTCTTCTGGTCTTGGCTGTCAGATTTCTAGGACCTTGAAGAAAGTTTTAGCTTTTTAATAAGACTCAAGGTCCTCGGAATCTAACGGAAATTAGAAGATAGCTTGCAACGGTCCGCAGTCATTATGCAATTGTATTATGCCTTTAGTTGTTGTGCTGTTTACGGTTAGTGTATGCGGGTCAGGTACCTTGAGAGTGTTTGAGCAAGTTTCGGCGATCACTGTCTTTTTGGGCACATTTAGTGATCGAGTGGATTTACGTGCAATATCCAAGCGATGTGTCTCTGGTGAGTGTCATTTGGAAATACGGTCAGTGGCTTGGTTATTCGATTTGATAATTCAATTCGGCTGCCCTCGAACGTTGTTTGGATTCCACCTCGCCTCGTAGCATTTCTCACTTCATTTGGATTGTTTTTTGAGGAGTCGGCTTGTGCAATTTATTGGATGTCAATTTTACACGCGATGGCCGAAATCCTACAGAATACATCGGGCCACTCTAGCCCTGACAGCTCGGAGGTCAACGTCGATTCGATGGACAAAAACGGGACACATGTAACCTTCAACGAGCAAACAAACTATGTGCCCAGGCGGACAATTATCACAGTAAGTATGCTTCAGATCAATTTTCCTCGCGGCTATGTGGGAAATTGCTTCGACAGCTGAACCTGGCTACGGGACCTTGGGGGATATTGGGCTCTAATCGCGCTTAGATCTTTTTAGCCTGTTCCAGCGTGGACCTGCTCGCACTGATGGACCAAACAACGTTGGCATCGTCTCTGTCGATTATTGGGAATGCATTGGGGGCCAGTGATCAGACATCTTGGATCTCCGGAGGTTACTTTGTGTAAGTTGTCAAACAGGACTTGTTCTTTGGCTCTTCAAAATATGACAATAGGCTAATTACTGACTTCAATTTCATAGAACATCAACGTGCTTCCAGCTTCTCTATGGAAAACTCTCAGATATCTGGTCGCGGAAGATAGTTCTGTTCGTCGGCCTTGCCATTTTCTTCTTTGGCTCGCTAGCGGCCTCGCTCTCCCAGACAGTCACCCAGCTCATCGTCTTTCGGGCATTGACAGGTGTTGGTGGTGGTGGGCTGATGACGGTTGCCCAAATGATTGTGAGCGATGTCGTTCCTCTTCGTGAGCGAGGCAAATACCAAGGCATCCTTGGGGCTGTGGTGGCCATTGCAAATGGAATTGGGCCCGTCATCGGTGGTGCATTGGCATCAATCTCGGAGGACTCGTGGCGGTGGATTTTCCGTATGAACCTGCCATTGACGGCCCTCACAACTCTATGTGTGCTTTTTTTCATGCCGTTGAGGAAGGTTGAGGGTGAGTGGAGGGTGAAGCTGAAAGCAGTAGATTTCTTTGGTGCACTACTAGCTCTTGGGGGCACTTCAGTGTTTCTATTAGGGCTCAATTGGGGAGGTGGTGAGTACAAATGGTACTCAGCACATGTCATTGCGACTTTGGTTGTTGGCTTTTCTATCTCGGTCGCATTTGCTGCATGGCAGTGGAAGGGTGCAAGAGTACCATTGGTACCGATGCACATATTCAGAAGCCGGATTGTCAACGGTTCATGCTTAACGATGTTTGTCAATGGGTGGAACTTTTTGGTCCAGGTGTATTATATCCCCACCTTCTACCAGCTGGTGTTTGGATATTCGACAGTTATCTCGGGTGCAATGCTGCTTCCAATTACACTGATGCAGAGTAAGTTCGCATCACTGTCCGCTGTTTTCACTATCCATGTTCTGACTTTATCGAATTTCCTAGCCGTCAGTAGTACGCTCTCCGGTCTTGTTGTCCACTGGATTGGCCGTTACCGAGAATGCATTCTACTTGGCTGGATCATCTGGGCAGTGGGTCTCGGGCTTTTCTCAACCCTGGATGAGTCCTCTGGGATTGGGAAGCAAATCGGATACGGTATTCTGACGGGTGTTGGTGTTGGAAATACTTTACAGCCGTCTCTCATTGCAGTCCAAGCAGGCGTTGAGCGCCGAGACATGGCTGTTGTCACCTCATTCCGGAAGTAAGTCAGATAGTTTTATTATGTTTGACACACTGTCTAATCATAACCAGTTTTGTGCGAAACTTTGGTGGTACGCTAGGCCTTGCAATTGCCGGCACAATCATGTAAGGCCCCATCTTGAACTGCAATTCTATTAATTCTGATCTTTCCAGTAACAACGTCGTCGCATCGTCAATCTCGGTCCTTGATCTTGGTCAATCCGAGTCGCGGCTCCTATTGTCAAGCCCACAGTCCTATCTATCCAGTCTCTCGGCCGATGATGCCAAGCGTATCCGAAGCGTCTTGATACCTGCCTACAAGAAAGGTTTCCGGATCATCTTCATCATTGGGGCAGCCTTAGCAGCGTTCGCTTTCTTCTTAGCATGCTGGCTTATGCCACAGGTCACATTGAAGCGTGATGATGACGAAAAGCTAAAGGAGGAGGGAAAGAAGCGGATCATTGGAGAGCTTGACGAGGAAAAGCGCGGTTGAAGGACTAACCGATCCTGGCGACACTTGTTATAGAGGTGTAAATAATAAATAAGACTCAATTTTAGCAGCAGGTGTACAATCTCCAAATCTTGAGCTGTCCATTGACACTGAAATTACACTGATGATGTCTTTTCCCGTCTACGACCCTTGGTGTGATCTGACTGTACGGCTTCCAGTAGCTTCAAACCAAGAATTGTCAACACTAGGGACAAATTTTATTACAGCTTAAGTGATCTTTGTTCCACGCACAGTCTCTCCAGAACCTTTCTCAATTTTGAACTCATGCCTTCATGCGACGGTCTCCCTGTTGAGCGCTCGACAAAGACATGGACACATTGTGCCACAGCCCTAACCTCATCCATGCCCCGCTCAAAGATACCAACTTCATAGGTCACGCTGGATTTGCCGAGCTTGTTCACTCGAAGACCTAGCTCTGCAACTGCTGGATATGCAATTGACGAGAAAAAAGCGGTATTCGCATCCACAGCGACTCCATACATTTCGGCGGTCGGTGGATGGAAGTCACAGTGTTCAATAAGGTAGGCATAGATCAAGGAGTCGGCTCCGGGTGTTTTTTTGTTAGAGTTCAAGTGTATGCTCTCTGTATCATAAGCTCAGCTCCTACAGAAAGCCATAAACTGATTTGTTCATGTGATCAAACATGTCGTTATCGCACCTTATTATGGCACATCAGCCTATCATGAACTTTGGTGGGTGCATATTTGATGCAAGTTGATATAACCCAAGGAATTGCTTGAGCCGATATGCTCGAGAGTTTTATCTGGATAGAAACTCACCATCGTGTTCTAAAATCAAAATGGTAGCGATAGTTTCCTCGACGACGTGCCTTGAGATTCTTCGCGGGTTCCATGATAGCCGGAAGTGTGGGCGGCACAAACTGCGCCGCTCGGAGTAAGAAAGAAGTGATGAGACTACATAACCAAGAATCTACGAGGTATAAAACGCAAATGAAGGCGATTGCGGGTTGTCTGAAGCATTGAATTAAAGGAAATCCTAGACCATAGGTATCGCTAATTGACAGATGATAGAAACAGCCCGTGTGCAAACCAAACAACCCGTAAAGACGTTAAAATAAATTTTTTGGAAGTCGAGTCACTTCATTGTTACATGACGCAGCTCCACTGAAACTCCCGATTTGAGAGAGAACACTCTAGTTCATCTGGCGGATGAGAGCGTTGATGTTCTCCTCACGGTTACCGGTGTCACCACCCTCGATGTAGTGGTTGAACTTGCGGGTGCGGAAGCCACCGTTGGGGTTGGACAGCTTGAAGGGCCACAGGAAGTTGTTGGCCTGCTTGAAGTTGGGGCCGACGGTGTAGATCTCGTGGATCAGATCCTCCATGCAGACAATGCCGAACTTGCCGAGGTTCTCCTCGATGATCTGGTTGTCGGTGAGGGCAACACGCGACTTGTCGATCTTGCCGTAACCGCGCTTGTACAGGAGCTCACGGACGGACTTCAGGTTGGGGTAACCGTAGGCGATGTAGGGGTTGACAATGGTCAGCATCTCCTGGGTGGCCTTGGTCAGGCGGATGAAGGTACCGCTGTTGATCTGGAGCAGACGGAGGAGCTGCAGGATCTTGCGGGGCTTGGGGGCAATCTTGTTGATACTGTTGGAAGATAAGTCAGCGATGTTTCACACATGATGGTAAAGATTGGAGGACATACCCCTTGATACGGACAACGAAGACCAGCTTGGGCTCATCATCAACGTAGAAGTTACCCTCCTGGCGGGCAGCGCGGGCCAGGCGGATCTTCTCACGCTCAGCATCGCGGTACTCCTTGACGTAGGACTCAGCGCGCTTGAAGATAACGCCACGCTTCTCCTTGTTGGCCTAGAGTGGAACTCAAGTCAGCAAGAGGTTCCTCAACGATGTTGTTGATATGACAAGTATAGGTAGCATCAACATAGTATCAGACCCGAAAGATGGTTAACAGGCGACAACATCGACCTTGGTCTAGTCGCGTGGTTGGTGTTTTCATCAGATTGTTGGAAGGGAGGTGTGGGAAAGTGGCAAATGCAAGGGAATTGCATTTGTGAAGATGAACCGACCTTCTTCTTGGCGTCGACCTCAGCACGGCGCTCAGCGCGGGCAGCCTCCTGGCTCTTGCGCTTCTTCAGGAGGGTCTCGGGGACGAGGACCTGGTCCTGGGTGGGAACGGAGCTGGTGTTGGGGTTAGTATAGTGCGTCCAAGCGATCATGTATGACATGAAACAATCCGTCGAGTGTAAAGAACTGCAGCATAGAGCGCCACATTCTCAACTGGAAGGCAAATAGAAAAACAAAAAACTCGACGAATGTCTTTAATCAGTGAGGGCTATGGCAAGAACAGGACTTTAAGGTCTCCTTGGTACTAGTTGGCATATTTCAGCACAACGTTCGCGAAAAGTGTGACCACCCCGAAAATTTTTTCTTGCCATGTCTGCCCTCATCTGACAACACCCTAAACCGAAGTTCAGGAAAATATGTGTTGACGCTATTCGTTCCATATGGGCAATGACTGCTTTTACCGCATCGAGAGCACCGGAGACGACAGCTGACAACAATGCATTTGGAGGAGAAGGCATGGGAACGCTTTCAACCTCAAGACTCCATGGCCCTCCTTCTGCCGGCTGTATCTCTTCGAAACACAAGCGCATATCTCCGAGGCCGTTCGAGCAGGAAGAGGGCACGGGAAGGATCGAGCTGGTGCTCAGCGGTCATCGTCAAATGGCGACGACGACCGTAGCATTTCCAGCGAGAGAAGGACGACTATACTGGAACCTCACAATCTCGAGGGATTGCATCAGTCAGTTGGGTATCAAGGGATAGCATACGTAGTAGGGGCCATTGTGAAGGTCCGGCAAGGTCGATTGTCGAAGGTTGTCGTGGAAAAGTTCGAAGGACGAAAAGCTCGAAGAAAAGAAGAAGGCAGAATTCGCTTGTGTGGTGATGGGTCCAGGCTAACCTATTTAGGACTGGTCGGCTTGAAAGACGCGCTATCCCTTTTTCTGGGTTCCTTTGCCCTTATCGCTTCCGATTAGGGTTCTGAGCCTATCAGATGACTTCATCCTTGGCATTCCCCTCGGTCGGCCCGTAAACACCGGACCTACTGATTACAAGTGCGGGGATCACCTCAACTTGCACTACTATCACCATGTCCCGTCGTGGTGTTGGCCTCGGGGCCTTTGCGAACCGTACTCAAGCAACGCAGTCCTTTGCCAGCCATGGCGCTAACTTACGCTCCACGCATCTCGCGTCTCTCCAGACTCAGCTCTCTGTCTTCCAGTCCTTACTCCATACCTTCGCGCTAGAACATAGCTCCACCATCAAATCCAATCCTACCTTTCGAGCCGAGTTTGCGCGCATGTGTAATACGATTGGGGTCGATCCTCTTGCTGCGAGTAACGTCAAGGGCAAGAATGGCCGACGCGGACTTGGCGAAGGGGGTAGCTTCTGGACGCAGATCATGGGCGGCGATATGAACGACTTCTACTTTGAGGTTGCTGTCCGCGTCGTGGAACTATGCCGGGATACAAGGGATGAGAACGGCGGATTGATCGGTGTAGAAGAGTGCCGAAAGCGAGTTCGCAAGGGGAAGGCCATCGGAAGTGGATTGGAGGTTTCTGAGTACGTGCAGTCTTGACGCGAGCCTAGACAAAGATTATGGCGGATAACTAACAAAGCTTTTGCACTTTCTAGGGACGATATTCTTCGTGCTGTTCGATCTCTAGAGCCTCTCGGTTCCGGCTTCTCCATCGTCCATGTTGGATCCAAGCAATATATTCGGTCTATACCCAAGGAGTTGAACACTGATCAGGCAACCGTACTTGAAGTGATCCAAATGCTAGGGTTTGTGAGTGTCTCAATGCTACAACTCAACCTGAACTGGGAGAAGGCCCGAGCACAGACAGTCATCGACGATCTACTCGCTGATGGCCTTGTTTGGCTCGATGCTCAAGGTCCGGAGAAGGAGTACTGGTCACCCCAGAACCTGCTGGATGATAGTGGATGAACAGCCCGTCCCGGACACCTCAACTATTGGAATATGATACACTCATTAGACCATGGTCCATCGAGAGACCACAATAGACCGACAGGAAAGAGTCTCCCATCCGCCGCCACGCGCAATCAGCAGGAGCACACTCTTTGGGCCTTTGTCTCTTCTATACGCCTCATGAGAACACCATCGAAGTTTGCGCAATGGGTTTCTGGGCTGGCAATCCATCGCGTCACCGTTCACTGAACTCGGGGTCTTCCGATCGTGATGCTTCGATCAAGGGAGCCCGGAGACAATGGAAAAAGTTGACTGAACTACGAGATTTGGACTTCATACAAATTTCCGTTATTGGTCGGTCTTGAGATTAGGTTTAAGGTTGTATAAAGTTGTATAGATTTAGACCTATAACTTGAGACAGGTTCGAAAATTCCACGTACAGATTCCAGACTTCAATTTTATCAGCCACCCCAAGGGCTTGTGGTCATCGCACCGCCGCGAGCTACCCATCAAAATATATCGTGCCCAAACGTAGCCACATCCTTGACTATGATACTTATTCGAAACTCCGCTGATGGCTCCATTTTCAGCAATATCCTTCTAGTGGTCTATAAAATCCGTAAATGCAAAAAGATCTAGCATGTCTCAAATCTGGATGACCTCCTGCACCCTCCGATCCCGGTTCACCACCAATCGGAGCTGCCTACCCTGCCAATCTGAATTGTCTGTGGAAGTGTTCTGTGGCTTGAAGGCTCCCTCGCGAAGAGTCTCTGTGAAGAGTTCATAGGAGGGATAATCTGGAAGGGAAACAATGGTCAGCGCGATCAAGCTAGAACCTAGCCGAGAGAGATACTGACAGCCATCCACGAAATGATTGACTTGTTCCTCCGTCATTCCAGTGCCTTTGGCTGCGCGCAAGGTACGCTCTTGTTCCTGGCGCCACTCATAGACAAATCGGAGATTCTGAGCATCACTGGAGAAAGGGATCAGTAAGTTGCGACTCTCAAGGCGTCCATATTTGGAGACTCACATGTGGATGAGCGCATCGAGTTTGCTGCGATAAAATGTCAGTTCCTCAAGTCTCGTTATCTAGTAGTATAGATTGATGGCCACTTACTCGGTAAGAGCGTCATATTGCCTCAATGCGTCGTTGACTGTTTTCACATCTTCGAACTGGACATGTCCAAGTCGCCCTTGGTAGTCGCCGCCCTCCTTCTGTCGCACTGCATCCTCCCACTTGGCGCGGAGAGTCTGATCATCCCAGGCGCGGAAACCGACACACCATCCTTCAAAAATGACGACCTTGACTTTCTTCTGGCCCTCGGCGTTCACAACCTCCCATTGCGATTGAGGAACGCGGTCCCCTTGCCCGGCGAAGGCAGACTTGTCATACTGTGGAATGGCCGTCGGCTGCTCCGCCGCGATTGAAGCAAAGACCTTCTCACCTAGCGCAAGATCATGGGTTGACGGTTGACCACGGTGCTGGAGGAGTGGATTTGTCGGATGCGCCTGTGCTAGCGCAACCTGATCGGCGTGGGTAAGATAGATATCGTCTAGCGACAGGGTCACCACGGAGAGCGAGTACGGCTCAGAGCGGAGTGTATTTTGTAGTGTTGACACCTAGGCGTGCATTAATGAGCTGGTTTGACCCGAGGAGCAAAGGGACCGAATCGTCCCGAGGCAGGACCCAGCTCGAGGACGGAGCAACTTACCAACACGGTCTTACCAGCGCCCTGCACGCCATTGAGCCCCAGAAAGAACGGCGGGGTATTACCGTCGGCACTGGCGTGCCGCTCGGTATGGATGCGCAAACGCTGCAGTAGAAATGGAATGCAATGCTGCGACTTGTCGTCCACGATTTCTGGCATGGCAGTTGGTTTCTTCAGGTCTATCGGTTACGGTGGCCGGCAAGTTCTCCGATCGGGGGGAATCTGGGGTTTTCTAGGCCCCGCGGGGTACGTTTCGGCGATTTCATTTGCCTTTCTCGGGCGAGTGGTCTACTTCTCGGCCTGGTCAGCAACTATAAAAGTGAAGATGACCCCGACAGAGTGCTGACTAGGTCACCATATGAATTAAGGTCCTAGGCATAGTATAGAAGGCTATCATAAATAATGCAGTTGATTTTACTTTTCAAAAAGACGCACATGGCGATGACGTTGCAGTCACATGTCTGAGTCAGCATGTGGTTTCGGTACCTTCCGACGGTACGAGTTTGGCGAAGTGTGCATGTACTCCGGCTATGGATAGAATAGAGATACAGTAGCTGGAACAATAATCAACGAGTGTTATCTATTACACAGTCTTAGTACTCTCCGTCATAAGTGTCAATAATCGAAATAATAATGCATACGGCTGTCCCCAAGCGGCCTCCAAAGTAGGCCGATGGTCGGCATGTGAAGCCAGCCCATCTGCCATGTAACGATACACGGTATCTTACGGTCGTGCCCGCAAGACCAAACGTGCCGAGGTCCCCCAGCTTCGGCCGACCGAGCTTGACTTTAAACTCCTCGCCTTCTCCATCTTATTTCTTCTTCCCTTCCCCAACTTCTAGTTCTATCCCCGTAGACTGAACTAGTCGGACTCCTTTCATCACACATATATCGGAAATGTCCGAACTACGCTTCGATAATCAGACGGTCGTCGTCACCGGCGCCGGCGGTGGTCTGGGAAAGGCATATGCTCTTTTCTTCGCCTCAAGGGGTGCCAACGTCGTTGTGAACGACCTCGGCGGTTCTCACTCCGGCGAGGGCAAGTCATCAAAGGTATGATAAACCAGTCACCATATGTGGACCATTCACTCACACCTTCACCAGGCCGCAGATGTCGTCGTTGAGGAGATCCGCGCCGCCGGCGGCAAGGCGGTTGCCAACTACGACAGTGTCGAGAACGGTGAGGCCATCATTGAGACGGCCATCAAGAACTTCGGCCGTGTCGATATTCTGCTCAACAACGCCGGTATTCTCCGGGATATTAGCTTCAAGAACATGAAGGATTCCGACTGGGATCTTATTAACCGCGTTCACACCTACGGTGCTTACAAGGTACGGTGTATACCTCCATCTCCTGCAACCTCGGCGGATGAGACGCAGAATGCTGACTTCACGCCGCAATTTACAGTGCGCCCGCGCTGCCTGGCCTCACTTCCGCAAGCAAAAGTACGGTCGTATCATCAACACTGCCTCCGCCGCCGGTCTTTTCGGCAGCTTCGGCCAGGCCAACTACTCGGCTGCCAAGCTCGGCCAGGTCGGTTTCACCGAGACCCTCGCCAAGGAGGGTGCTAAGTACAACATCATCGCCAACGTCATCGCTCCCATTGCTGCTAGCCGTATGACCGCCACTGTGATGCCTCCTGATGTTCTGGAGAACCTCAAGCCCGACTGGGTTGTCCCCCTCGTTGCCGCTCTCGTACACTCCTCCAACACCACCGAGACCGGTGGCATCTATGAGGTTGGCGGTGGTCACGTCGCTAAGCTCCGCTGGGAGCGAGCCAAGGGTGCTCTCCTCAAGACCGATGAGTCTCTGACCCCCGGCGCCATTGCCGCCAAGTGGAACGAGGTCAACGACTTCTCGAAGCCCGAGTACCCTACTGGTCCTGCTGACTTCATGGGTCTACTGGAGGAGGGTCTGAAGCTCTCCAGTGCCCCCAAGGCCCAGGAGCCTGACTTCAAGGGCCGCGTTGCTCTTGTCACTGGTGGTGGTGCCGGTCTGGGCCGCGCTTACTGCTTGCTGTTTGCCAAGTACGGCGCCAAGGTCGTCGTTAACGACCTGATGGACCCCGAGCCCGTCGTTCAGGAGATCAAGAAGATGGGCGGTGAGGCCGTTGGCAACAAGGCCAACTGTGAGGACGGTGATGCCGTTGTCAAGTCCGCCATCGACGCCTTCGGCCGCATCGATATCCTGGTCAACAATGCCGGTATCTTGCGCGACAAGGCTTTCACCAACATGGACGACAACCTGTGGAACTCTGTCATCAACGTCCACCTCCGTGGTACCTACAAGGTCACCAAGGCTGCTTGGCCCTACTTCCTCAAGCAGAAGTACGGCCGTGTCGTCAACACTGCCTCCACCAGCGGTATCTACGGTAACTTCGGCCAGGCCAACTACGCTGCCGCTAAGCTGGGTATCCTCGGCTTCTCCCGCACTCTCGCCATGGAGGGTGCCAAGTACAACATCAAGGTCAACACCATCGCCCCTAACGCTGGTACCAACATGACCCGCACCATTATGCCCGAGGAGATGGTCCAGGCCTTCAAGCCCGACTACGTTGCTCCTCTGGTTGTCCTGCTGTGCTCCGATGCCGCCCCTGAGCCCGCTACCAAGGCTCTCTTCGAGTGCGGTAGCGGTTGGTTCGGCCGCACCCGCTGGCAGCGCTCCGGCGGCCACGGCTTCCCCGTGGACGTCACTCTGACCCCCGAGGCCATTGTCTCCAAGTGGAAGGAGATCACCAACTTCGAGGACGGCCGTGCCGACCACCCCGAGGATGGCCAGGCCGGTACCGAGCGCATCATGGCCAACATGTCCAACCGTGCCGGCGGCAGCGGTGAGAACGAGACCCTCGCCAACATCGAGAAGGCCAAGTCTCTCACCGCTGAGGGTACTCCCTTCGACTACGTCGACCGCGACATTATTCTGTACAACCTCAGCTTGGGTGCTAAGCGCACCGACTTGCCTCTGGTGTACGAGAACGACGAGCACTTCCAGGCTCTTCCCTCGTTCGGTGTGATCCCCTGGTTCAACACCGCCAACCCCTGGAACATGGACGACATTGTCAAGAACTTCTCGCCCATGATGCTGCTCCACGGTGAGCAGTACATGGAGGTCCGCAAGTTCCCCATCCCCACTTCCGCCAACACCCTCACCTACCCCAAGCTCATCGATGTCGTCGACAAGGGCAACGCCGCCATTGTCGTTGCTGGCTACACCACCAAGGACGCCAAGACCGGCGAGGACCTGTTCTACAACGAGTCCTCCGTCTTCATCCGTGGCAGCGGCGGTTTCGGTGGCTCTCCCAAGCCCACTGTCGCGCGCCCCAAGGCTGCCACCGCCGCCTACAAGGCTCCCAAGCGTGCTCCCGATGCCGTCGTCGAAGAGAAGACCTCCGAGGACCAGGCTGCTCTGTACCGCCTGAACGGTGACCGTAACCCTCTGCACATCGACCCCGAGTTCAGCAAGGTCGGCGGCTTCAAGACCCCCATCCTGCACGGTCTGTGCTCGCTTGGTGTCTCTGCCAAGCACGTCTTCGCCAAGTACGGTGCCTACAAGAACCTCAAGGTCCGCTTCGCCGGTGTTGTGCTGCCTGGCCAGACTCTCAAGACCGAGATGTGGAAGGAGGGCAACACTGTCCTCTTCCAGACCACTGTCGTCGAGACTGGCAAGCCTGCCATCACGGGTGCCGGTGCCGAGCTGCTTGATGGCGCGAAGGCTAAGCTGTAAAATATGGAATCTTCGGTTGAAGCGATATACCATGGCGTGCGAGCTGGGAATACTCCAGTCAGAATGTAGCTTCTTGTTTGTATATACATAGCCTCTTCTTATGTTTCTTTTTTTTTCTATGATCTGTATCCGCTCATCAAATGGCACCTTGACTTGGAACTGAAATATTGAATGAACCTCAACCTATTTTGCTTTTTCTTGATTTTCTGGGCTTAACCTACGTACAGTAGTTCTGTCGGAGAATTCACACTGCATCAATCACACTCTCGCATGCTTCAACTATCCCCAGGGAGATATTATCTTGGCAGAGGTTGTGGACGGGGCACAGGCGCAAGGAGAAACCACTAGGGAATGACTAGATGACCCCACGCGAATCAATTTGCCCGATAACCCAGAGAGCTAGCGATTAAATAGATTCTAGGATGTTATTAGCATGCCAGCGTCACACGGAATGCGATCGAGACTTTCTCAAAGGTGGACTTCCTCGATTCTCCTCAAAAAGTAGGCAACAACTGAAATCCGGCCCGTCTTATGTAAACCGGAACTCGCGATCCTTCATTCTTCACTTCCACTCCTATCAGGCCACCAAACATCTCATCTGATTCTTCTTCACGCCCCCTGAAAGTGAAATTGTCATCCGACATACTCTCTCGCAGTCCGACGATGTAGCAGCGCCCTCCACACACCCAACATGGTGCTCTCGCTGCCTGTCCCCAGCTTCTCCAGATCCTCCACTTCCCCCCACGCCCCGCTGATGACACGCCGCAAGCCAACCGACACCGCGGCTCGGCCTCCTCAACCAGCTCCTCGTCCAGTCGAAATGTCTGGAAAACCTCCGGCCTGGGCAGTTCTAGCTCCGCAACCTCACCATCTCCGAACAGCCACTCCCTCACCCTCAGCGAGGCTCTCCGGAATAACCCTTTTGGTAGTAGTACATCGCGCTCCCGCTCCGTGCAGGTACCTCTCCATCAGGTGGAGGAGCAGCTGCGCGAGCAGGACGAGCTGAATGCCGCGCTGGAAACACTAGCGGGCACATTTCCGGACGTGCGCATCGAGGTTTTCCGCGAGTTACTGGTGCGCTTTGACGGTGAGAGCCGGCTACAAGTCTGCGTCGAGCAGTTGCTGCGACATAAGGAGAAATGGGTTGAGGGCCGGTGGAATATACCTGAGACTCAAGGTACACCGGATGAACAGAGTCTCAATGTGCAAGTAGGACCCCCTGGCCCCGTGGATGAGAACCTAGTCCCGGTTGAGGAGCGCTTCCGGTCAGAAGGGTACAAAGCGGCGGTGCAGTTGATTCTGGCGAAGGAATTCAGCAGTCTGAGCAAGAGCACCGTTGATGCCGTACTAGCCGAGGTGAATTTCAGTTATTGGCGCGCGCGTCCTACGTTGCGAGATCTCTCGCGCCGCACGTGGCGAGCGACGTTCAATAGTATCTTGCCGTTCCGTCGCAAGAAGGACCGAGATGATCATCCCCTTATGACGTGGCAACGTCGCATGGATGGCGAGCTTGTGCCCCGGTTGAAAGAGACCGGGTCAGCCGAGCTGGATGCCGAACTTCATGCGATAATCCTGGCGCCGCTGCTAGACCAACGGCGTGAAAACCAGGAGGCTGACGATTTCCGGCTTGCCTTGGAATTGAACGAGAAGGAGGCGAAGGCGGTTGATGCTTTGTATGAGTGCGAGTGCTGCTTTGCGGACGTCACCTTTGAGCAGATTGCGACCTGCTCGGCCAATGCGCATGTTATCTGCTACCATTGCATCCAGCGGACAATCTATGAGGCGTTGTTCGGCCAGGGCTGGGGCAAGTCTGTGGACTTGGAACGCTCAACATTAAAATGTCTCGCTCCGTTGGCCGTCGGCGCATGTGATGGCTGTCTGCATCCGCAAATTGTTAAACAGTCTATCCTCCTCGACACTGCTGGCTTGGAGATGTACCGCAAATTCGAGGACCGATTGGCCTCGGAAACACTGCTCAAGTCTCAAATGAAACTCATCCGGTGTCCATTCTGCTCCTACGCCGAAGCTGATCCGGTCTATCATCCCTCTTCTCGAGGTATCCGCTGGCAGGTCCGCCGGGACGGTGGTCTCATTCCCTCTATTCTAATGACGCTCTTCCTTCTTGACCTTGTTCCTTTACTTGTGATTCCTTTCCTAATATTCCTTCTTGTGGACCCGTCCTTCGTCACCACTATCTTCCAAAACGCGATCCGACACCTTTGCCTCAAGATCCGCCTTAAACGGTTCACATGTTCCAATCCATCCTGTCAGCGTGTGAGCTGCATAACCTGCCAAAAGCCATGGCGTGATCCGCACATCTGCCATGAGCCACTTCTGCTCGACCTCCGAGCCACCGTCGAAGCTGCACGAACGGCAGCAGTCAAGCGCACCTGTCCGCGCTGCGGTCTCTCATTCGTCAAGTCCTCAGGCTGTAACAAGCTGACCTGCGTCTGCGGGTACTCTATGTGCTACCTGTGCCGGAAGGCACTTGGTCCACGCATTCAACCCGCCCGAGCCCGGCGTGGATTCGACCGGCCCCGGCCCCGGGACCTGGACGCTTACGATGGTCCAGGCGAGGACATTCCATTCGAAGACGAGCCAGAGCCCGAATCCGAGGACGACGAATTCGAAGAGCCCGAAGGTTACAAGCACTTCTGCGAGCATTTCCGCATCAATCCTGGATCCCACTGCACCGAGTGCAGCAAATGTGATCTCTACCAGGCCGAAGACGAAGAAGCCGTTGCCCGGCGCGCAGGCGAGAAAGCCGAGCGAGAATGGTATCTTCGTCAAGGACCTTCTGGCCCCAATAGTTCAGCGTCGGCAGTTGGATCGCACAGCGTCAACTATGACCTATCGGCCGGTGCTGAGGGCCATGCTACCGGCCGTGGCGCGGCCAGTACCCTGTGGGATCTACGTCTGACAGGGAAGCCGTGGGCTTACTGGGTGAGTGATGTGTGGGCGGAGGGACGGTGGAAATTAGAGGGTCAGGCTTTGGTCGATTGGATTGTGGAGCGTGTCATGGTGATTGAGGAGGTGTGAGACCTGCATCTGGATCTCGTTGCCGCAGAATTTGCTTCGCTTTCGGTTTCATGGGAAGATGGGGCGTTGTGGGGGCGTGAGCCGGAAGCAAAATTGTGACTTGCCTTGGTGGTCTTCTTCATATTCAAGGGTAAACTATCCCTAGGGAGTCAGGTTGGCTGGCTTTGACTTGGTTTGCTGGACGACGTGATGACCGCCATGAACCTCTTCCCTCTTCTGTATACGAACTGGCTGGTTTACTTCCTTATAACTAGGAAGTGATAGCCCTATTTTCTTTAATGGACGTGTTTGAGCAACTCGGCTGCTAGCTACTCTACGGATTACTTCCCCGTAACTCTCGAGACTCTATTAATCATGATGATAAGTAATGATATCCAGTCTTCCTTAGATCAGTTGGCGATTCCCGCTAAGATACCGCCATACTGAGCAGTCTTTTCTGAGATTTTGGGCGTGACTACAACAGTGGATATAAGATTTCCCTTCTGCAAGACAAGATATGACAATGACAATGGTCATTCGTACATCCTAAGCATTCAGTGAACGACAAGTTGTTAGTCTCCTGCGGAGAAGACGTATACGGGACCAGGAACAGGTTTAGGGCCATGTCCTCGCCTTAAGGAACCCGAATTCATACACAAACGTAAGACCCCACCCTGAATCCTTGAGGGCCCCCGTCACGAAGCATATTCGTCATAGAAACACATAATACACATATCCCTACGCATAAGAGCCAACAACTAACTTTCTAACCATTTATATTCATTCATTTTGGATCATGGGATAGCCACGAGCGTATTTCACTCGCGATCAGAAACGGCATGAGAAAGGGGGCGGGATGATAGAGAGAGAGAGGGAGTGCGAACAGAAAAAAAAAGGAGACCATGACAGATAAAAAAAAAAAGAGGGAGGAAGAGGGGTGTTAAAAAAAGGAGATGAAGAAACCAAGGCATGCCATTAAATCAAAAAGGAAAAACAAAAATAATCCCGTTTAAGCCTTGATTGCACCACCCAATGCACCGCCGCCGAACTGCTGGCCACCGGGTCTCCGACCCTGCTGACCACCGGGGAACCGGGCACCGCCACGGCCCTGGCCGCCGCCGCGACCACCACGTCCACCACGGGCACCGGGGCCCTGCTCGCGCTGGAAGGCATTGGCCATGCCCTGGGTGCGCTGCTCGAGGGTCTTCTCGTTGGACTCGAGCAGGCCCATGGACTTGTCGGCGAGGGTGACGATCTGAGACTGCAGGCGGGAGAGCTCGACGCCCTTGCGGAAGATAATGGCGTCATTGACCTGGTCGAGGGCAGCAGCGAGCTCCTCGTGAGAGATCATGCGGCTGATGATAGCCGTGATCTTCTTGATGGGCAGCTCGAACATGTCGGCCAGCGAGGAGATGGAGAGGCTGTCGTAGAAGGGAGCGTAGGTAAACAGGTAGGTGCGCAGACCCTCTTCTTGCGTCTGAGCAGCGAGCATCTCCTTGACCTTCTCGGGCTGTGGCATGAGGTCCCAGATCTTGATGGAGGACAGCATGGAGGCAGCCTTCTTCCAGTCGCCGCCAGCGAGGAACTTGGCCGACATGATAACGCCATCACGGGTGTTCTCGGGAGGACCAGTGAACACCTGGCGCTCGTTGTAGTCGAGCATGCGGCGGAAAGTCTTGGAGATCATGCGGCGGCGCAGCTCGGGGGAGGACGAGGTCTGTGCCATGAGGGGAACCTCAAGGAACATGCTGGAGGTGAGGTAGATGCACTCGAGCAGCTCGAGGTTGATGTGCATGTGGAAGGGCAGCTGACGCTGGCGCTCAAGTCGCTCCTGCTCGGGGGAGACAGTGGAGTAGCGCTGGAGGATGATACCCTGAGCCAGCAGCTCCTTTTGCCGGCCGGAGCCGCAGATGTCACCGAGGGTGTTCTGGGCCTCGTAGATGAGACCAGCACGGAAAGCGCACAGACCGATCTGAACAAGGGTGCGGTTGAAGAGGATCTGGGTGCTGACGTCGAAGTTGGAGATGTTCTCGGTCAAGTGGGACATGAGCATCAGATCACGAGAGCGGTAGTACTGGTCATGCAGAGCCAGGAAGTAGATTTGGCACAGCATGGAACGAGCACGGATGATGCCGTCGCTGTTCTGGAATAGGTAGTGGCAGAGGGTCTGGATGAGGGTGTTGACGTCGCCAACGTTCTTGCGGGAGGTGACGGCGGAGTCGAGCTTCTCGGGCAGAGCCTTCCATGTGGCATCCTCGAGGATGGAAACAACCTGGGAGGGCTTGAAGTAGACGTGCTCCAGACGGCGGATGATCACCCGGTTGACGCTATCTTGCCGAGTATCGTTCTTCTCGCCAGCATTCAGGCTCTCAACGTAGATCTGAGCACGAACAACGTTGTTGTACAGCTGCTGCTCGTCGCTCAGACGCTCGATGTACTCGGCAGTGTGGGGGTCGATTTGCTGGAGCGAGCGGGTGAGCTCGTCATCCAGACGCTCGATGTATGAGACAATGCTGCCGGGAATGTAGAAAGTCTCGCCCTCGGCAATCTGGGGTTGCTTCTCGTCATCCTCCCACTCATCAGCACCCTCGCTAACAACCAAGTTGCGGTGCTCCTCCAGGACAGACAGCAGGGAGCCGAACTCCTTGTCGGCAGACTTCCATTGCTCGGGGCTCATGTAGTTGGCGGAGGAGGAGGTAAGGTCGAAGCGGGTGGAGATGAGGGTCATATAAACACGGATACGCTGGTAGGGAGTAGTCGCAACGGCCAGGAGCTTCTCCATGGTCCGGATCTGGTCGAGGCGGTCGGTGTTCTTCTTTCCTCGGGACTCGACAATGACACGGAGGTGCTTGAGAATGCTCTCGGGGGTGTACTGCAGGGTCTTGCCACCACGGCCAACAGTGGTGAAGTCGTCGTCCTCGGCGGCGGCGGCGGCGGCAGCCGCAGCGAAGTTCTCGATCTTCTCGACCTTGGTGGGCTTGGGGGCGGCGGGCAGGGGTTTCTCAGCCTCCTCGTCACTCTCCATGTACTGGTCCTTGTCGGCGCGGTACTTCTCGATCTGGGCGGCATAATCCTTGTTGTTCTTCTTGATACGCTGCTTGACGGCATTGAATCCCTTCTGTTGGCTGGCGTTCATCTTCTTGCTCGCGGCCTTCTGCTTGCTGACGGACTCATTGACGAAGTCCTCGAGATCGGCGACGGCCTGGATGTAAATCTTGGGGACGGAGCCAGACTGGGTGATCTTAAGGATCTGGCGGTTCAGGTTGTCGAACTCTGTAGTGTCGCATGGTCAGCGCGAATTCTTTCTTCATCCACATTTGCCTTATATCCAGTAATTCCCGTAATATCTGCATTTCCCCCGCTCCATCGTCCAACTCCGCAGGTATCCGCCAAACGACGTCGAAGAAAATTCAAAGGGACACGACTCACCAGTCGAGATGACAGACCAGTCGTTGATCTTCTCGGCATTCTCAATCAACTTGATAGTGTTCTCCAGACCCTCCAGTCGCTTGTCCTTGGCACTCTTCACGACCGTCACTTTTTCTTCTTCCTCCTCCTCCTCGCTCTCGGACTCATCCTTCAAGAAAGCGGCGGCACCACCCTTGGCGATGGCCTCGTCGTCAGACTCGGACTCTTCAGAACCGGACTCGGACTGCTCGGAGGACTCCTCGTCGCTCTCCTCTTCCTCCTCGGATCGCTCGTAAACATCCTCCTCCTCGTCCGAGGAGCTGGACTCGCTGTCGCTACCACCGCGGTAGAAGAATCGAGACATGGTTGCGGATGAGTTGAATCCGGTGCTGCAAGGCAGGTTGTCCCTTCTCAAAAGTTGGAGTTGAATGGCGGGCGAGAGCCACACACGAAATTTAAGCGAGGGGCTGACTAAACCCGATTCGGACTAGCGCCATCACATCTCTTTGACGCGTTGCTTTGTATATGGAAATACTAGTCTGATCGACTCGAAACATCTCACTCATCCATGCATATTGTTTTTGACTCATTTCGAGGTCCGTGGGATTTCATAACTATCTACTAATTTCACACTCTGCTCATATGACTCACGCGCAGCAATCCGGCAATTCGCTCCGGAACGAGGCAAGTCCCATCAAGGTACCGCCACCCTAGCGACCAAGCAACAAACAAATGTATCCAACATACAACAAGGAACGCACGCAGAAGAAAGCAAATGGATCTCAAGAATTTCTCCTAATGCGAAGTCAAAAATATGGTGAATCAAGATTTACTTAGACAAGCAACGGGGATGATATCGTTCTTTCATACTCCAGGCTATGCCGAAAGAAAACAAGAGACATGAAGAAAAAGGTAAAGAAAATCTCATGACACAGCAGCCGCTTATATAGAATAGCGACACCTCGGGACAGGCAAGAAAAGAAAAATGAGACATCACTTGCAAAAAAGGGCATGGGTAAAAAGAGCACAGAGTAGCTAGAAGAAAGAAGACGCAGAGGGAGAGAGGCAATACAAGAACATGAAGCCTCGTATAAGGAGACAGCCGCCTTCCAGCCGTCAGCGTACACTCACACTTATCGGTGAGTAACCGCGGGAGTTTTGCGACACGAAGCTACGAAGAGCATGCATCGGAATTTTTACCCTCTCAACCACAGTGGCCTATGTGCAAACCAGCCCAGATCAATCCGGAGCCTGGTACCAGACGGCCCCGGCGGGCTATAAGTTGACTGCCTAACCAGACGTGATATGACTCATGCCAAGGCATCGAGAACTCAGCTAAGCGGAAGCGCACATCAGTTGGATGGCAGGGGGGTTGAGAGGGGAGGAGAAAGCAGGCAGGCTGAGCAGAGTTCCAGATATCAACCAGGCAGTGCGAGACAATGACGGAACAATCTTCGAGAAGAGACACACGCGCAAGGCGTGACGGTGCTCGACTGCAGCGAAGCCATCACCAGAAAAAACCAGAATACCAAAGCACCGTAGAGGCAAGGCACTCGTTCGTGGAATGTGCCCCACTCCGGGTACTATTCTTATGCCTCCTCTAGTGCCACTGGTTTTGACTCATATAGCCATCGCCCAGGACACCATCCTCAAGAGTACGGATAAAGTCCCGGTTTCGTTGGTTGCCTTGTCCAGCAGCAGCACGGCTTCCACGGCGCCGCTGGTTCGCGTTATTAGGATCCACGTAGCCATCAGGCGGAGGCGGGTAGTACGCCGGGCTGGGCTGCAACCGAATCGGCGCGTTGGGATCCAAATGGCTGGCCACGCGCTGGATCGTGGTGGGAACACCGCCTCCCTGAGGGTCCATCGTCGATGCACGTTGACGACCGGCTCGTGTTGTTGCCTGAGCATAGAGGCTCTGTGAAGGTGCATACTGGGCTTGCTGAGGCACCTGGCCTTGGACAAGACCCATCTGATGGCCATAGCCTGGTGGTTGTGTCGGGTACGGGGGCGGGGCACCCTGCTGGTACATGCCATTATACATGGGCGGAGCCTGTGCAGTGTGGGCAGGAGGGGTGTGGTACTGATTCATCTGCATATTATATGCTGACTGGGCATGGGCAGCTTGGGCGGCCCTCTGCTTGCTGGCAGCTTCAGCCTGCTGTTGCTGCTGAACACCAGGGGCAACGGTCTTATTGGGGGCCGAGTATTTCAAGTTCATGGGCGGCATGAAAGGACCAGTGAACTTTTGCTGGGTAATGAACGGGTGCAATTTGGCTTGCTGGGGCGACCATCGCTCGAGCGGGTTGATCGTCAGCAGGCCGCGGACAAAGTCGATGAATGCCACCCGGTTGTTGAGTTCTGCAAAGCGAAGGTGATTAGATGAGAGATTCCACAACCCTCAGTTTTGGACTCGGTCTTACCTCGTTCAATCTCGGCTTGTTTCATGTTCTTTCTCGGCATGGGGTAGCTGCGAATGATCTCCTCCAAGGTGGATGCGGAGAAGTATTTCTTGCTGGGTTGCTCCTTGGTGTTGTGCTCCCTCGAATACTGCTCTAGGCTCTTCAGGCGATATGTCTTACGGCCATACTCATCCTGAGTCTTCTCGAAAAACTCGCCCGATTGCTTGCCCATCTCCAACATCCATGTTGGTGGAAGACCCAGCATTTCGACGATACGGCAAACCTGATTGTATTCAGAAGAGCCGGGGAACAGAGGCAACCCTAGGAAAAGTTCGACAACGATACATCCCAGGGACCACATGTCGATCGCGGATGAGTATCTAGACACAGGTCAGAGGAATTCTCGACGGTATATAAATTTTCATAACATACGGCAAACCAAGCAACACTTCTGGTGAGCGATAGAAGCGTGATTGAATGTAGGTGTATACCGTTTGGCGTTCATCGCATGCAGAGCCAAAATCGATAACCTTGATGATTGGGCTCTCAAGACTATGAAGAGATGCGAGTCAGCAACAGGTTCTCTAAAAGAATTCGAAACGTCCTGAATATACTGACTTTTTCAAAAGAATATTCTCCGGTTTCAAGTCGCAATGAATCAGATGAGCCTTGTTCAAAAGACTCAACGCATTCAAAAGCTGTTGCGCGAAAACACGGACGAGTGTAGTGCTTAGGCCTCGGAATTGATTCTGCTTGATCAGCTCATATAAGTTGACGCTGAGAAGTTCGAAGGCAAGGCACAGATGTTGACGATGGATAAAGGTATCCTTCAGGCGGAGCAGGTGATGGTCATCGTTCTTATCGTATTTGCTGTTCAGCTGTAGGGTAGGGGAAATTGGTGAGTAGTTGTCCAGGCCAGGGTGGTAAGGAACGTGTAATGCATACCAGATCCAACACAGAGACTTCCATCATGCTCTGATTGAAATACGCCGTCTTGTTCTTGATCACCTTGACAGCCACAACTTCTTGCGTCTTCAGATTCTGGCACTTCACCACCTGACCAAAAGTACCCTGGCCCAACACATCGAGAATGAGATACCGGTTTCTACAAGAGGGATAAAAGTGTTAGAACAGGCAAGCAGGAAATACGCTGCGACGTCTCCAGGAACATACTTGTGACCGGCCTCCTCACTACCCAAGATGTCATTGACATAGAGAATATAATCGCTATCCTCGTTATCATAGCCATCATTCTTCACACCCTTGCTTGGTTTGGTCAACACGCGACGCGGGTTTCTCGAGGACTCGTAGTTGAAGTTCGGGTTGCAGATGCGATACGTCGACGGAAGGTGGGTCGTCAGCGCTTGGAGGGGCTGCGGATGACGGGTGTTCAGTAGAGATCGAAGGGGAAACAATCAAGGAATCCTTACGCTGATGAAGCCACCCTCGGGATTGGCACGTCGATATGCGGGCTGGGCGTGGATCCGCGGATGCAACTCCTGAACTGACTTAATCTTCTGGAATTTGGGGACTGGACCACGGCCTGGGACTTGCAACGGCATAGATCCCGATCGCGGTGACCGTGTTCCTGGTCCAAACGTCGGACTCATGTGTGTGGAAGCGGAGGGCGGATAGTACTGGTCCGGGCTGAGGTCGGCTGACTGAAGAGGGGGAAGACGCGGAGGGCGGTTGGACGCTGCGGCAAGACAAGCAGGTGCATTAGCAAACTCATTCGAGACAGTCTGACATGACCGCGATCGCATTGGCAATAGAAGTGGCTCACATTGGGGTGATTGGTAACCCTGAGGAGAGGAAGCGTAGTCTGCGGCTCTCGTGGGCGACCGTCGAGTCTGTCCCGGGGCCGCAGGAGAGGAACCGAACGAGCCTTGAGGTTTCCCGGGGCTGGGAGGGTATGACATCGGCGGCGACAGAACATTCATCGGAGAATATCTGCGAGCTGCCGACGACTCCTCGGCCTGATTGAGGAATTGAGACGAGGCGCGATTGTGATGAGTCGGCCTTGATGGGTACTTGGCCCGATTGTATGGATCCGCATCCTCCATGGTGGTATCCGCATCGGTGACATAATCCCGACTACGTGGCGTGGCAGTTGGAGACGACGCCATGGAGACGGGCTTGGAGCTGGGGTGGGCAGAGGAAGGCTTCGAGGAGGTGCTGGGAGTTTGGAAGGTCTCGTATGTGTATCCGACGGGCGGCTGTGTCTGGGCTGGCGGCTGACCGTACTTGGTGCCCAGCTGCTGCTGGGGATGAGACGCCAACCCACTATTGAACTGCGCCGGCTGCCCCATCAGGGGATCCTGGTAAGGTTGCCAACCAGAAGGATCCATCGTCGAAACCTGTCGAGACGGAGCAGGTAGCCCGGAGATCGAAAAAGAAACGAAGATGAGAATTGAGCTTCGTCACCAGCACCGGTCCACCGTGCACACTGCGCACTTGCGATCTTGGGGGGGTCGTGCGTGGGCTTCCAGCGGGTGGGGAGGACAACACACGCGAGAAGCGCGGCCGCTGAAGGGGAGAGAGGGGGAGGAGGAGGAAGTTGGACGGGTTAGGGAAAGAAAGCTGCGGCAATTCGAAGGATTGACGAGGAGATGGGCGAAAAGACGACTAGTAGAGACTTGTGCGATACTGCATCATCTAGGCAAAAGGTGAATTCTGTTGGTGTAGTCGGTAGTAGTGGGGGGGGAAGACCAGTTGACGTTCGGGAAGGGCGTTTTCCTGGGGGTGGGCGGTCGCAAAGGGCGATGGAGATGCCACCGATGTAGTCCACGCAGTGACGAAGGGGGCCAGAGATGGCGGGAAGAGAGAGATGTGCAACCGGAGAAGGGGGGCGAGACGGGAATCTAAGCACACGAGGATGAAGAAGTCTACATCCACGGGAGTCTTAGATTGGTCGCCGTCGGAGAGGAGGAAGAGAAGGAATGAGGGTTGGAGACGAGGGAGAAGAGGGGAGAGGAATAATCATCGAAGCGGGTTGAACTTTGCCCTGAGGGATGGGCGACGATCGACACACTAACAACACTTTCCAAGGAGGAGGGATATACCAGCGCTACCCAACCTGAGAATATGCTGTACAGAAGAAACTTTGGTTCGTCACTCGGCCAATGAGGCCGTTGCTATTGTACAATGTGATCTGTGCGATTCAAAAGAGGCTGGGGGTTTGTGTAGAGTATAGGAGATTGAGCATGGCAATAAGAATACTACTACGATGGAAATCCACTGGGATCAACGGATCGAATGGTCTCATCTAGGTTGGTGTTACTATATCTATCGAACTATCGGACATTTCCCAGATGCACGAGAAATGACCCTAGACTTCAGGGCCGAGAGTATACAGCTTCCATTTATAGTAACTACTAATTGGTCGAAGCACTCCGGACTCGGTGATCTCACCACTTGGAGCGGCCTCCTTCTGGCCGGATGATCGTCTCCTTGGCGACGTGTGGTCCACGATCGTCGCGTCATTGCATACCCAACCGGGTCAGGGCTGTGAATGCCTGATCCCTCTACTGGAGCTCAACTGTCAATCCGACCTCTACGTCAGGCGGCTGGCAGATTTCCTTTTGTGGCGAGTGCAGGGAGGACACGCAGAATTGGTCAATTACTGATAAACTGTCGGTAGACCGATACAGTATAGATATAGGTAGGTCATACCTGATGCCTTATGCTCCGGCTTGCATGATGGACAGTGGCCGTTCAAATAGTCAAAGTCACCTAGAGACCGTGGAAAAAGGCCCAGCTAAATATGCTTTGACTGTCTTTCATTATGCAATCTTTCTAGACGGCTTAGGCAAATTCCTCAACTTAATTTTCAAATCTTGACTGATGACATAGGGGAGGCAAGGAACCCCACTGTAGATATCTCCGAGTGGAGGATAGTCGAGGCCCAATCTGGGGTAGTGCCAAAGGTCTTTCTTATGATATTGGACCAACAACATAGGTGGATGCTCGTCTGAGAGTATCCTCTTCCTCAAAAAGGTGTGGTAGTTGCTGATATTATTTATATAGTAAGGTTGCTACCTGACTCTATCTTAGTCGCTCAGTCACCCTCTGCCAATACGTCACCTGATCTTTAATTAGTTAATAACTTGATATGATCAAGTCATCTTAATCATGGGTTTAAATCCACGGGTAGCTCTAGATACCGATTTATATGGTATTAGTACCTGGCAATACGCGATAGGAAGTGCGCATGAGGGAAAATTCAAAATGCCGTCTGTGGGATTCGACCCTGAAGAACGCAGAGAACCGCGGACCCTCGGCGTGCGGCTCCTGCAGGCGGTCAGCCGAATCTGCCGGTTGTTGCCTCATCGCGATAACGAATTGTCAAGGCTGCGATTGCCCATATTTCACACGCCTCATGCTCGAGGTAGTCACCATGTTTGCCTGGGCCCCGACTTGATTGCCTACCTCGTCACTCTCATTTAACTGACCCCAATCCATTCTCTTTCCTCCCTTCCCTCAAGACCTCCCACTCGCAAGATGGCCTCGCCAAATTCCACCAACGCTGCCTCGGAGGCAAGCCGTCTGCAGGAACTGAATGCAGACGTGCGCAACCAGGACGACCTCGAACGGGATATCACTCGTCAGGTAGATTGACACCAGCTCTCAAGTCATATTGAGTCTCAGCCTCACTTACACTTGGATAGGCCGATAAGTTCCTCGCTGAAAAGGCCGAGGAAAACGATACGAAGAGACTGGAGAAGGCGCTGAACGACAAAGAGTAAGCTCTCGTCATGTCTGTTTGCTGCTCTATGTGAGATTAAGCGTGCTGATTTTCATCTCAGCAAGGTCGATCGGCAGATTCGACAGGCCAAAGACCGCCTGGCCAAGCACGTCGGAGCCGTCAGCCGCCACCGGGTCGAGAATGAACTCCGAAACCTCGAGGCCCGCCGATCGGGACTGGTCAACGACATCAAGGACATCCAGAAACGGATCGATGATCGACGGGAGGCCCAGGAGAAGGCAGAGGGCAGTCATGGCCCCGGCCGGCTGCCGAACGAGTCCCGGCGGGACTACCTCCTGCGAACGGGAAAGATCACTCCGTTCGAGCTCATGAGCCAGGCCGGCCCAGATGGCTCCCTGTCAACTCTCCAGGATGCCCTCGTCGACGCCGAAGACCAGCAGCAAGAGGAGGAAGAGCGCGAGAAAGCTCGCCACGACCCGGCCGCCTCTCACCGAAACCTTCTCCGCCCGGAGCTCGACTTTGACGAAACCAGTGAGAGTGCAGAGAGCCGCGGCAGCAAGCGGAGGAAGCTGGAAAGCCCTTCTGCAAAGAAGAGTCCGAAAGCTGCGCGGGCTCGCTCGCCCACCTCGCCCGAAGTCGACTCCGAGGCTAGTTACGTCGCCTCGGAGGGCAGCGTGTCATCCGAGGATGAAGAGTTCATGCCAGACACCGTAGCCGAGCTGACGACACGAAAGCGCAAGCAGGGCAAGGCAGAGTCTGAGCTCGAGGACCTCAGCGGTGTTGACGATGGCAACGAGAAGATCTACCAGACCCGCCTTCAGAACTGGATCAGTCGACGCAGTGCCGCTCGCAAGCGTGCCCAGGGTACACCCATCAAGGAGGAAGAGGGCGAGGCCGAGGCCGAGGATGAGTGGCTGAAGCCGCATCCCACAGAGCCAGACTTGGACCTCCAGAATGGCCTCTACGTGCCGGGTGATATCGGCAAATACCTCTTTTCCTACCAGCGAACCGGCGTTCAGTGGCTCTGGGAGCTGCATCAGCAGTCGGTTGGTGGGATCATTGGCGACGAGATGGGACTCGGCAAGACGATTCAGGCCATCGCCTACCTTGCATCGTTGCACCACAGCAACATGTACACCAAGCCGGCGATCGTTGTATGCCCTGCGACTCTCATGAAACAATGGGTCAACGAGTTCCACCGTTGGTGGCCTCCCTTTCGAGTTTCGATCCTGCACTCTTCTGGCAGTGGCATGATGAATGTGGGAAGGGAAAGCAGTCGTGAGATGGCCCTGACGTCAGAGTTGATGGGTAGCTCGCACTCTCGACACTTGTCTGCTGGCCAAAAGGCCGCAAAGAAGATCATCAAGCGTGTCGTGGAGGAAGGACATGTCCTGGTGACCACTTACTCCGGTCTGCAGTCATATGCGGATGCTCTCGTCGATGTCGAATGGGGGTGTGCCATTTTGGATGAAGGCCATAAGATCCGCAACCCGGATGCTGGCATCACCTTTAGTTGCAAGGAGCTGCGGACTCCTCACCGCATTATCTTGTCGGGAACTCCTATGCAGAACAGTCTGACTGATCTGTGGTCGCTCTTCGACTTTGTCTTCCCCATGCGTCTCGGCACTCTGGTCACCTTCAAAAGTCAATTTGAAATTCCCATTCGCCAAGGGGGATACGCGTCGGCCACCAATTTGCAGGTCCAAACTGCCGCAAAGTGTGCAGCGACCTTGAAGGATGCCATCAGTCCATACCTTCTTCAGCGGTACAAGGCGGATGTCACGTCCGACCTTCCCCAGAAGACCGAACAGGTCATTTTCTGCAAGCTGACCCGGGAGCAGCGCAATGTCTACAAGCGATTCCTTGGCTCCGATGACATGGCTTCTATCATCCGTGGAAGAAGGAATTCTTTGTTCGGCATTGATATTCTTCGAAAGATCTGCAACCACCCAGACTTGGTAGATCGCCAGCTACGGGCTCATGAGCCTGACTACGGCAACAGTGACCGTTCAGGCAAGATGCAGGTCTTGAAGGGACTTTTGGAGGTGTGGAAGGACACGGGACACAAGACCTTGCTGTTTGCCCAGACTCGACAGATGCTGGACATCATTCAGAAGTTTATTGTGTCGTTGGGTGGATTTAACTTTCGTCGCATGGACGGCAATACTCCGATCAAGGACCGTCAGACCATGGTGGATGACTTCAACAAGGATCCCGATCTCCACGTCTTCCTCCTTACCACTCGCGTGGGTGGTATCGGCGTAAATTTGACTGGCGCCGACCGAGTCATCATCTACGATCCTGATTGGAATCCATCGACGGATATGCAAGCCCGCGAACGAGCATGGCGCCTCGGTCAAAAGCGGGACGTTACGATCTTCCGCCTTATGATGAAGGGCACCATTGAAGAAAAGATCTATCACCGCCAGATCTTTAAGCAATTCTTGACCAACAAGATTACTCGTGACCCCCAACAGCGCGAGGGCTTCCAGGCGAGTGATCTGTATGATCTGTTCTCCTTGACAGAAGAGAATGACAAGGAGCTGGAGACTACAAAGCTGTTCAAGAATGCAGATGTCACCTACCAAGAGGAAGACACGACTACTCCACCTTCCAAGAAACGTGGCCTGGGTACCAAGTCCAAGTCGCAGACCCCGAATCTCGATGGTGAAGATATCAGCACCGTCCAAGGCGTTGCCAACATCGAAGAATTTACCAACGAGGGCGACGACCAGGATGGGTCGAAGAACAACCCCAAGACCGCCGAAGACCGCATCATGCATGGCATCTTCGCCCGCTCCGGCGTGCATGCTGCACTTGAGCATGACCATATTGTCAATGGCAAGCGCACCATTCGTGCTGATCCGAAACTGATTGAGGCGGAAGCTAGCCGCGTGGCCGCCGAAGCTGCGCGCGAGCTGCGACGCGCTGAAGAAGTGGCCCGGAATACGCCTATCGGCCTGCCTACCTGGACTGGCTCCTTCGGTATGGGAGGCCGCACCGACCTCGGCGGCGCTAGCTCGTCAGCACGGCCGGCCGCTCGAGGCCCTTCATCTTCGACCCTGCTGTCCAATCTCAACCCTGGTGCATCGGCAGCGAGCTCCCGTACCCCTACTCCACAGGGCTCGGAGGCTCCCAACCGGATGCCGCGTGGCAAGGACTTTTTACCGCTGATCCGGGACTTTTTGCTTTCTCGCCGCGGCCCGGTGTTCACGCAGGTGATTGTCGATCAATTCAATCACTACTGTAACAATCCGCAGCGTGTGGCCGAGTTCCAGGAGATGTTGAAGACTGTGGCTCGTCTGGATAGAGACCGTGGTGGGCGCGGACGATGGACATTGAAGCCGGAGTTTGCGAAGAAACCGGCGGAATAGAAGTGTGAGAGACACAGTCAGAGTCGTCTACATTAGCAGGAGTTATGATGGCGCTGTCCATGAAGATGGCATTGTGTACGATAAGGAGGTTATGACGCAACGAGAACCATGACCTTATGACAGAGAAGTCACTAATAACATGACCAAAATTTTCATTATCATCCCCTTAGCTCTATCTTGGGCTCATATAGAACTCTAACATACCTTGCCCAGTGCCTCAGCAGTCCACCGTCACCCTGCGAGGCACCCGATACTGTTCTATACTCTAAGCATCAGCCACCCCGAGCGACAAGAGAATATCCGGACATTCCGGGCCCTCCACGACGGGATCTATCGTGTAATATTCGTTCTCGTGTCATAAACATGTGAAGTACCTCCATATTTGGGTTCTGTCGGAGAGTACGGAAGCTTGTCCCTCCTTCCTGGATCTGCGATACTACGTCTAGATGGATTGTGACCTTCTTGGTCCGAGTCATGTTGCGGATGGAGTGCCTGATCGAGTATCCACACCCGAAAGTGAATAGTAATAGGCATCATCTACCTATCCCGTTATACATCGTAGGTGACTCCTCCCTGTATGCTATTATTTTTCCTTACTGAAGATCATCCAGGCTATCCTGTTTACACGGCCCAAAGGAAACCGAACCGTGGGTAGATGGATGGTGGTCAGGGGCACGTCCATAGATGGGTAATGAGTACCCTTATGAATGATGTTCGAGTCCGTTTCAGGATTTCCCGAATTCTGGAGATAAAAGAATCACCCCGTCTGTCCTAGAAACCCGACCAAGCCTAACAAAAAAAAAAGATAGGCCCGAGCCTGGGATCCTGATTCCCAACTGCCGCCTGAGACGACCCACCATATAGTACACAATGGGAGGTTGGGTGATTTCCGACGTCCACCTCGACTCCGCTGATCTGCAGGAATCCTGGGACCACAATTACCCCCCATTTGCCACTTGCAGTGCCACAATGAAGATCAGGGATTACATGCGGGTGGACCAGATCAACGATACACAAGAAGTCTCGCCTTCGGCAGGCCCGGTATAACTACTTTACCAGGCTGGCTGGTGGAAAAATAAAGGCGTCACGAGCCCGTCATCCAACAGCGATCTTCTCTATGTTAGATCCTCATTGTTTATTTATTCATTCCCTCTATAACCGTGTCTCAAGTTTTTCTACTTTAACTGCCTCCCCAACTCAACAACCTCTCAAACAACCATACGACCACACCCCCAAAAACACACACAAAATGAACCTCCTCCCCATCCTCCCCCTCATCCTCCCATTCTTCCCCTCCACAACCGCCGCCCCAGTTACCACACCTTTCAACCTAGTAACCTTCAGCCCCAACACCGCCCACGACAACCTTTACCTCTCCACCCAATCCACAGGTCCCCTAAACAGTAACCCCGTCTTCCGCGACCCCGCCAACGCCGCAACATTCTCCCTCGCCAACACAACCGTGCACTACGAGGCGCCGAATAAGGCACCCTGGGCGCTGGCGCTGGTCAATGGCGATGTTGTCCAGGGAAATGTGGAGGTTAGCGTGAGTCCGAGTGCGGCGAGTGCGGTTAGTACTGGGTTTGAGATTGCGGAGGATGGGCGGTTGGGGGTTGATAGTTCCAGGTGGGGTGGGTGGTTGGGTAAGTCTTTTTATTCTTTTTTATTAACTTCTTGATATGGATACATGATTGAAGTGATAGGGGAGAGATTGGCTAACTTGAATGGATTGTTTTTTAAGTTTGTCCTGGGCAGGGTACGTCGCTGCTGGAGCTATTTTATCAAGACACCACTGCGGGGAGTGTAGTGCCGAATGGGTGTGATCAGGTCCAGTTGAATGCTGTCTTTAAGAGTTCGTAGATGGTACTTGGATTTGGGCTTGGAGAATCTGGTAATTTATGATTTGTTTTTAATGTGTTGGGTTAGAGGGGATATTGGGTTTAATTTTTAACTACTGTGTTTTTATGTGAGCGCATTGACTGGTTGAAGTATCAATGTTGACTCGTATGTGATAGACGAGAGGTCAATTTTAATTCATATCTCATATACTCAACCTGAGTATGCATCTAATTTGCCTTTACGTAATGCTCTGTTTATCAAAGGCCAAGAGTAAGGATAAATGTAATTATGAGTCGGAGATGTTGTTGCCTTGCTGAAAAGTTCGGCTCATCGTTTCCCGGCTGGAGTTGCACGTGATGGCACTAATGCAGGGTGCCCGGGAATTGATTGGCTCTCGGTTGCTCCTCAACTCTACAGGATCGTTACCAGCGCGAGCTGAGTGAGACGGCTATCACCGAATTCACACTCAGCCGCATGTGTATAGATACAAGAACATCCCGAACCTGGCACCTCTACCCTATCAAGCTGAGAAGATGGGTCCAACGACTGGAAATTGGGACTTGGATGTTTTCTCCGGGACGTTGAGCTGCTTTTCGAGCCATTGATGATAAGCGAGGAGTGCTAAGCCTTAGTCTGCAAGATTGAAACCGGACCCTTGGCGGGCACCTCCTCAGCTCTGCGAGTCAGTCTTCATCCACATTCCACTACTCTGCAGGAACGACGCTTGTGACAAAAGGTTGTTATTCCTTCGACGACCTGATCCTCTCCTGCAGAGTTCCCGACAGTGGTCCTAATTCCCTTGGTTTGCCCTGGAGATGCCTACTCAACGAACCAGCTATCTTTGATCCTCGACCGGGCCTGTACCTCTTTCCATCCGAGGCTGTTCCCACAACTACTGCACATTGCGGCTGGAACTACTTTCGGAAAATAAACTCGCCCCTCTTTCGTCATAAAGGATGCGGTGCGCACCGGGTGCGTGTGTCCCATGCGCCCAGAAGAAGCGCAAATGTGATCGCCTTCTACCCGTGTGCTCGCGCTGCAGCAGGTACGCCTACCCGCTTCGAGAATCTGACAGTTCTCTGACATTAACTTCCAGTGTCCGGACAAATGAATTCTGTCGGTACAAAGATGTGCCCCAGCCCATTGACCTAGTACGGTGAGCCTCGTCCCCCTCCGCACTGTTGCCAACACGCGTGCTTTCAAGCTGTCACTCGTCTAGCTCGAACATGAGCTAATGAGTTTGTCGTCGCGCGTGGTAGGCCAGTTTTAGCGTGGCAGCCGCCCAAGGCTGAGATGGCCTGCGGACAGTGTCGGAGTCAGAAACGAGCCTGCAATCGGGGGTTGCCCTCATGCACACGCTGCGAATCGTAAGGCTGAACCGCTTCTAATTATCATTCCGATATCATTCCTAGGATATGACGAGGCTTTGTTTTCTTTTTTGAACATGTAATGCTAATACACGTACGACAGACAGTCTAAAGTATGTGTCTACGACACTATTCCGGCGCACAAGGGTACAGCCAAGTCGCCTTGTAAGCCTTCCAGCCCTCTAGTATTAATTCCGTGGCAAACTGAATTATAATCCGATTTAGACCAAATATCCAATGTTGTGAGAGCCAAGGCACATCTGCGAACCCTCTACGGGCCGGAAATCCGGACTATCTACCCGGTACGGGATTCAAAGTACCTTCCAGGCTTAATCCATCATTGTTGGACTTTCCCTCCCCCAATCTTTAGAATACCAACCTAATCCCTGGTATCTAGTTTTCTCGGTCCTTATAATACCGGCCACGACTGCTCTGCCGAACAGCCTTTCGAGACATACACAGTCATACTGGATGCTTTGTGCTCTGGGCGACCCGTGCCTCTTCCACGCGACCATCTTCGCCGCGTCGGCGCACATGGACGGATTACTCGGCATTGCTAATAACCCACGCACAATCTACCACCAGCTCCAAGCAGTCAGACTGCTTCGTGAGAGACTAACGCAACCGGAGTTTCGTGTCAATTATGAAACAATAGGGGCAGTCCTGGGGTTAGGCTTCTTCGATGTATGCTTACCCTCTCTCTTTCCTTACAATATTTGTCTTGTTACATAGTTAACTTGATACCACAGATAGTCATTGGAAACGTCGATGGCTTCCGGGCGCACAATCAGGGCCTCATTCAGCTGTTGACGAGGAAGCATGACCAAGGACCGGAGACTGAGGCGTTGATGGGCCTGGCTAACATGTGAGCAAATATTTATATTGAAATCTCGTTCGCAATCCACTGACTCTTCACAGGACACACTTTACCCTCTCAATGGTCTCACATACCGATGCCCTCTTCCTCCCCCACTCGACGATATCACGCGACGGAAGTGTCCATCCCGTCCATCCTCTGTCGGGGATCTCCCCCTCGACCCTTCTCAGCCGAGTCCTCGCGCGCGCTGCTGCCCGCACCGATACCTTCGCGCCACCAGTGTTGACCCCGGAGACCGTGCTCGACCTCATCAGCACAGCACGCGTAGTGACCCAACAAGACACGAAAACCCCTCTCCACGAATCCCTCACTGACACAACAGCAGCAGCAGCAGAAACGATACTAACTCTCGGCGCTGACGCTCTACGACGCGCATCTTTCTTCCCTTCACTGGGGAATAAATGCACAACGGCTCAAAACATGAATAAATGCGTTCAGCTGGCCGCGAAAATCTGCCGCAATCTCCTCCTGCGCACTGCACGAACCGAAGCAAGCACATCCCTACCACCAACAAAAATGACGAAGACAAGTAGAACAACAAAGGTAATAACACCAATAATAACAACAAGAATACCTACTTCCTCTACCACAAGACCCCATCTCCTGCACGATGACATCTCGCTCCTAAAAGCCACGCTCCCGAAAATCGACTTCATCTCGTGGTTGCAGCACGCGCCGGAGGCATATGTCTGGGTGTGCTTCACAGCCGCAGCCTCCGCGGCAGCAGCTTCCCGCAGAGAAGGGGAGAGAAGTGGTGAGGGTGACAATGACGACTGGACGTCGTTTATCCTTACGCCCATGCCGGTGATTACGGCGACAGACTCGGCAGAGCTTCGTCTGATGCGGGAGGGGTGGGCGTATGTGAGGTGGTTGCGGGGGAAGTGTGAAGCGGGTGTTGAACTGGAAACCACGGATTAGGGGGTTTTGTGAGGTGTATTTTGGGTGTGCCTTGAAAACGACTAAGCACGGAGTTTAGAATACAGTTTATGGGGCATAAATTTATGTATTATTCAAGCTATATCTCTAACCAACCAGTCTGATGATCGTAGAGAACCAAGGCCTTCCTTCGGCCGCGTCTAACGCTACAGGTATACTGGGCCGGAGAAAGTCTTGGTCGGAGGCGTCGAGTATATATTGACTGCCAGAAGGAGTCCCCCGGGGTTGTTACGCGGTACCTGCTGGTCACTGAGAGTAAGTGCGGACGGGAGGTAAATACCTTACTCTTACTATAACCTGGATAATCGCCATGGTTGCCGCGACTAGACGGAAGAAGAGCTTTACAAACATTCATAGCATATAGTTTAGTTTGATGGTCAATCTAGCACATACGACCATAGGGTGTGGAGAACAGGGCTTCCCGTCCGCTCAGCCGTACTTAAGCCACACGCCGGCCAGTTAGTAGTATGGTGGGTGACCACATGCGAATCCTGGCTGTTGTATGTTTTGTTTTTGGACTTTATTTCAACCGCTTTACTCTTCAGCCGCTTCAGGCCCCTGAAGCGCTGACGTGGACTCCTCGGCTAAACTTTCCTTCCGTCCTGCCCGCGTCTCAGGTTTATGTTTACTTTTTGGGAGGAATCATTGGGCAGGATTGTCTAATCTGCTGCGAATTGCGCCTTGGCATCTGCACTTCGCCACTTTTCAATCATTCGGCCTGAAGTCACTGTTATTTCAATATCTGTAAAAGGGGTTGAGGTTGCTGAGGTAGATCAGCCCGAAGAATAGTCTTGGCCAAAAGGGGGGCCCCTAAAGAGTTTGTCGAATTGGGGCGTAAGGTGGCTACTATGGCCGTCAAGAATTAGAAGGCGAAACCGGCCGCGCACACGCGAATTGGTTGATTGGATAAAAAGCTTCTGTAGCTAACGTAGGCTAATTATTATATCGGTTGTCTAACCGTTATCAGAGACCTTGAATCGCCAGTCTTGTGGTAGGTTTTGGAATCAGTCCACCATGGCCCTGTTGCCCATGAAGATTATGTATGGCGGTAGCGAATAGCCATCTGCGCAAATTGCTTCGACAGCATTAACCCATCCGCGATTTCCTGGCGATAGGAGACGTCTCCGACCGCAGAATTCCGCTCTCGTTACTACCTTCTGCGAGGACATTAGGCCCATTGCAAAGCCTGTCTCATCAAAGTTGTAGATATCCTCCGCTTATATCCCGTTCTCGTCAATTACGCTTTGTACGGTTGCAAACCAGGCTCGCAGGGCTTTTGGGTCTTCTTTTAATGCGCGTTGGAAATCGTATCATATATAAAAGCGTGTCCGAAGCTCATCGCGTCGTTGAACACATTTTGATGGCCAATTCTTGCCAGCGGTAGGCGGAGGTTAGCTGCGCGCAGCCAGGAGGATATTAGTCATCTCTCCTACAGTAGCCGGCCTATGGGCTGCTCCACGCGTATCCATAGAGAGTATTCATTCAGTAAGCGAATCCTCTCCTAATTGGGTCAGTTTATGACCAGCTGGGCGTTTATCAACGCGTGAGGTTAGGCCGTTAACGCGTCCATTAGTGTAGGGTACATCGTATAGCTTGGCTGCTGCGCGAATAGATTTGATGCGGCCATTTTGAAGATCATCAAGGGCTAATAAATCTTGCCCTCTTGATCGGCTAATTTCTGCGGAGATTCAGAGCGAATTGGTGGTATGGTAGTTGGTTGAAGTAGGTAGGTATGTAGCAGGATACGATTTTGGATAGGATGATCGGGACGGCTGGAGATCAGGACAACTGGGAATTACGTCAGTCAACTAACGTAAGTTAATTCCTGATCACCCGGCCGTCCCGATCACCCCAAAACACCATACTAAATGCGATTTTTCAGGTACTAATATATCGACAACAAGAAGATACTATCACTGAATTTTTAGTATCCTATGATTTCCATATATATGAAATACTTTAGTATAACTAGTATATTCAGAAAATAATTATTTACCTGCGTTACCAAAAATACGCTCCGATCGAGCATTATGAATATATATCTCTATGTTATCATGTCCCAAAATATTTATCGAGCTAATAAATATACATAGTATAAAATATTTAATACTAAGATACCCTAAGACCATATAATTAGCCTTAAGTGTTGAAATATGAAGTTATGAAAAATCGCATTTAGTATGGTGTTTTAGGGTGATCGGGAATTACGTTAACGAGTTAGTTAGTTAGTTAACTAGTTAATTAGAGCATTCCAGACAGACTACTTGATTGGGTCGCCGCGGGGCGGCCATTTGCTCGCGCCTATTGGCCAAGGTCCTCGCGCTAGCCACAGTAGTATTAGTGTTCTATTACTCATCAATTGTCCAACATCCAAGGAGAAACGTTCATGGTGACGATTACTGGTTCGTTAGAACCATAAACCAGTATGTTCTGGATAACCTCGTTAACAGGTTAGATTGGTGTTCGAAAGATCCAGACCAGCCCATTTAGAAGACTAATAGCCTTCCACGAACACGTGGATCGACAGACTCGGAAGCGGCGAGAAACAATCAGCTTTAAGCCAGGCGCCCCACTGATCCTTTGAAGGATCCCTAGTAAAGTATGGATGGCTGTTGCTCGATTTGTTTGCTATTTCCACTTGCCAACCACCAATCCTCTCATTTTCGATGCGGCTCTCTTTCCCACAGTATTGACGTTCGCATCGGATGCAGTGGGCGATGAGGACAGCTTACGCCGTGACACTCTTTGGGATACCGTTTACTGATAAATTCTTGGTGCTTAACCCCCTTAGCCCAAATGTATTAATTTGCTGGATCAAAGAAGAAAGAGATTACTGTATTTAAGCATAACGGTCGATGTCAAATGCAACCATCCATCCTTCATGCAAGGGTCTCAGTGAGATTATCGTATATACCTCTTCTGAGACTGACATATCACAGCTATACTACGATAGTATTCTTATACTGCCGTAGTGCCTATCCTACTTTCTGTTGGGTCACTCGATCTGACTCCTTAACCTTGATAGGAAACTAAGCATTTTACCATCTGGACCTCGTATCATTATTTACTTTGCCTTTGAAGTACAGCAAACACTTCCAAATTGTCTTTGCCTCGATCCTTTCAACCAACTGGGAAGCACTGGGCCATGAAAAACGCCTTTTAAGTACAAAAAAATCGCGTTTCAACAGTGTAATACCAATTTACCAAGATAGAAAAGAAGTACCAATCCATCTCAAGATTTCCCCAGCGGCGATCATGCTTTTACTATGAAGCCATAGATATTGTTCGACGCATTTATCTCGCCCTCGCCCATAATGGTGCGATACACTCTGCTGCAACTGCCTTGCACATTAAAGAGCTGGACGGTGCTAGCTCCCTGAGTGCCTTGCCAGCTGATCTGCGCGCCTCGCGGAATGAACACGGTTTTGCAGCGCTGTGGGGTCGATCCTGTCCATGTTTGTGATCCAGCTTGAAGCGTCCAGCCGGAAGCTGCACTGAGAGTTGCGAAATAGAGGGCCCAAATTGGCAACTTCATATTCACGGTGGGTGGACTAGAAGTGAAAGTGTTCGTATGAGAACGCAGTCTTTTACCCGGTAGGTTTGGCTTACAGCAGCGGGTGTGGATGATAGAGTTGCCCAAGACTGTAGACAGGAAGCAGTGTAAAATAGATTTAAGTTCTCCAAAAGTCACTCGCATCTCCGATCTTATTTAAACCCGGATGTCTCGGAATCACTCTGTCGTCTGACGAAGAGCTGTCGAAATCTAGCGCAATCAATTCAGGATATTGTATGCGATGCCGAGTACTGGTTAGACGAACGAGGAGGTTCCAGCCTCATCGATGGACTCTAGGAGAGCCATGGCTTAATAGTACGACTCCACAAAACCATGGTTTACCTATCACAGGGATTGAGCAGCAAAGTAATCTTTCCAGAATCATTACCCAGGCCAATCATATTCGACTATCCGGGAAAGGCAATAACACTGACGGCCAAAGAGATTAAATGGGATGGTCTCGATTCGGAAGAAGACTAATAAGGTCAAGACGAAAGGATCGCGCCAGCCACAGCGTCTAGGAACTCAATAGTGACGTCATCAGACTTTAAAAGAAGAGAAGCCCTGTCATCCGAAGCGACGTGCTATACAGAGTACGCTTTACAAAGATGTTATCCACGAAATACTAGTTTATCTAGTTCAGATTCGGTGTATGGCGAGAGCGCGTTCCTGGAAGATGAGTGTTCCTGGGGTCGGACGTGGTTTGGGTTGTCATCGTGCGTTGACGGAATTTGTTTAACTCAAAAGCCGGGATCTAACTGACCCTCTATCGACCGTCGTCTCCTTTTACTGTATTGACTTTCCTAGAATATTGTGCCTAGGATGGGACAGATACCATGGATCCGGGTACATATTGCCCCAAAGCGCTCATTCATCATATCTTTCTGCAAGTATCACGGCAAGAAGTGACTGGCAACTTGGAAGAATTGGCCTATAGACATGCATACAATTGGATAGAAAAACTGGTGCGTAGAAATACTTCCGGACGGGAGGTGAGTACCCGCTAGAAGTTCGGCAAGCTGCACGTCGTCTTAACAAAGGATCTGACTGGGATCTCTGTATTCAATACTTAGTCGACCTTCTGGATACGGTAAGTTATTTTGGTATCACAGGAACGGAGTAGGCATTCCATAGTGCTTTCTATTCGATAGGCAAGCAACCCTAGGATTTTGGACTAAATCGTTCCGTGTTCCCAGGGAACACATTATCCTAAAACTGCATCTGCGCAAGTGGCTGGTAGTAAAGCTTTCAAAACAAATCATATCTCGGAACTGTACCCATGCCCTTAGTTCTAGCTCTGAGTCTTGGCATTTCCGATTGACAATACGAGCAAGTGGTGACGCGCACCTCGCACACTGAAAATGGCCGAGTGGAGTGACAACAAGAAGCGTAATTTTTATAAGTGGCCGCCAAAAGTCCTATGCATGTCTACATGCGCGGTAGGCGTGAGATTTCAACGCGGTTTCAGATGTGATTGGATAAATGTACACAGAGCTATATCTATTAAAGGGGATTAATTACAGAAAGGTATGACCACTTAGTGTGTTGAAGAAAGGACGAAACATATAAGTGGACTATGTAGCTATTAGGCAGCCTGAATAAGATGATTTGGAAACCTAGGGATTCAAAGGAACCCCTAATGGAGGAGCACTTTATACCTTCCCCCAATACGACTACCTGCCATATAAAAAGTAATATGGAACAGCTCTCCAATGGGATCCAGGGAGGTACTGCGCCACAGTGGTAATAAAGGCTGATATGTTAATTGGCTGCAGGAAATTATGGTCTTCTGTCCGAAATACTATTTACACTACGGAGTATATTGCGGACGCGACATTAGACGAATCTCAAATTGTATTACGACAGAGCACGGCCTGACATATTTGCAGCTCCATGTCATAAGTCAATCGTGTTCTTTTCAAGCCCCTGGAGTCTCCGCGCTTGCAGGATTACACAGCAGCGAGGAATTCAAAAGGAAGGGTGATCAGCAAGGCCCTACGACGTAGTTTACGTTAGTGGGTCAAAGACACAGTGGCTAAAGGGCCCACGGGCCTCTGGAAAGTGTTAAAATAGGCCAGGAGCCGTGACCAAGTGTTGGGAGGCAGTAATATCCCTTCTTTGAAAAAGCTAGATGGCGAAGTAGCAGAGACTAACTAGGAGAAGGATGAATTACCCCGGCAGGTTTTCTTCCCACAACTACCGGCCGGTGATCTGTCGGATATCAATTCGACTGATTTTCCTGACTAAATCACCTTCCTAGCGGTCACCTAATAAGAGGTCATCGATACGATTAAGCCGGCCCTGCCTGATAAAGCGCCTGGCGAGGATGGTATCCCGAACCGGGCGTAGAAGATACTATTAGCTGATAACGACTTCGTCGATATCGTTACGGGAATCTTCGACGTAACAATGTGTATTGATCACGAAGAACTAAATATATTATGCGCAATGAGTGTCCTTATATATCCAATCCTTCGTGGGGTGGACTATAGTTGGGTGTGGGGGTATGGTATACTGGACTACTCGTTCCAATAGTCCTTGTGGTATACCTAGCTGTATATGTATACCCTGGTGGCCACGTAGAAGTTACTGGAACCTAGCCTTGCGGTGTAAACTAACGAGTTTTTGATATGGCTTTGCTGGTAAGAAAAAGAGGAGTCTTTGAAAATTAAGATTGGACTTTGTAGAAAAATTTAGGATAACCATAAAACAAAAAATTGAAATAGAAAAAAAATCATATCCCGAAGAAGCAGCAGAAAAGGCAACTCCATAGAAGCAACAACAATCTAAATCTAAACTCCAGAAAAAAAATCCATCGTCTAAGAAAAAAGAATTCATCAGCTCCAGCAAAAAAAGATTCATAACCGTACACAAAAAGTAAGAGTGGACGTCCCGCTCACACTCCTCACTTCCCATCATCAACGTGAGCTCATCAATCCCGACTTCCAACAAGGAAAGCTCTCATCTCAACCTAGACATCACATCTCTCATTCCTCATCAGCCATCAGCCTGCTCACAAAAGTCACTCCGCTGCCACTCACACTCCCGCGCAGCCCGATGGCACTCCGCCATTCTCGCCTGACACCGACGCAGATACCGCAGCCTCAGCCCTAACCGCCTGCAGTCCCAGTCCACCCGCTCGCGGACCCGCAGGGTGGCACGGTACGCCATCTCAATCTCGTACGGCTCCTGCGTCTGGTACAGGAGGTCGTCCTCGAGAGAGGAGAAGTAACCATCCGCCGCTGCAGGCCGCTGCCCTTGGTGGTCGATCTGAGGAAGCGGGAAGTTCATAATGGTCCCCGCTTCGGGGAAGGGTTCCAGCGGGACTGGGATGATGGGTGCTGGCGGGTTCTGCATAAGGGAGGGCTGCCGGGGTGCCGCGGCGACCTCGCTGGGGGAGGAGTAGCTGCTACTGCTACTACTACTGCTGGGGTCGCTGTTTGCGCGGCCCCCGGTGGGCTGGTTCTGCGTTTCCGCTGGAGGAGGAGGCGGTGGGTTGATCCCCTTCTCCATTGGAGGACGGGGCAGGGAGATGATGGACGCATCGTCGGGCTCGGAGGAGATTGCCCATGACGGCTTGCGGGGGTTGTCGATGGGCTCGCGCTTGATGCGCTTGGTGGGAGGGTAGTAGGCTCCCGCGGACTTGGGGTGGTGCGGGTCTACCACGTTGGCCATGGCTGGGCCGGTGGTTGTGGTAGGTGTGTGAGTGGTAGCAGGCATGCCAGTCGCCGCGCGCTTTCTCACGTTAGGCTTTGTGGAGAGAGGCGCTGGTGGTGGGCCAGTGGTGATGTGGTTTGGCGGGCCCATTGTCCACGCTGGAGGCATGCTGGTCATTGGAGTCATGGTGGACATGGCCACCATGGACGGCGCAGCCGCCATAAACGACGGTGGAGGCATGGTACTTGTGGCAGGCATTGGGGGCATCATAGTCATCCCGGTAACCTCCTCTGTCGTGGGTAGAGGCTGGTCCGTCGAGGGAAGAATGATGGTAGGACCGACAGGGTGAGGCTCGAGGAAAGGACGGTACTCAGATGGACGGCGCTCAGAAGGGAGATGATGCATGATGGGAAGTGAGAAAGGAGATTCCAGGTCGAATTGCTGATTGTCGTTCAGCAGGTTGGTGAAGTAGCCCGGTCCATAGGGCTGGTCAGAGGTAGCTCGGTCCAGTGGTTCACCACCGAGCTCAGTCTCGTTGCTGAAGATGGGAATGAGGTGAGGGTTCTCGTAATAGAGAACAGGATTGAAGGGACGGGAAGGGGTGCTTTGACCCAGGCTAAGGAGAAGTATTAGTGACGAGTGATGTTAGTTGAGAAGGTGAGTTGGTCTTACTTGTCAGAGGTGTTGGTGTTATCGGTGGGATAGTACATGGCACAGGGTGATACTTGATGTTGGAAGGTGAAAAGGATAGCTGGAAGGATGGACGAAGGTTTGTGAAGGCTGAAAAGGTCTTGGAGGATCGAGATGTAGGAGCAAGATTAGAGACTCAGCTTGTAGCGCAAGATTGGTGAAGATTGTATGAGCAAGAGCAAGTTTGAAGAGGCAAGAGTGTAGAGAGCAGAATATCTGGAGAGGAGGAGAAGGGGAGAAAGAACGGGGATAGAGGAGGGTTTTAAGCCCTCCTAATGGCAAACAGGCTCAAGGTAGCCATGAAGCTATTCGCTGCCTTGGAATGGTAGAGGAAGGGAGAATGCGATTGTTCGTCTATTGATTTCCCCTTTGGGACGAAGCGTTACCCAGAGAAGGCAGAAATGTTTTGTCAGACTATACTCATTTTTATACTTTAGGCGCTGTTACCTTCACGCAGCCATTCATGATGGAAACAAGCAAACAAAGGGAGCCTGAATAATGCGCAGCCTGGATATATTGATATTGCTTGCCTCCTTGAACTATCTCTCCTGCCTTCAGGCTATCAAAACTAAACTAACGCACCTAAACTTGCGAAAGGAATCCAAAATATCCAGAGAAAACCTTCATCCATGGATAGTTGGGCACAAAAACGCTTCAGCGGAACTCCTGCTCATCAAGCTTCATATTCTCCTCCTCGAGCCGCTTGATAAACTCAAGCAAAGGTTCATCGCCATGCTCCCACAACTTCAGACGGTGCGCATCCTCCCGCTGCTCCTCCAGTGCTGCTTTCCTCTTCACTAACCACAGTCGACGGCCCAGGCGTCGGCAATCCCAGTCAAGCGCCTCTCGAACGACCAAGAGGTCCTGAAGCAACGTTTCGATCGCATGTGCGTCATCCATCATTTCCTCTGTGATCGGAAGCGGTGGGTATAAGTGCCGGGGCACCCTCGAGGGTCGAGTACCCCCATGATTGATCTTAGGGAGGGGGAAGCCCATCGTCGTCACAGCGTCTGGCTTGGTCTTGATGAAATCGGGATCATCAGTTTCTGGTAGTCCGGGCTTCCCAACCATAACTTTCTTCTTTATCTCTGGGCTGGACTCGGGGCCGGGTTTCGGGGCTGGAGCCTTCCGTTTGCGTCTCTGGACTATCTTGATCGACTTCGGAGCCTCACGAGTAGTAGCCTTGTGTGTCTCGTCTGCAGTGGGGATTGTGACGGGGAGAGGGCCAGCGAGTGGGACAAACAGCTCGTTGTCTACCAGTCCCGCAGACTCCGCGATCGATTGTGAGGGTTTTTGATCGGCATCCTCTGTCTTTAAGACATCTGATTTGAAATTCGAGCGAGTGACCGTCATGGCTTCGGTGGAAGTAAGTGTATTCAGGGGTGTGGGATCTCGGCTGGGCTAATCAGATCCCACGGTGGTCGACATGATAGAGGTGTTGTTCAGTGCGTAGTATCCTAAGGGTTGTTAGCGAATGAGATTGCAGAGTGTGATATAAACACTGTGAGAGAGAGGGCAACCAGTTGAATATATCGGATGAGAAAGAACACACCGGGTTCTGAAGGGAGTAGCGCAGAGGGGAAAGTCTGAGTGAGCAGATGGCATCGTAGAGGAAGACGAAGGGTATTGAGAAAGATTGAAAGGGGAATGTAGCAAAAATCCGATCTCAACTTGCCTGGGAGTATTGAGAAGAGTGTACTCCCCGGGGGGATGATCGGGAATTGGCTATTTCTTAGATAGCCCGTCCGATAGTCTCCCTGTGAGGATCTAGTGAAATTCATCTGAATCTAGGTTGGTGACTTAGGGTTTGACAGAGCTCGCTGAAGGTAGTGAGTGATAGTGAGGAGGTCAGTCGTACTCGAGCTGGACGTGGTCGTGCTCTCTCGATAATGCCCCTGCAATATCAGTTATGGGAACTGATTTGGTAGTGAGGGGAGTGTCATGGGGATTTCCAAAGAACTCAATCACTCCAGATCCTAATTTGATTCTTCTCCAGGCTATGGGGTGGGAATGTCTTTGGGTGTTAGTGAGAGCAGCCCACGGTGTTGATTCCGAGTTTGGGAAGGTGGTCATGATCGATGTAAGATGAGGTAGATTTGGGTCAAGCTATGTTACAGTATTGCATGATCGCACGATATTGACCAAGATATAGCAACGGGACACCTCTATCAGTTGTAAAATCTGTGGAGGGGGGCTTTTATAGTTCTAGGGTATAGCTTAGGGGGGTCACACTGCCTAGCAAAAGTCAATAAAGTGAATACGCCTAATTTCTGACTCGGCCTAGGTATTCTCGGCTCGGAGAGATTAGTATTAATTATTCTTCTTGACATAATTCTACATCTCTTTCTTTAACGAGTAAAATGAGTAACTTCTACTCGGTCGGATGATTAGGGTATCGTGAGGAACGATCTCCCGGCGGTCTCGGTGTGTACATTAGTCTTAGCCTATTGGTAAGATGTTAAACAACAACGTCATTAGACGAAGATTTTGATGACTCAATGGATGATTTCTGCATGCCCGGCTGTAGGTTTTCAGGCGTCCCGGTCTTAAATGTAAACATAACCTACGCCTACTGTAGTACCTACGATTTAGCCCATCGACTGAGTCGGACACCCAGGATACCATTGTATGTTTCTCGAAGTTAGGACGGTGCGGGATTAGACTTCGAGCCAGCATGTTTTCGATTGGTAGAATGTGAGTGCTCTGATAGCCCAGCATTCCGGCTAGAGTTGCCCCTTCAGCTTCAACAATCCCTTGATCATGGCAAATAGCAAAGGAACCACACCAGTCTCAAGATAACTACAAACACCATGGATCTTATCCAGGTATACCGAACTACACGGCCAGCGATCTAGCGATTTCTGCCGGTTCTGAATGTTGACTGATTTACTTATCGAGAGTTATCGGAGTCTGGTTCCGAAGGGTTGGTCCGTGCGGAACTGGAGAGGTTCATCCCGGCGAGGATCTCCCGAGTAACGAGGACCGAGTAAATATTGACATTCGCCACGGATGGTTGACTGCAAGATTCAAGTAGCCTTACGGGTGTTGCGTATGATGTCTGGCCTGATTCTGATCTTGATCATATGGCAATCCTCTCATCATGGACAGTAGTACCTCGTCCACGCTCAGCTCCCATGCACTAGTGAATGGACTAGCCTCTCGCCTATTTATAGCGGGTTGTCTCACTCGTCCCTTGCCCCTTTGGGTTTAGCCCCCCCAATACACCTCAAACACCCTGCGCTTCTCTTTTTGCCGTCTGTGACCACGCTCCCACCTTGCCACACTCTCCCATCAACTTCGAATCTTCCTCTTCTCTCACTTCTTTCACGTCGCTCGTTTCACAGCATCCCTCGCTCACGCTGTTCATCGTGGGTTGCAAGTTATTGGACCCGCTGCCCTCCACACAACCCACTCATCCCGGTGATCTGCACCTTTAGGGTCCAGATAGGTTCCAACAGACCAGCCGATTTTTCTCGGCTCTCCACGTTTGGTCGATCGCCCCTTTCCTCTGGTCAACGCTCGCTGAAGACTCCGACACAAGTTTAAGAGGCTCTTGTTTCCTCCTCTTGAACACGAACACGCTCTGTCAACAATCCGCCAGCGACTCCACCCGGCTCACGCAAGGGGGTTGTTGATTCGGCCTTTTCTCTCCGACCAGGGCTACCTTGTCCCTTTCCTGACCGACTCTTACTCCATCACACCATCACGATCGGCGTGATCGAATCTTCATCATGCGATCCTTCTTGAGCATTCTCTACACTGTGTTGTTGCTGGGTGTACTTACCTCGGCCTGGTCATGGGATGGGCTGTTGGCCGAGCGGGGTGACACCCTGGACAGACGAGCAGGTACTAACTACCTTCTACGCATCCCATCACTGGAGACGTGAGCTAATCTTGACAATCAGACTCGACCACCACTGACGCTGCCAGCACCGGTTCGGGTACTACTGATGCTGGCAGTACCTCCTCTGGCTCTACTGCCTCCGGAACCTCCACGGGAACCAACACCGATGCCACGACGACGGGAACTGGAACTTCAACGGGTACCGGAACTTCAACGGGTACCAGCACTGGCACCAACACGAAGAGCAATACCAAGACCAAGACCACCGCGACGTCTTCGATCTCAATTGACCCTGCTGCTGGTGCCGGAGGTATCTCGATGATCACCCCGGCCGCTACGTCCACCACCTACTTCAAGGTCGGATACAACGCAACTTTCGTGTGGAATTATACCTCGCTCTCGGTCACCCCATCTGCCATCGACGTTGTGGCTTCCTGCAGTCTGAACAGTCAGACCTATACCCTCGCCTCGAACATGAGTGTGGACCCCACGGGCACCTTCATCTGGGACACCGACAAGTACCAGGCTTCCCAGACGATCTCCCTGTTGACTGCGACCTACACGCTGTTCGTAATCGATGCAGACAAGTCGCTTGACGACACTGCTCAGGCAGGCTACTTGAGTGGACAAATTGGATACAGCTTCGGCATGTACCGCCGGGAGTCTTACACTCCTCTCAATGGTGAGCTTACCAGTACTCAGCTACGCAAGGCTAAAAATAACTAATATCTTCCTAGAATTCAAATGTGCCACCTGTAGCGGCGCCATCTCCGACATCCAACGCCAAGGCCTCAAATTCGCCGTGGGCATGGCCCTCATCACCATCCTCTCCTTCACCTGGTTCGTCGGTGGGGCTGGCCTTCTCTATACTTGACGAGCCACCTTCGGCAATGACGAGTGTGGCACCTGACATTCTCATGGATATATTTTGACATCGTGGCGTTTCATTGTTCTGAAAAGCGATCTGGGATTACGATAATAGCAAGAAAACCGGCGTTTGTTGATTCTGCGGACATAAGAACGGGATTTGTTCTTTGTTTTTTGGCCTTCTCTCTGGGCCTTTTGGGGGTGTGTCTTTGTTTTCACCTCTCCCCATCTATGTGCATCTCATATGTTTTCTGGGACAGGTCTGCGGATTGCCGTCCCGTGGCCTTTCTTCATTGTATTTTCGGATTGGGACTTACCTACATGCTTTAATTGACTGCATTTATCGGCAAACATGTTTAATTCTTTGATATATTGTCTCGGGGATATTATCACGGGGTTTGTAGGCGGGATGATGCATGCAATGAGCAAAGACACAATGGAACCATCTACGTCAGGAGGTGCTGCTCCCTTCTGAAACGGCGTTGGGTCTCCTCTTATCTTCTCTGGTCTCACTCCCACTTCCGGTCTGACTGTCTTGTACCGGTTCCTAGACTTGGAGAAACTCGTAGTCGAGATTAAAATTATCTATCCTAACAACCGACGGGATGCAATCAAGACAGCATGTCGGGGACTATCGTGAGACATACACTTCTTTGTAATACACAATCTGTTTACTATAATTCCTTCCATGCAGGTCATGCCACAAGGGGTGTTGTCAATGTAGTTAGCACGTACAGCCAGACAGCGGTAGAGAGCTGTCCTGCAAAACACTAGTCGATTACATTCATTGAAAGAGAAGAAGCATCAACTACATCTATGGCAATCGAATAGCATAAGGAAAATTAGTTGATCAACATCCATATATCTGTCCTAAATTTCCAACAACTAAATCCCAATCCAACCCATCGTCCGCTCAATCCAGCCCAGAAGCATCCATATCACATCCATCATCACTCCATTCCTCCAAGGAACCACCCATCTCAATCGCCAAAACCATGTCCCAATCCCAGTCCAAGTCCAAAAAGCAACCCTCCAACTCGACAAAACCCGCCAAACCCAAGCCCCAAACAGGCTGGATCTGGCCCAAAGACCCACGCCCAGGAAACCCAACCCGCTGGTCCCGCTTCAAACGCTTCTCCGACGTCCTAACAGGCAAAGGCCCAGACATCTACGTCGGCACCATCGGAAAGCACCCACCTCCAACCAAACACAAAGAATCTTCGGGAAGAACGGTCTCAAGCACCAACTGGGCAAGATGGGACATCGAGCCCGAGGAAGACGATATCCTGTTCCCCTGGGCGCGACGCGGAAAGCACGAGAAATATGATTATAGTACGCGCAAGTATGGGGTTCCGAACGAGAAGACGTGGAGTGCGGTCGAGTATGCGGATTGCGAGTGGGAGGGTGGGAAGTGGCCGGGGAAGAAGAAGGTGGCTTCGACGGTGCCGATTAGGGTTTGGGATCGGGAGGGGAGGGTGCATTGGTGTCAGGGGGATGAGGGGTTGGGTGGGCGAAGTGTGGATGGGGGGTTGAGTGGGAGTGAGGATGGAGGGTGTTATTGTCATTGTCATTGTGGGCTTCATGATCGTGATTCGGCGATTGGGAGTTATGAGCATGTGCATGGGCATGCTTATCCTATTCGTAGTCATTGTCCTGGTTGTTGATATGAGGGTTGTTTGGAGCGTAAGGTGTGATGGATTGGTTTGTTTTTATCATTTAGAAGATAGATTGGACGTTCTAATAGAGTCGCGGATTTTATAGCTAGGATTAGGCACAGCTAGAATGCAATGCATCGAATGCGAAGACTCGTGGATCCTGCGTCGAAGGATTGGTGGACTGGGCTCGTCGAATGATCGGCAATTGGGCAGAGTCGTTGGTGAGCTTGTTACACTTCACACATGTAGTCTGCTTGAGATCTGCATATGAAGATATCATGTCCTAGTAAATTGTATCAGCATCTGTTTCTCCCACCCTCGTTTGCCGCCAATGTAATACATACCAACAAGAACGCGAGATCCCACTTCCGTGACCGCGAGTTCAGACACTCAATGATTGAATTCTCCATCTTCGTTGGCACTCGTCCTGGCGGCGCTTTGCTCGAAACATGCCACTCGGCCACTCCCGGGACATCATTCTCCTTCAACCCCTCGACATGGAAGATAATTCCGGCCTTCGAAAGCGCGATCGCCAGCGACTGCGCTCCTTGTCCCTTGATGATACGAACCCCAGGCACGTTCCGTTGAATAAAGCTCTCAACGACTCCTTGCCAACCACTCTCTGAAGCCTGTGCCTTGGTCCGCTCAACCTCTTCTTCCTCACGTAGACGCTCCTCTTCTTTGCTCTTCTCAGTTTGGAGCAGTTCCTCTAGAATCACATCATAGTCTCGTTCCCACAGTCCCGTTGGTTGCAGGATTTGACCATTAGATTCCTTGATGCGGGATTCGACATGTGCCCAGACAGGCGTCAGGTCTGGGCCCTGCCACGTGGACTTGAAGCTCTCGATATTGGCGAGCTGAGTGCGCGCGGCTTGATCTAGTCCATTGCGCAAAAGGACCGGAGAGTCTGCAAATGAGATACTTGATGGCTCGCTTTGGTATGAGAGGCTGGCTAGTGGCTCCAAGAGCTTGTTGGGCACCAGGTGGCGCAATTCATGAATCTGGCAGAGTCAGTATGATGTGTCACGTTGCTGGCATTCCAGAGATGGCGAGAGCGGATAGAATTGAGAGGGGTAGGGCTGCAATGAGGTGGTTCAACACTCACTTTTCGTTCAAGTTCCTGGAGTTTTGCTAATGAGGACACAAGCTGAATCTCGGACTCCCAGTTGACAGGTGGGGCACTACCATTAGCGGTTTGAGAGGCCTCCTGGGTGTCGGGAACTTGGTCCTCGACCTTCACAGTGGTGGATGCACTCATTGCGACAGGTGCTACGGGTGTAGCAGATGGAGGCACCGTGGACATGAGCGGGTGATTGGTGTAAAGATGCCGACGGACAGGGTCCGCTGGATTACGGACAGAGCCTTATCTCAAAGCCCCAAGTGTAGAAGAGACCGACGCTCTTGAGATTTAGAGAGTGTGTGAAGACTCAGATCAGGCAGCAAGCCAGGGGTCTTGTGAACAATGCGCGTGCTGAATGTCTTTTGATTGCTTTGAGGCCAACGGCTGGGCGGTCTGCTACGTCGGCCCGCGGGAAGTTGGAGCTGCCCAGCGAGACTGATGGACAGTTCAAAGGAATATTAGTCCACTATCCGTGTTTTGAATCCCTGGCGGCCTCCAATGTCATTTATCGCAATGCTTAATTGAGGACGAAGGAGTCGCGGAAGAGGAAACGCAGCCACATTCAACTCATAGCCACTAGGTGTGGCTAGGTGATGATTATGTAAGCGATTATCCAGCCCTTGCCATCTAGCCTTGATTTTCATCTACAGGTTTCTCTGACTGAAAAAAAGCCATTTCAAAAAAAATGCATAACCACTTTTGATTTATAGCCCATAGATAATTGCTACGGAAAAACATTGGAAGTTTGCAATTCTTTGGTCTTAGAGTTGGCTAACTATTTCCAATTGGATTGATTGTTAGGTCCCTCCGCGGACCCAAATGCGATTACCTTCGGACAGCCTTTTTGTGATATATGTTGTTCCAATCAATAATAAGCATCTCAATAGCTTCCATGCACGGATTTGCGTACAATACAGTGGTGTTTTCATGTTCGAGAATATTCCTCCAATAGGACCTCATCGTTGTCTTTGACTAAAACCGGTTCCTTAATCGACGTTTTGTTTTTTGATGAAACATGTGTCCATATCAAATTCCATTTGGAACTAAGCCACATAGGTGGCACACAAGATGTACATGAGAGTGGAGAGACTTTCTTTGAATTTACCGAACTGAGTAGGAGCCTCTCTTAGAAGTACGCCATTTTCGACTCATATCAGGCCGCTAGACAGACAGTGACAAGCGAAGAGGGAACGAATCATTCCGAATGTTTCATTTCCTCATTCAATGGATGACCTAAAACCAAAGCCATCTATACTATTTTTTTCTCTTTGGTGTCATTTTCCCACAATGGAAACTCACTAGATATGTCTGACATCCTTACCGGCTTTGTTAGATGGATGAACCGGGACAGGCCACTTTATAGATGATTTAACTGCCCGAAGATGAGTTTATAAGAAGATGATCCTATTACTGGTGGAAAGTCCAATAGAGTGCAACAGTATACCACCTTCTAACCTATCTCTTTTGTCCCACAAAGTGCTGCAATCCCAATGGCCCAAAGTTCCCAAGAGCATGAAATTGACAAGGTGGAGTGGGCCGAGCCTCTTGATGACGAGATTGACGAGCTGCAGCTCACAAAGGCACCACGAGATTACCGCACGATTCGTGGAGAACTTTGTGTACCGTGTCTTGAGCTCATGTTATCGACAGACAATATTACTTGTCTTCGAGACTCAAACTGTGATGCATGTCGCCTGTGCCGAGAATCTAAACGGAAATGTCGGAAAGTAAGTCATATAACGCGACTGAATGTTGATGTCATACTGATGGTACGAACACCTTTAGATCCCCGCGCAATTTGATTCCAAGGTCCATAAACTTCTTGAGACGCCTCTTCATAGACGAGGACAGCTCATCAGAGACCTTCTGTCTCAGGTATGGGAGTTCGAGAAAGCCTTTAACATTCATAAGAAGACAAGGAAGAAAGTGAATCAGGAGGATCCCCGACAATGCTAGCTCAAACAATAATGGGGGGATTGTGAGGTCTCTTAGAAAGGCAGGAGAAGATGGTACGCATAGGTGCCAAGGTCATGCGGTAATCCCAAGTTATGGTCTGATTTTGGTGGTTCTGACATATAGAGAGTGACGGGATAAACCTGCTTTAAGTGCCTTTGTTATGCATCGTCTTATTTCAGATTGTCTACGAGCAAATTATAAAGAACCAAATTTGCCAGAAATATTCTGAGTCTATTGGAATTCTAGATGTAGTCGTATAGAGTGACCAGTGCATTATCCATCATAAAACGGACTTAGGATCTGGCCATCGTCCGCAGTGCTGAAGAAGTTCAGCAATGAAGTTCTCGAATAGCGCCGTAATAGTTGTGCCACGGAAGACACGGGAAAGAATTATCCTGTGCTGAGTATACGCTGGTAGTATCTGGTATCCCTGGTCACGATGGAACCGGGACACTTGCACAGGAGCTTTGCCGAGTAGTGACTACCCTGTTCGTCTAAGCCCCGCGCGTTTATCATAGCACGATTCGTCGAGGTACACTAGGTAATGAAAGTCCGATACTGTAGTTTTCGAAATCTGTTAAACCTCCAAACTCTTGCGACTTCATTCCCGGAAAATGTATCCGAAATACGCTAACCCACTTTTGCTTACCGCTCTAGAAGCTTGGCAAAAGAATCCTAGTAATGGCCTTACATCGACAGATGAGTCGTCGTAATAATACCGTAATGCTTCATAGGACCACGTAGAATCTACGGACCCTCCTTTCCCCCTTCGTCACAACAACTTCCATACACATCACAATTATAAGTCTTCCCAGTTTAGCACCCCTTGTTTCAAAGTGATATGGCTTCAAGAGTCCCTCCTGCAAAGCTCGTTCTCATACGTGATATGATGGAGAGCCAGTCCTTCTCCACATCTGAAATGGCGGAACAGTCTGAATCAACGAGCTGACCATCATCAATATCCGCAGAAACTCACGAGAATATGGAAGCATTTACGCCCCTCTCACCCGAGTAGGTCGGAAACGAACTGTGACATTACTTATTTCGGACTATCCCCATCTCAAAATTAAGTTCAAGCGACCAAATCTCAGAAACATCCCTAGCTGGAAGTTTCCATGCAAACTCAGCAAACAACAAGGCGGCCGTTGGAAATCTGTCCTGTTCACTTCTGCATCTCATTCTTGCCTCACTCAGAAGGTAGTGACAGGAACCAACAGGCAACATGGCCATGGCTTAGGAGCAAATTACACATTAAGAGCAAGCCACGTCGTGCGGCTGTACTTGGGGCTGTGATGGGGCTTGGCAGGTACAACGGTCGTGGCTTAGGAGCAAATAACACGAAGTGCAGCGTCGTCGAGAGGCTTCCCTTGTAGCTGTAACCAATACTCTTCAATCTACCCGGAATTCTTCTTGTCAAGTTCTTTGTCAAGCCCTGGTAAGTCCTTCTTACTTATCTCAACATGGAACGATAAAATTCGATAGTCAATACACGCTCGCTCTATTAGTCGGGTCATTGCTTGTACCTTTTCTCGTTTGACCCCACTACCACCTCAGCTGACATCCCCATCTATTCTCCCCGACCGTCAACATCCAACCTATCTATCACAACAATTTTTCTCACTCAAAACCTTTCTCAAAGCGTCGTGGGCATCGTAATGCCTAAGGCCCCTCAGGATACATCGCTTCTAGAAGCTGAAATTCTTTTGGCTCGAGCAGTTTCAGAATTTGAAGCCGACCTCTCTGACGACCAGAAAGCAGACTTCAGTGCTGAGCGTTCTCGTTTAATCAAGGAACCTCCCACACTGAGGGATGTGATCGATCTCACCGAGAAAATTGACCAAAAATGGTCCGCAAAAATGACCCGGGGACGTTGCTTAGGAACTCGGACAACAAGATTCCTTCAGTGCGTTCAGCAGTTTGCAGCTCTTGGAGATGTCATAATCGGTGGCTCACAACAAATTATCGCATGTGGAGTTTGGACGCTAGTGCGGATGTCACTGCTGGTTAGTCGCTTATCTTGTTTTAACCTATCTCCTACGCTAACACGTACTTATAGTTGGCCGTAAATGCACATGCGACGGCTTACTTTGAGAAGCTGTCTTATCTTTTTATACCGTCGGTTGCTCAACGCCACGTTTTGAAAAATTCTCACGGCTTTATCCCCGCTCAATTCATTTAAAAGCATCCCTATTCGAGTACTTCGTAGTTGTTGTCCGCCTTTGCCATCATATATTACTGTTTACGAAGAAGTCTGCTCTTAGGAGACTCGGAGCAAGTCTTTACACTTCGGACTTGGCCGAGCATCAATCCAAACTGGAGTTCTACGCCACCTCGATCAGAGACGAGGTTGCTTTTCTCATCGCACAAAGAATTGAGGGACAAGCCGAATCTGAATCTTATCCCCGGTCAGACACGCTCGTGAAGTCGGAGAGTAGGGCTATTCCCGTTGTAGCGAGTATTGAGAGTTATAGCCCTCGACTCCTGCCAGTGGATTACATTACAGAAAATGATGAACCCGACTACGATGAACCCGACTACGACGAACCCGACTACGACGAACCCGACTACGACGAATCCGACAACGGTGAACCCGACAACGGTGAACCCGACAACGGTGAACCCGACAACGGTGAATCCGACCATGATGAAGCAAGACAGGCGATGGAGCTTGTCATGAACTATTTTCGACATCATCCCAGTGGCATGGCGCCGCAAGAGTATATTACCTTTGGTAAATTGAGGGAGCGTATTGAGTTAACGAAATTGGCGGGGAGGGAGAGAAAGGTTTAAATAAGGCGGAAAATGTTGATGGGCAGCATTGGACCTACTACTTTTCGGAACCCATTCGTAAATATCTCCTGTCAGAGCAAGCTAAGACAGTATGGACTAGTATGCGGCAGAGTGGATAGGATCAGAGATATGTGTATAAGTGGTACTGTAGTCTAACAGAAGAAAAAGGGCTCATGAAGATGTGTGTAGTGGGCCCTTCCTTCTTCCCACTCGGATGACTGAATGAACCCGAGAGAATTGGGGGTCAGGGTTTACTTATTCGCTCGATTCCTGTGTCAAGTACACTAGACGGGGAGGGGCTTGAGATAGATCGTACGGGGTATAGGCTGAAAAGGAGATGCATGTTTGCCTCCCAAGGTTAGCTCTCTACAGTACAAGCGCAGCCTTCTGTGTTATGACTGGCGGGTGCAGTGGGAAGGGCGCAAGGATGAGTGGGAGCGGGAAGGGAGTGAGTAAGCTGGAAACTCCCCAAAAAGACGTATAGTGACTACGCAAGGAATACCTGCCCCACACACCCTTAATTACACGCTTTACTGCCGGTCGAAAACCTCCGCCAAAACTACATGAAATTGATAACCTACTACATAACTAACTAATACACACCTATTAGGCCTAGTAGGGCGTATACCACCCTTCGGAATCGTTAATTGCTTGCACCCTATTAGAAATTGTCTTATAAAGGTGTTCTACATGCCACATATCAATATTTTGCAATGCAATCTGCGCAGTTTCCACACAGATTCTTTTAGTCTCGTGGTTCTTTATATGTATAAGATCAGGCCGAATCTTATAGATTTCTGCTTTGAGAAGCGCCCAAATATTTTTAATTGGACTGACATCAGGCGAATGAGGTGGTCAAACCATCACCTCGATCTCCATCTCTTCTAATGCATCGCGTACAATATATGCAGTGTGCGTAGGTGCGTTATTGTGCATAAAAATCCCATCTTCAGTAAACAATAAGCTGGGTAAGATTCGGTGGTATGATTATTCGATAACGAATCGATTAACCCCACCACGCTCTGATGTAGGATCGCCGAATAAGGGTATCAAGCCCGTAGGTCGAGTAGCCGAGAAAGCGGCCCAAAACATCTGCTTAACCTGCTTACCGCGGTGCGGCAAACCCTAGCATTCGCCCTTTTTTGGCTGATTTCGAGGCCGTATTAAGGTCCATTCACAGCGAATACCAATCCCACGCTCAACAGAACACTCATCAGAGTAGTAAACACGAGCCCAATCTGCTAGTGTAAAGTATCGATATCGACAGGCCCACTGTAGGCATTTAGCCGCATGTTCCTCGTTAAGATAGGGTCTCGAGGAGCATCGCCATTTTCGCGTATTCTCATCATTCAATACATAGTCGGCGAATTTAATCCTTTTTCACCTAATAAGAAACCTCAGAAAGTAAATCCTCATAGGTCACACGTCATTGTTCGGTAAAAACATACCGAATCCGCGCTTTATCGTCCTCAGTAAGCTTCTTCGGAGGGCCAGAGCGAGGCTTCGAGATGCCTAGTTTCCTCTCAGGCTCTTTCTTGATTCTATATACAATAGTTGAGAGTGGGATCTAGGGGTATCGGTGATGAATACGCCTGTATCCCCTACCAATATAATGTAGCTCACATATAGGCTCTTGGAGCGCTGGTGTAAGCTCTTTTGACCGAGCCATTAGGCCAGAGACCAAGATATACACCAATACCAGCTAGTGGATAGGAGGTTATGATATGATCTTCATGATATCGATAATTCTCTCAGAAACCCAACTCATGCAATCGGCAATAGGCTTTGATTAGCACAAAAGTTGTTGGATTATCTGAAACTCATGATAATATCGCGCTATATACCGCTACTCGCTCCGAGATTTAGAAAGCGGTATGTTACTATTCTAGGCGGTCTGGGAGTGGGTCCCCAGAGGGGTGTTCAAACTCTTGCCTAGTCACAGTAGCGAGTGTATGCCGGTTTCGCGTAAAATACATCCCTCGTGATCTAATTACTGTATTATAAATTACAGCGACTATTATAGAAAGCGGTCTGCAAACAGGCCTGGAATACCTGATCCAATCAGAGCGCACATATAGCGAATTTATTTTCCGGGAATGAAGTTGCAACAGGATGAAGTATAACTGATTTCGAAAGCTACTGTATATTATGTAAATAAATCTCCCTTAAATCGGAGTTTTGCTCTCTTGCTTTCTGTCGAGATACCTTTTTAGACTAACCGTAAGCTACGAAAGCCCTTCGGATACTTAAGGTCGTGACCTAGGTCTCGAATTCATCTGGAGAAAGACAATTCTTATCTAGATAGAGGGCTGGTTTTTCGAGTAGGTGATCACATAATACTTCTAGCATCCGGGGTGTTATAGTGCCTCTTCGACCGACTCGATTCGTAGGAGTATAGACGTTTCCAAATTGCCGTAAGTTCCTGTGGTTGGAAAAATAATTTATGAACGTACGCGGGGGAAACTGATTTCGAATATGGCAGTATTCTCTTTCTCCTTTACAGTGCCAAGTTCCTCTCTTCCCTCCAAAATATCAAGAAGACACATAAACATACAGCCTAGAGAAATGCGAAAGGAACGATTTATAGGTCCGGAACAAAGGGTTTAGCCTGAGGTGTGGACCAGATCGCTCACAAATCAGGCACCTGCCAACGGTTACCTACTCCGGTTCGAGGGCGTATCGCTGATTTAATATGATGGCAGCGGTTTCGCAATTTTAGAAAATGCGCAAAATGAACAGTATTCATCAATATTTAAGGAACAGCCCCTTCGACCTTAGACTCTCCCATTCCTTCTCTCAAGTTCCCAGAATTCTGCCCGTGGACGAACCTAGCCATCAAATTCTTTAAATGCAGCAGCGGCTTTATTAGTCTTACCTCATAGCCTTCGATATATAGTATTTTGATATATCTCCTATTACAAAACCGCCTTATACCGGCCACCTCTCTAGCCAACTGAGAATAAACTAATGTCAATCTATGCAAGCCATTAAACTATACATCACAGGGTCGAGAAAGCAAAACCTTAGATAGAATGTTGGGAAAGGTCAAGAATATTTGCGTTCACAGTGATCAGAGATCTATTGCCAGCAACGCTTCGAGACTGTACCCGATCAGCTTTCTGCCCTCTGAGAAATCTCCTATGGTTGGCCATTTGATCATTATGTTTGCGTGGTTGAAAGCGGTCAAAGTTAACCCCAGCCCGTTTTGAGACTGACACTTGGGGAATGCAGATTAGTCATCGCTGTTCACGTCCATTCCACACGAACCGCCCTGGGACAGCGAATGCGGTCAGTAGAGTTCAATTTAGAGTTAAATACGCCTGCTAATAGCCTCCGAAAGCCTTCTCATTGCGACAGATTATCATTTAATCCAATCGACTCCGAGGCTTACCAATATACTTTTTTAATCGTTCCCTATCCCACAACTTCAAATTATGCCCTAAGGCCATCAATCTCAGGCCATGTTGGTTGTCAAAGCCTGGAAGATTCTGCTGATTCTTGTTGCAGTATTACTTGCGTGGTCTCTCCTCGTTACATCCTTCCGTTATAGCGACCCAGCAAGATGGCCGAAGAGCGTATCTCATTTTTCAAATGAACTGAGAGACAAGGCTCTTGCTCATATCGAGAATGAAACTCTTGGGGTTAGTTTCCGATGACCAGCTTCATGATTTGCGATACTAGCCTTTAATTAGTTTGAGCATGTCTTTGCTATAGGAATGAAAGAGCGTCCCGACAAGCGCGATTTTCTTACTTTAGCGGCGATAGAAACTGGCTTTGAGGTTGACTGGCTGGACGGGGTGAGACCATCTGAGCTGCGGCAGAAAGCTATGCCAAACGTGAGTATCTCTATTATTGAAGGCAAGTTCCCGCATAACCCTGGTATAGGGATATGATATCTCATCTACGGTGCCCACTATTATCGCATGCTGGCGAGCTCATATGAATGCTATGTTCGAGTATGTTGTTCAGTTCAATTGCGTGACCTAGATCAACACTCTCTAAGAAGTTTTTAGAGTTGTCCAGAGAGGTTATTCCTCTGCACTGATTTTCGAAGATGATGCCGACTGGGATGTGAACATCAGATCACAGTTACGCGAGTTTGCTCGTGGGCTACACGCTTTACAGGGCAATGGTCATGCCTCGACACAGCACCCCTATGGAGTAGACTGGGATCTTCTTTGGATTGGAGGATGTGGGTCGGCTCCATTTCCTAACGAAACCCAGTTCTACGCTGTACGTGATGATCCTACATGTCCTAATGTCGAACATCGAGGAATGCTTGGCGGAGTCCCTGATAGCTGGAAGGTCCACTTTCCAGAAGACTCGACAAGGTTTTCCTTTAAAGCAGAAGCAGGCTGCTGTCTATATGGCTATGCCGTTTCGAACAGGGGGGCAAGAAAAATTCTCGCTGAACTTGAGCTTGATCATATAGAGGTACCAGTGGATAACGCTTTGAGTGACTTATGCGGAGGCAGGTCTGGTCGCCAACAGATTGATTGCTATGCACTATTCCCTCAAATTATTGGTACTTACCGACGAGCTGGGCCATCCTCCAGGGATTCAGACATCGCCAGCTATGATGAGAACCTTATTCACGAAGAGGAATCCTGGAACATGGTGTACAGCGTGAGGCGCAATATTCAGCGACTTGTTGCTGGCGAAGTCACTGTCTACTCACAGTGGAATGACCAACCATGGACGGCCAAGGAGGTCAACCCGAGACAGTTCACCCACCCCAAAGGTCAATTAGTCACCTAGCTCAGTTACCTAGCTTAATGTTGCGAAGTTTGCGGGGAACTAATAATTATTTCCGGTGAGCTATGATGATTTTTTAGACGTGTTGGAATTGCGGATATTCGTGTATTCGGGCATTGCTTTAGAACAAATACAGCAACGGTTACTCGGTTTCAACCCTTATAGTCTTAGATTCTCAAAAGTACTTACTTTCTCCCTGTGGATTGCAAACGCGGTCTTCCTGACCGTGAGTCTACCTACGAACTGGTGTAGCAGTCAGATAAAACGGATCCGATCATACTTTATTCTTCCATAAAGCCTTAGCGATTATGATCGCCCGTTTAGATTAAATAGGGTGACATATAGCCCCAAGCAAGATGCGACTAGCAGCTATTAAAAGTCTATATATACGGGCTGGACGAGCACGTAATAAGTAGAGGGCCTAGGCACTTCACAGTGGGTGGACCAGTCCTCCCGGAAGAGAAAATGGTCGCCAGTTCAATTCACTTTAATTAGCAAAGTACTCTTCAATTATGGTTATTTCCATAAGAGTGAGCGATTCGTGTTGTGGTTGATATATTTTGATTTCTCACGAAAGTTTTGGAATTGATTCTCCTTACAGTGCTGCATGCCTTGTGATACTTTAGACTTCAGCCACGAAGTAGGAGTTGTACCGCTTCTTGAAATAAGAAGGAGGGCAACTATGGTCATTGACTGTATCATAGGATTGAAAATAGGACGACAATGTTGCACCTAATAAAGACGAAGTGGTTGCAACTACCCAATAGGGATCAGTACTTCTATAATAGGCAAGCTCGCCTCCGGATCAACAATAATCCGACATTTGCCATTCCAAAAGAGCAGGCCTAACCGCTCGCAAAAGTGATCATCGCTCGGGGAACTCCCGACAACGTGTCGGTCAGAGTGCCTGGCTTGCCTCTTTGGTACTCGCGTTTCTTCTGTGGAGTCATCCCTCTCCTCCATAATCCACATTGCGAGTGCTCGCCTAACCTCCGCGTAAATGGCGCTCTCCGGATTCCCCAGAACTCATGGCAGGACCCGCCGTGGACCCTGACGATGTGACTACGATTGGATTACGGGCGTCATCGCCGTCGGCAGCGATACAACTCGGATCCATGGCAGTCGCAATGGCGGCACGAGTGAGATTGAATCTAGTTCCATCACGCATATAAGAGTGTATGGACCCTGAGATGTGGCTTGATCGAGTTCCACAGCTACTTTGAACATTTTCACCGGATCATCTTTGCAAGCCTTCATCATGCGTACTTGGTATGGAAGGGGCAAATCCCTTCAAGCAGCCGTTACTGCGTGTTGTCTAGTGGCGTTCATCTTGTTTGGATATGACCAGGGCGTCTTCAGTGGCATTGTGACAAACGACGACTGGAGGACGCAATTTAATTATCCCAATGATTCGGAAGAAGGTATCATTGTCAGCTGCTACAACCTTGGATGTCTCCTAGGATGCTTGAGTAAGTACTCCTAGACTCACTTACCCCATATGTTTGGTCTGACATGAATGTTAAGTCAATTTCTTTATCGGCGAGTATCTCGGACGCCGAAAGACGATTTGGCTAGCCATGGGAGTGGTAATTGTTGGCGCAGTCTTGCAAACGTCGGCCTTCACCGTGCCTCATCTGATCATTGGAAGATTGGTCACTGGTGCGGGTACAGGCTTGAAGACCTCTACTGTACCTATGTAAGAGTGACATGATGTTTATTGCGGCGTTGATCAGCTATTCATACTGATAACACACGTCACAGGTATCAAGCAGAAATGTGTGATGGAAAGACACGAGTCGTCTTATCTCTTCTGAGGTTCTTTTCACTGCCGTTGGCATCGTCGTGGCATATTGGTTTGACTTTGGCATGTCCTTCGTCGGAGGGCCGATCGCGTGGCGACTTCCTATTGCTATGCAAATTATCTTTGCTATCTTTGTCATCATTCTCGTCTTCGGTCTTCCGGAATCTCCTCGCTGGCTCATTAATCACGGTCAAGAGAAAGAAGCCATAGAAGTGCTTTGCGCGGTATATGACAAAGATGAAAACGAGGAGTACATCGTCAATGAGCGCCGTGCAATTCTATCCGCTATTGAGCTGGAGAATACTGCCAACAAGAAGTCATTCTGGAAGATCTCCCGCAATGACGAAGTCAAGACGGGTCAACGTGTTCTTCTTGCTTGGGGAATGCAACTGATGAACCAAGTCGGAGGAATTAACCTAGTGGTATACTATGTGCCCAGTAAGTGTGCCATCCAAGCATCAAAGAGACTGTGAACTAATCTTAGAAACTCTAGCCGTGTTGAAAAACAATGTGGGGATGACTGGTCAACTCCCGCAGATCTTGGGTGGATGCATTCAGATTATGTTTATGTTGGGATCTCTTCTGCCCGCATTCATGTTAGACCGCATGGGTCGTCGTCGAACGATGATGATCGGCTCGTTCGGCCTGGGGGTTTGCATGCTCATGGTCGCAGCTCTCTTATCACAAGTCGACAAGCCGAACGGGACATCTTACGCCTCCGCATCCGTATCTTTCTTCTTCCTCTATATGCTCATTCATGGCATGTCCATCAACTCGGTACCGTGGGTGTATGTACCGGAGATCCTTCCTCTAGATGCTCGCAGCAAGGGAACAGCTATTGGCGTTAGCTCTAACTGGCTCTGGAACTTCACCGTGGTCATGATCACTCCTGTGATTATCAACCGCATCCAGTGGAAAGCTTACTTGATCTTCATGATCACCAACTTTATCTTCATTCCAGTCGTCTATTTCTTCTACCCCGAGACTGGCAATTTGCGTCTGGAGGACATTGACCTGATTTTCTCTCGGGGCGGTGACCCTGTGAAGCAGGCACGACTAATGGCTGCCGAAATCAAAACCCATGGCTATCTTCAGTCAGAGGAAATCGGCAATGAAAAGCACCCTGAAATTGTCAAGGTGGAGCATGTTTAATTCTCATTTGAACTGGAAATGGAGATATTAATCCTGCCTATCCGCGATGCTCAACCGTTGAGATTCTTCTCACATATGTTTAAATAGATTATATCGATGCATTATGTCACTCAAATTATAACGTATACGAGGAATATTTTCGCTAATGTCTGGCCCAATGACCCTGGTATCATTGATCCAGGATACCAATTGAAAAGTTTCACATAATCTCCCAAAAACAGTTTCAATTCATCATAAACATCCCCTTTGCTTCCTAATACTGGCGCCACCTTCAAATTGCATAGCGCCATTCCATGCAACCACTTAGAGAATCACACAACCTTGCAGTCAATTAGCCTTCGCAGCCTTAGGAGGGTACTTCTTTCCGTCCCTCTCCACCTGAGGAGTGCAGGCGCAGCGCTCGCTCTCTGGGATCGAGTCCATAACGGATGGGATGTGGTTGCCGCATCCCCACCAGGTGGCCTTGTCTGCAAGATCATTAGTTGTTGCTCGTTTACACCCCACTCCATGATTTCTCGAACTTACTGCAGGTGGCGCAGTGAGCCTTCATACACATGCTGGGCAAGTTGATAGTTGTTCCGTGTAAAAGGGTCTTGTGGATGGTAGACAAGATGAATCGATCCAATCTTTCTTGATTGTTTGGGTTGGTGATGGCAAGATGGTGGGAGGCGTGCGGGAAGTGGCTTTATACACGTTTGTGCCGCCATGCCTTAGTCATAGCCGACGATCTGGAGACGCCGATTAGTGAAGCCCGAAAGCCCGAGCTGTTATCGGCGTTTATAGTTTGTCTATTCTAAATTGGACTAGGGGCATAGATATACGCAGAATGAAATAATTATAGTCAAAGCAGGGACGGTGCTTTTTCTGATGAATGGATATGCTTACGTAGATGCGTGGCTTCATCCTTCTTGCTTACGATAAATAAGCGAACTGGTGTTTAGTGGGGCAACGCGGGTGAAAGCCGAAGATAGATTCTGACCTCATTTCTGCAACACAACAGCGACTCAATTCATTGGAAAAAACTAACAGAATGAGAAGATTTTGGCCGAGTGTTATATGATCTATGATGACTATCATCGCAGTCGCTGGCGGTACAGGTGGCGTGGGAAAGACACTGGTGGAAAGGTTGGGCCAGGAGCCAAACATTAGCCTTATTGTCCTGACACGTAATGTAAGTTTCTCCTGAAGAGGGCAATCTACTAGGAGAATCCTAACTTCATTATGGGCGATAAAGGAAGCCAGCCTTCGAGAGAATATCCAACACATCCAGATCGACTACAGCGACGTCCCTTCCATGACCACGGAGCTGGAGCTCCACAATGTGCACACTATCATATCTGCGATTGGGATTGTCTCTGCTGAAACCAGCCAATCCCAGCTAAATCTGATTGAAGCAGCTGAAAGATCTAGCTCGACAAAGCGTTTTGTCCCGAGCGAGTTCTCGTTCATTCAAACACCCGAGTAAGTTCGCTTGCTATCTCTATCGCTCGCACTCACTAAATCTCTCATCGGTGAACAAAGGCTATTGTCAGTGGATCCGAGTATTCAGTTCTGGCTTGATGCGGCGGATCGTTTGAAATCTAGCTCGCTGAAGTATACCCGCGTCATTCCGGGGTTCTTCATGGATTATTGGGGCATGCCTCATGCGAAGACAAATCTTTACCCGTACGCCTTCGGCATCGATATCTCTGGCGGTGTAGCGGTCATTCCCGGTGATGGCAATGATGTCATTTGTATGACATACACGTACGACCTGGCGAACTATATGGTGAAGATGCTTGAACTGGAGGAATGGCCTGAGTTCAGTGTGTTTGTGGGGGATGAAGTGACGTCCAACGAGATTTTGACTATGGCAGAGGAAATCAGGGGTGTGATTAAGACGAACATATTCAAAAGATCATTTAACTAACATGCTATGGACTAGGTAAAAAGTTTCAGACAACCTACGACAATGTCGACCAGATCAAGGCGGGAAGTGTGACCGTCCCACCCATGCCTAGCACCATGGGATCACCGGAGGAGCTGAGGGAAGTTACAGCATTGGTCAGTCTGCTCATAGTGACTGGAGTGTTTGATTTACCCAAAGAGAGCCGTATGAGTGATCGATTCCCCGAAGCGCGACCCGTCAAATTCAAAGAATTTCTGGAGAAGTGTTGGGGAGAAAGGCACACATAAGATCAGACATAGGTTGAGGAGGTTGCTGTGTTATTAAAGGCTCAGTCGACTTATTACATCTCCAATATTGCACTCATATCGGCAAATACAGCCAAAAGAAAGATTTCCAATATTCGAGAGACTTGCCAAAAGCGGTGTCTCTCAGAAAGGGGACGTAAACCAAACATTTAGTCGTAGCATTGCGGCCCAGGCCATCTCACGCCGACACAGACAGGACGTTCTGGAATAAGATTCGAGCACGAGGTGTTTATATCCGGGTTCCAGCATAGGAACTGGTTGATTGTGAAGTTAGAGCCATACCGTGCAATGATGTCCCAGCAGGTATCCCCAAATTGGACCATATAATGCGAGTTGCCTGAATTCTAGTTAAATGATTGTTGCTCCCAGTCATCAATTCTCTCCATAAGCTGATGGACGAAACATACAATAAGGAGTCTCTTGTAAAACATCACGGCTCACAGTCTCAACAGCAGCCGAGAACCCTAGGGATGTAAGCCCCAAAGTGCAAAGAAGGATTTGAGTGCTCAAGGAAGCCATTATGGTCAGAGAATTCGGATGACACCAAAAAAGGACCTGTTTTGCTCTCGATGCAAAGGTAGAGAAGAAACTGCGACAATGGATCTCGATCAAGCTTTACTGGAGCACATCCTGGGTATTTATGTTTCCGAGAACATACGGAGCGAGGCGATTGTCTCAGCATGTTGATGCAACAGGCCGGTAGCAAGAAATTAAACGCAGGTTTCTTGTATGACCATAGGGAGAGCTGATACGCCACTTTGACTGTGAGGGGGATCAGCTCCATATAGGTAAGCATACAACATCTTCAAGAAGGAACGGTGGTATTGGGTTACTATCAACCCTGTCTTACCCCCATCTGGTGTTATTCCTGCTGAAAGAAAGCCCCTGCCAAGATATAGACGGAACTTGAAGTTGACGAATCGAACAGATTCAGATTACCCAATTAGAGGTCCCATCGAAATTCTCGCATGCCTACCACTCTTCGGATTTCTCTCAGACAAATCGTGCATTAAACCACTGTCACTGTTACATTCAGTGGAATATGGGTGATACCTTCGTCAGAGCCAGTGAGTCCCTTTTTTAGGATTGGTCATTTACTTGGTGGGACGATAATATAGAGTATAACAGATGATGAATATGTTCAGACCTTACCGCCTCTTAGAGAGTGGACTGTGTAACAATCTCATGTACAACACAGAGTTGAAGCTTTGACCACAGGGAATTAGAGGCAAGGGTAGTCCTAGTCTCAGCCCGTACGGTGAACGTACCATTGCACAGTGTCACACCTAGAGGTTATAATGGCTAGTGTTTTACAACTAAAGAGATAGAATGCAAAACTTTTCGTAGCGAGTTCGCTTGAAAAAGTTGGTTGAAATGGAATATACTATTGTTATCAGTCTATGCTTCAGGACAGCTGGCCTGGGAGGAGAGAAAAGCTTGGCTTCTTACCCTCCGCAGCCCACCATGATCTAGGCACTAAAAGGTACTGGATTTGATCTGTCTGTACTGCCTTCCTTGAGCTTTAGGTGAGCCTTGCCTCATTCTATCAGACTTCTCTACTTCGATAAAGATGACGCCTATACGAAGTTTCAGTAGTATGGATAGCTCGTTTCGTTCCTTTACGATTCGAAATCTACCGTATATTATACCTTTAGAAGCGATTCCCAGAACAATCCCACTGTCGAACTTATGCTGAAGCGTAAGTTGAGACTATTGTAACGAAAGATGCTACACACAAGGGTTAGTCTAGCGTATCATTTTATGCTTCGGATACACAGACTGTCCCAAATTTTGCCACCTTGAAATTTTGCGACCGAGAAAAAGGTCACTGTCACTTCAGTGAAATTCTGCGGACTCTGACCGAATAGCCCATATGAGCCGTTGGGCATCGTCCGTAATGAAGTGTCTAGGATAGACAGTTTTTAAATCAATGCACAGGTAGGAAATGCGACAACAAAGACTGTGACTCATAATTAAATGATCATCTGAAGTCCTCATTGTCTTAATCCAAGTTGACTATCGATCATAGTGTTTGGTACAGATTCATCCCCACATCTAAGCTGTCATTTCTTGCGACTTCGGATGATTACCGTGCGGGTGGACTGTTGCTCCGACTCGAATAGACCTCGGCAAGGTAGATCTCAGGAAGTTAATTTCCATCATCCTCTTACCTCTTGACTGGTAAGGACTTGATTAAAGTTCGGCATGGAGCTGATAGAAAACAATATACATTGCGATGATCGACATCGTCGTCTTTGCGAGCTCCTTTCGTAGATTAATTCCAAACGAAAAACAATCCCCTCTTCCCTCTTCCCTCTCCCCTGGATCGAATTCCTGCTCAAACTTGGAATCAAATGTAGATATGTCAATCACCAGGGGAAACTGATTACAAGCCTGGAATAAGCCTGGAATAAGCCTTGCGCACTTCCCCGCGAATTGGTGGCCACACTAAAGCTTGAATGGCTACCCGTTGCCTCCGGGGCCGTGGACGTGATCAAACCTCATTTACGAGCTACTGTGAGTGCTCTGAAGTACTGAGGAGGGGAAATCAAGTTTGGGTTAATGATGAACTTGTGGCAGCTAATTAAAAATTTCTTTTCTAATCATACAGCCACATCAAATCGCCTGCTATCCGACTTTTCCAACGATAAAGAAGGGTCGTGCAAGGCCAACTCAAGATTATGTCTATCATCAAGTCTCTCTGGAATACGAGATGCCACTTGTTGAGAACTCAAACCATGAATCGACCGATTGCGGGGGTTCGAAAGGGAGCCCCCGCTGAGAACATTAGATTCGGACGAGTCGGATGTCTTTTGTCTCTTTCGTCGGATAATATCGCGTAATTTCACATATAACGGTCGGATAGCCGGCGCGGCTGCGCACAAATGTGCGACAACGGTTTCCGCACAGGTCCAGTAGAAAACACCAGAATTCGAGTAAGTCGGATCACGAATCGCTTCGACATTTCTTAGGGTTGGTACACGAGCGGATGCGATGGCTATGACACTAAAAAATTGTTAGTCCTCTGCATTTGATATCTGTCAAGAGTACATCTTACAGAATACCACAACCAAAAAGAGCATACAATGCAACCTTTTGGGCTACTGTGGCGCGAAGTCTTCGGAGCAATGGTAGAGGCAGAATTAAAACTGCAAGTTCAGTGGCAATGTTCACCCCTGCACTGGCATAGGCCACGCCTGAGATACTGAGACACCTCGCATCTTCCCTTTTCAAATCCCATATTGCATGGATCGGCACGCATTGCCATATGGCCATCGGGACAAGTATAAGGACAGCCACTGTCGTGAAAACCATCGTACCCATGACACAACGTCGAAAGAGTGGAATCTCAGGGAATATTCGAAGGTAGAGGAAAAGTATCGACATTTTGATGAAATAAATGACGACTAGCCAGAAAATCTGCGAGAGATAGTCTAAGAAGGTGTTAGACTTTGATTGACAGAGTCGAGGTAATGAACGCGATACTGACACCAGAGAGCTAGGTGAGTGGCTTGAGATATGGAAGAGAAGTTGATATCGTATAGATGGTAGCCCATCCCCTCATTCACAGCTTACCATCGAGTTAGTACAACGACAAAGTTTGAGAGATTCATGAACATACAAAGATTGCCGAAAACAAGCAATGGTATCATCAGCACCTATGCTAGAGTGTAAGTAAATGCATCGCGTCTGAACGTTTTCCGACGACATCGTGACGTACCCCAGCAATGATATGGCTCCAGTCATCCCACCAAAATTTGCGCAATGTATACGCCCTTGATATTATGCGAAGAATCACGATGAGAATACCAATCCCACTCGCTGCGATCGCCGCTCTTATATTATCTTTGTGATTGTTATGAGGCAGGTCGCATTGTTTGGCCCAAGACTGCGCCGCCACTATGAATTATCAGTGTCTGGCACTGTGTGGCATCTTGCTATGATTTGGGAGTACCGACCGATTGTTTCTGCGGTATCACATGTGTCTAATAAGCAAAGGGAGATATGGGTGTTGACATTTTTGTTCGTGCATCGGCACTTGGTATCCGACGGTTCGCAATCGCCTAGTAGGAGACTCTGTGATACACATTCGACCTGCATACCTCAATGTCAATATTCAATCGCAAGCCTGGAAACAGACACTCAAGACTCACAACACATGGTGGCAAGCTATTCGAGCCTGAAACGCCATCAATCCCTGTCGCAACAGTGAGTCGCATGCATACCCATAGGAGAAGTGACAGGATATTGCGCTTCATCCTGCTAAAGAATGACGAGGCGGAGGGGCTTTTCCTGCATCCATCGCAATGGGGACTCGAGGGAGAGAAAGATGGGGAGGAAAGCGCATCACGTATCTCAATTATCGCCCTGTCGCCTGTATTTCAACCATCCCCATCATTAATGTAACCACGGCATGTCTTCGACGACGAATGGTACCTCGCGCCTCAACAGGTCAAACCAAGGTACGATTGGGCACTATGGGGTCATTCTGGTCTAGAGTTCCGTACATTGCTGCCGCATCGATACAGGGTCCTCTAGTTGAACGACGTAATGTCAAACCTTAAATGGGGGGGGGGAACCGTTCGCATTCAATGTGCCAAGAAACTCACGACGAGGCGCGGCCTTAAGATGGAAGTGGGTCTCGTCTGATCTGTCATTGGTGATCTGTCATTGGTCAAGTCCCATGTCCTTGATTGGATGAAATCTTGACCAAAGAAGCAGTGTTGCTGCCAGATATTCAAGGCTCCAACGCGGGCCTTTGTCAGTCGGAAGAATTGACGACCCGTCGGCATGGGGAGAATAATCTTATCACAATCAGCACATCCATCCCGAGTCTTCGCCGTGCCGAGGTCGGGATCAACGTGATTATCGGGGCAATTCAGTGCTCCGTACAAGCCCGAAGTATTTATATCGCAACAGAAATATTCACATGCAATAGACTAGAAAATTTTCTGACAGTATACATCATATTCCATCTATTTGCTCGAGTTTCTCGCCTTCACCTCTCCATTTAGTGATCAAGTTCTTTTGCCAAAGGTCATGGCTGATCAAGTCCCAACTTCAATGAAGGCCTTAGTCGCGGACCGCTCTATCGTGAGCCGTCTTTCAAATTATTCGTGCGGCCATCCGTCTGGAGATGGCGTCAAGATACAAACAATTCCCGTTCCCGAGATTTTGGCCAACGAAATTCTCGTTCGCGTACGATCCGTCGCACTCAATCCAACCGACTTCAAACATATCGATATTGTTTCTCCTCGAGGAGCTATCATTGGCTGCGATTATTCGGGAACAGTCGCCAGAGTAGGTGCCAAAGCGCCTGGACACTGGGAGGTTGGAGATAGGGTGGCAGGCATTATACATGGAGGACTCTACGCCGACCGCGGTTCTTTTGGTAGAGTATCTCAAGATCCCTGGTGATCTTGCCTGGAAAGTACCCTCATCTGTAAGCGATGAAGAAGCGGCTACATTTGGAGTCTCCGCTGTCACCGCGATGCTAGCCCTAAATGCTCGTTTGGGCGTTCCTTGGCTAGACTCAGGCAAGAGTCAAGGACAAGAAGACACCCCGATCTTCATCTACTCGGGCTCCACAGCGGCTGGGCTTTACTCCATTCAACTTGCAAAGCTCGCGGGACTGAAAGTTGTGACAACCGCATCTCCAAAGTCTCATGACCTGGTCAAGGAGTACGGTGCGGACGACGTGTTTGATTATCGGTCTCCAACCGCCGCCGAAGACATCATTCGAGCCTATCCCAACATCGACAGAGCCTTGGATTGTTTTTCAGAGGGCACTTCGACGGAGTTCTGCGCCAATGTGGTTCGCAGGAACCGAGGATGGGTTGTGACATTGTTGGATTCCGGCAAAAAGGATCTGGATGGCGTGAGAGTCGATTTCATGTTGGCTTACTCGGTTTTCAATGCCGAGTTCCAGTGGCTACCACCAGTGGGACCAAAGTTTCACAAAGTGCCATCTGACAATGACGCTTTGCGCCGATTCTACGCGGCGTTGCCTGAGATCGCACTGAAATTGAAGACGCCTCCCTTGAAAAATATTGATGGCGGGCTAGAGAACCTAACTACAGGTCTCGATTTGCTTCGTCAAGGGAAGGTGTCGGGAACTAAGCTGGTTGCGACCGTTTTTTGATGTTTTTTTGTTTGCCTTCTATCAATTGTCGCTGTTCTTGAGCCCTTGATGTACTTAATCTCCAATACTTGGTCACAAATAATATCTTTTCTTATATGTTGAGCTTGAAATCTTAAAGATACATGAGACGGGAATTCCCTGGCACGTGTTCATGTGTATGGGAGCTGCTTTTTTTTTTCTCGAATTCCACTTCATAAGGAAGGGACATCGATTGTACGTCGCCTCGCCAGAAATATTTACGCCCATCTGATAGTGCTGTTCTGGCAGTTAGGGACTGGGCCCGTCTTCCATCGAGGGGTTGCCTCCTCATCCGCCAACTTCGCGACCGGTTTGAGAAGCTCCATTTGGCCCCATGGCGTGTCCTTGAAGCTTGTCATAAAGGGAGACTCCCGTGTCAGATACTCCGGGAACACCCGCTTCCAGCCATCAACTATCTGCAGCAAAATCTCAGAGACAAACTGATCAGGGGACGAGCGCTCAAACGTAAACTGATCAAGGGTCTTCTGCACCACGTCTCTTGGGTAGAGCCCAACCTCGGGGTCGAGAAGAATTGTGTCGCCCGCAACCAATGAGCTGACAACATGGTAAGATCCACCATTAAGCGCGCGGTCTCGAATAGCCAGCATTGTTGCCAGGGCACCAACGACACCAGTCATCATATCTGAGATGGGAAGAGGCGGAAGAACACCGGTTCCCTCATCATATCCCCAAAACTTGCCCATTACATATGACGCCCCAGAAGCAGCGTCTCCTATTTGCTGCCAACCTGGTCGCTCTGCAAATGGTCCATCGGATCCATAACAGTTCTCATCTACGTAGATGATGCCCTTGTTGCGCTTCGCAGCCATCTCCAGCAAGCTCTGTAGTCCAAGACCCTTCCTGTCGAGAGAACCGTATCGGAACCCTTGGATGAAGACATCTGCATCATTCAGAAGGTCTCTGAGGAGGTTCATGTCAGACTCTTTGCTAACATCGAGGTCCACCGTGCGTTTCCCCGCGTTAAGGGTCAGTTGAAGCACCTGCAAGCTGAGTCAGAATTTTGAGACCATTACCAAACCTGAGCTCTCTACTTACGTTCAAGTCCACCAGTCTGCTACAGTTGACGCGAATCACATCGGCACCAAACGAGGCGAGAGTCACACCGATAGCTGGACCTGCGATAATGCGTACCATTTCGAGAACTTTGATTCCTGCCAGTGGGCGACGATCCGAGCCCTTTGGAAGTGGCACAGAAGGAGTTGGACGAGCATATGACTCGTGAGTATAATTTACCAAGGGATGCGCAGCCAGGCGCTTCCCCATCTCGGTGGCTCTCCATCCCTCAGGCGAATAACAGATGCTCCCGCACAGTCCGTGTCTCAAGTTATGCATCTCCAACTCATCCGCGCTCCACTTCTGGACGTGATCCTTGATATATTTGTACCCTTCCGCCAAGGATTGCAATGAAGCTTCCATGTCAATGCCCATTGATTTGAGAGTCTTGCTTGCATCGAGGGATCCATGAAGCTGATACCACACCCGGGGATCTTTCGTAGGATAAAGCGCCGTGGCTCTTCCAGCCAATGGCCCAATGCCAAATCCTTGCTCGAAATCCCTGGCGAAAATCTTTGACAAAGAGCGACTGCGGGCGAGAGCAGAAATATCCGACCCTTCCACGTACGTGGTAAAGGTTGCCCCTAGCCAAATGCCAGCGTGATCTGTATTGACCGTCACGCTGCTTTCCTTCGCTGGTTTTTCATCACGGAGCTCAAGCAATTCGTTCGCGACCAATCCGCACATCGCATGCAGCGCAGCAGATACCAGAGGGGCTTTCATGGGACCAGGAATCATGGGGTCTGATCGGCCTTCAAATTTGACGGTATCCCATAGACTAGCGTCTTTGGTGAAGCCTGGTGTCCTTGATGCAAGCAACTCGAAGATTCGCCTTGCGTCTTCGGGAGCCGGGAGCACATTATTGTCGATGTACGTCCCGGGCCCGTAGACGTCATCTCCAGGCACAGTTTCGTGTCTGATACGAGCCATCGTTGAGGGAGTAACAAGTGAATACCTTGCTCGTGCGATCAAATTTCGAGGTCCTTTCAAGGCTTTTCGTGAGAACGTGGCGGACGATTTTATACGGGAAGAGCGAACAGGGCGTTAGTCACCCTAGCTAGGCATGATGCGGGGTCAATTAAAATAAGCCCGCATCAGACTGTCAGTGGCCTAACCGAAACGCTAGGCGCGCCGTAGCTTTGGCCCAGCATACCCCCGCAAGCCAACAGAGCCTGATCAAAAACAGTGTAAGTTGTGCCTTTTTTTTTATTCGACTAAACTGTATGAATAGTAGCTAACTTATGCAGACATCCAGCAAAAGCCTGGAGGGGAAGTGGGTCAATTTGTGTTGTGCAATAGGGTAAGTGTGGGACTCATAATGCGATCTGCAAAGGCCGATCGTCGTTGCCTCGGACCTCGTCCCCGAGGTTTCCATCTGAGGGGTCGTCCAACACGGAACAAAATAATGACCAGTTGGCAAATTTATATACTGGCTGCTATGCAACATCCCTTTCGATGAAGAGTGTTTGGAAACAAGCCACGATTTGTGCGACTTCAACTGTACAACATGTCACCAGAAAACAGCAATGTCGGTAGACGACCAGTGAAGGTCGCCAACTGCTCTGGATACCATGGTATGATAGTTGAAACTTTGCATCGAATTTATACTGACTGCTCCAGGCGACCCTGCATATGAGATGTATCGTCAAGCGACACTCGGAGAAGTTGATTTCATCACGGGCGATTATCTCGCAGGTAAGATATTCTACTTATCCTGTACAGATCAGCAATAGTTCAGCTGACAGACTTATAGAGGTAAATATGGCCAACAATGCACAGGCTTATCAGAAGGGAGAGCATTCCGGTTATGAGGAAACAGCCTGGGAAGGGATCAAGCAGACCATCGAGGTGATTTTCGCCAAGAGGATCAAGGTTGTAATCAATGGCGGTGCCCTCAATCCAAAAGGTCTTGCGTCGAAGGTAGAAGAACTGGTAAGAATGCTGCTTGATCATACCTGATATAGATGTTGAGTCTGAACAGATACGGGAAAAAGGGTTCAACTTGAAGGTCGCCTATTTGTCTGGCGATGACCTGCACTCAAAATTCGGTCCCAACATGCCGAGGTCAAAAGACGAACTCCAGCACCTCGATGGTGATAACCGGGCCGTGAACCCAGGACCGCTCACATATGCTTTTCTCAATAGTATCAATCCCGTTCCTATGGTCTCCGCACACGCGTATCTGGGAGCGCGAGGAATCGTTGATGGGCTGAGGCGCGGCGCCGATATCATCATATGTGGTCGCGTCGCAGATGCAAGTCCAGTCATCGCCGCTGCTTGGTACTGGCACTCATGGAGCGAAACAGACTACGACCGGCTTGCTGGTGCACTTGTTGCTGGTCATCTTATTGAATGCTCTGCCTACGTCACTGGTGGTAACTTCTCCGGGTTTGATCGATATCCCATCGAAAAATTTGTGAAGCCTGGATTTCCTATTGCAGAGATCGAGTCGGACGGCTCATGTATAATTACCAAGCATTCCAATACCGACGGAATGGTTGACGTCGACACAGTTCGCAGCCAATTCTTGTACGAACTGCAGGGTAACGTCTATCTCAATAGCGATGTGAGTGCAATATTGGACAATATTGCTATCGAACAGACAGGTCGTGATAGGTAAGGCAGCGGTGATGGATCTATTCTGTGAATCATTTGTCTCATCACTTTCAGGGTTCGCGTTCATGGAATAAGAGGCTATGCTCCACCCCCGACGACAAAGTTGGCTATCTTTTATCCTGGAGGTTTCGAAGCACAGCTGCTTCTCAATGCTACAGGATATGGCACAAGTGCAAAATGTGACTTGATTGAGAAACAAATTCGTCACTTTATACCACCTGAAGCCTTGGAAAAGATTGACACTCTCGAGTTCCAGCGGTGGGTAGACGATTCAAAGGAGTAGCAGATTTGGAGAAGCCTAACTTGTCATCCAGGATTGGTGTTCCAGCCGTTGACCCTACCTCACAACGTAGCAGTACTACTTACTTGCGAGTCTTTGTTGCAGCGGTCTCAGTGCAAGCAGTCCTGTCAGTGGTGATGGCCATGAGGGAGATCTCACTCAAACACTTTTCAGGTGAGTATTCCTTTAATGAATACCTGCAGAGGTTGGAAAAAGGCTGATGAAATGCCTTTGAAAATCAGGTTTCCATTCTTCGCTGGATCAACGCAGCGCCATGCCACGGCCGTTCTTAGCTTACTACCCCGCGATCGTCAGTCAGGACCTCGTCGATGAACAGATCAACTTTATCGATGGACCCGACAATGTCGTCTCATATGCAACCGGACACCCACCAAAATATGAACCACTAGCTCCCAGAGCCAGCTATGATCACACGCCATCGCCAGATGAGAAATCTTTATTTAACGGTGCTAGCCAGCCCATCCGCCTTGGTGAGATTGCGCAGGGTAGGTCTGGAGATAAAGGTGCGAACCTCAACTTCGGTCTGTTTGTTCCAAATCCACAATACTGGCCATGGCTACGGTCATATATGAGCCGTGAACGTATGAGGACGATGCTTGCGGCTGATGATGACTGGGATGACTCGTTTCTGATTGAGCGAGTAGAGTTCCCCGAGATTCATGCCGTGCATTTTGTAATTTACGGTATATTGGGCAGAGGCGTAAGTAGCTCTAGTCGCCTAGATGGATTTGGGAAAGGATTTGCCGATTATGTGCGTGATAAGATTGTTGAAGTGCCAGCTGAATTGCTTTCGTTAAAACCGCACCTATAAACGATGCCCACTTTTTAACTGTCATTAACTCAGATAAAGCTGGATTACGAAGCAGCCGGAGAATACTGAATTACAATAAGTATGCATCGAGCAAAGATCCTTCAAATACTGAGCATATATATGACTTAGCTCGAATTTTTCAAAATTCTCATGTCCTCTCATAAAGGCACGGCCAAGTTTGTTGCTAGGCCAAGTACTTCCAGTGTGCGGATATTGGGGAGTGGGTATAATACTCGACATGAAGCCTGACTTTTGTACGCGAAGTCATTCAATTTAACAGGATATTAACTTGTAATCATTGTTTGAGACTCTTCGTGCTTAATGATATCAGGTCAGCCTTGCGATTTCTCGAATGACTCTTATCCACGACCGAGGGGTGGCCTAACCCCACTTTTGTGTAGGCCGTCTGGCCCGCGCAAGATCTCACACCAAAGAGTGTTTCTCCATTTCGCCCTCAGACACCAGATAAAATTTCACAATGGCTGAAGCCCAGCCAGTTCATTTCTTTGACCTCTTCTCAGATCTTCCAGGTCCACCTCGTCTTCCCCGAATCGAACTACTCACACTGACGTGCTGCACCCTAGGTCCCTCCAAGTCATGGTCACACAACACGTTGAAGATCAGAGCAGTCCTCAACTTCAAGGAAATACCTTACACGCAGAGCTGGATCTCGTACCCGGACATCAAGCCTCTGGCCATAAGCCTAGATCTACCGCCAAACAAGCAGGGTAGACTTTACACATTGCCGATAATCCTCCACGAGTCCTCGATAACCTCGAATCCAAGTGGAGCCATGATGGATTCACTGAATATTGCGCTTCATCTCGATAAGGTGTTTCCATCTCCGCCACTATTCCCTTCCGGTGATGTCAGCTACGCACTGTTCATTGCTGTAGCCAAGATTATGAGTCTCCTGGAGCCTGGTTTCCGGCCGTTCATTATTCCCAGAGTTGCGGATCATCTCGACCCCCGGGGACACAAATATTTTCATGAGACGCGGTCTGCTGCTCTCGGAAAGCCATTGTCAGAGGTACGACCGACGGACAAGAATATCATCGACGAGTTGTGGAATATAGTAGAGATTGAGTCAGTCGCGTTGATCCGGATGCTGAAGGGCATGGAAGGGAAGGAAGGGCCATTCTTTGAAAGCCATAAGCCCGGATATGCGGATCTATTCTTGGCTTGTCAATTGGCATTCATCGAGCGCTTTGATAAGGATCTGTTCGGAAAGTTCATGGATTTGGGCGATGGCGAAATCGCGGCACTCTACAATGCTTGTCTACCATGGTTAGAGGGCCAAGGCGAGGATAGGCAGTGGTCGATTCCCCCAGATACTTCATCCTGAAATTAATCCGGAAAATGCTGCACTTCTGTCTCTCTCCTTCTGACTAACTGAATGAAAGATTCTTTACTCTTGATATGTCCTCTGAGAAATCGATGGCCCGACGGTCGATCTCATTGATATATGGTATTGTCCATCCACATTTCATTTCATATGACCGCCTTTAACCTTAAAATACAGCGTTGGCGGGGCGTCAAATGTCAGCATTTAGCGTTAGTCTACAACTAAGCGGGAATATGGGGCCATCTACTTAGCATAGCGTGCCACCGACGCAAGACGCTTACAAACTTTAAAGGGAAGCTAAACTAGAGAATATAAATACAAACAGTCGCTACCGGAAGACATGGCATGAGAAAGAAGATCTGATCTTTAATCCAGACCTACTTAGGCAATTTTCTCGCAGAGAACGATCTGCCACGAATCCCATCGCAACATGACTTCATCCACGACAGCTATGACCTATGTTATTATTGGAGGCGCTTCAGGTATGGGTCTTGCAACCGTTCAAACACTCCTTGCAAGAGGTTCCGAAGTTGCTGTATGCGACATTTCTGAAGAGAACCTGGAGACATTGCTTGCTCATCTCACCCCGGAAGCTTCCTCCAAGTGCTTCGCTAAGCCTGTGGATGTCACGGATCGCTCCGCCGTTAACTTCTTTTTTCATGCGGCCAAAGAGCACTTTGGAAAATTGAATGGCATCGCAAACTTTGCAGGTACTGGTGGTCACGGCTTAGGTACAGACGCTGTATGGCAGACAAGTGAAGACGAATACAACTTCATCATGGATTTGAATGTTAAAGGACTATTCAACGTGCTCTCTTCGGCGTTAGTTCCTGGCTTTTTATCAAAGCATGCGAGCGTGGTCCATATAGGCAGTATTTTCTCTGAAAAGGGGTTTTTGAATGGTGCGGTTTTTGCAGCGTCGAAGCATGCAGCTTTGGGAATGGTTCGAAGTGCAGCAAAAGAGACCAAAGGACGGGTGAGGGTGAACTGCGTCTTACCGTGAGACCTCCTTGTTTTCTCTCCCCCCCAGCTCTCTCTCACAAACGACGCTGAATTATTTATTAGTGGTGTTATTGATACCCCAATGCATCGTGCAAATCTTGCGCGAGTCAAGAATTTCACTCCAACCCCAGCAACACCAATTCCACGAGATGGTACTGCGCAAGAGGTTGCCAATGTCGTGACTTTCTTGCTCAGCGAAGAAAGTAGCTTTGTCACAGGAGATGCCTGGAATGTCGATGGGGGTGCGAATGCGTGACCTCGTCAGACCAAAATGTATTCTATCCGGGACAGGCCACCGCACGTATGAGCTAGGGTCAATTTGGGACCATTCTTGTTGATTCACCGCCGCGTATCTGCACAGTGATCCAGGTACACTTGGGACATGATAATTGAGATGAGTAATTCATTCAAATTCACCGGTACCCACCTTACCGTACAAAAGCTACTATCAACCCTTCTTGTCAGCATACTCCGGACATTATGGCTTATCCCCGTGGCTGATGAAATATCTGCCAAGACTTTGGCCGTCCTCGTTCCGATATCACCTCCATAGAGCCAAGGCTACCTCAGATTTTGAAATTATTTAAATTATTGCATCACTATACAACATTCTGGTTGGATTCAAAGCTATAATTCAGGATGTTACGAACATTTTTCCCTGCTTTTCTTCAACTGCTGAAGGAAAGGGTCTTGTGGGGTGAAATAATCCTTCCATATTAGCGGCCTTTCGCCTCTTTGAACCCTCCAAAAATTTGTACTCCTCAATAATGTTGTACAGCCGTATAGCAAAAATCCCCATTTTGTTATGAAAGACTCAGTTACTTCCCAGCTAGTCGTTTGCCACGATGGTCCCCAGACAAGTAACGCTGCGCAGGTATTGTGCGTATCCCAAAAGGCCATAAGATCATGGCATAAATCTTCATCATCAATTACATCTTGTAGCGCAATGAGATTATCTCTCAATGTTGGAGATGGAAAGAAGTCCAACCAGGGGTGGTGAGGAACCCGCTTCTGAACTTCGGTTGGCTGTAGATCGAAGGGGATATGAAGATCTGAGAAGCCCGGGACATGTGCGTTGAATATGGAGATCGCGTCGTCTTTTTTTGTCCATTCCATTGTCATTCCAATTGAACGAATATTGTCGGTGATAGCATGCTGGACATTGATCTTGGGTAGAGAGAGGAGATGGTCAAGATTGGGCGAGCTTTCTCTATAGCTGTCGGAAGCCGCACTCTCGAACTGGAACATAAGCTGCGGCATTTCGGGTGCGCCAACAATACACCTGAACCGGTCTTGAAGCTCATTCAAATTGGGAGAGAAGGGATTGTGTGTGACCGAGTCCCTAATTTCAGCTCTCTGACGGTGCTGTTGTTGTTTAAGTTGTCGTCGTAAACCTGTCATTTATTAGCGATAAATCGTATGTGATGAACTACGAGGTTGTCCCATACGAAAGGCCCGCTGATTCAGCCTATTTTGCAATTTCCTCCGCTCGGTTCGATCGACGATACCGGTCCAGTCATCTTTCTGAGTGCGAATACCAGTCTGTTGCGGCATTTGGCTTAACGGGATGATCGCCGAGTCGGATGACATCGCTTAGATAATACTTTGCTGATTCCTGCAAGTTGATTACCCTCGGTCATCACTTAGGATGTTGTTTTATGACTGGGGGACGTCTGCAGATTATAAAATTCCGGAGCAGCCCGTAATTTTGGCCCTTAGCTTGGAATGGTCGCCAGGTCAAGCTCTGATTGGCCACCCAATATGGAGCATAATGGTTTTCTTTTCACGCTAATGCAAGTTGCTGACATGGTCTAACCGAATAGGGCAAATAGGTCTAAAGCCTTGTTGAATAAACAACCAATCAACATAGACTCGGACACAGCAATTGACACAGATGATTGTCTTCAGGGTAACTAACTGTGAGATTAAGTTAATCCCGATGTCTGACGTACTGTCGTAATGCAGAAATTAATGCTCTTCGATGCCGTAGTCTTGTACTTCTATCATCGTTTTTATACGTCTTTTTATGGTCTAGATTGAACGAAGTGTCCATCATGTAGTAGGGTATAGCGTATCTATTTTTTTGGTCCGTGGGTTGTCGATTGATTTAACGATATTGTGGAATGGGGTGCTACGCACACATGGATACTTATAATATGTCTTTGAAGCCCTTCCTTCTCTCTTTCTCTCTCTCTCTCTCTCTCTGTGTGTGTGTGTGTGTGTGTGTGTTTGTGTGCATTTCTTAGATTCGTTAGTAAGTAAAATGAGCACTCTACGGTGAAAGGGTGATACTTCGATCGTTTCGGGTAGGCTTCTTGCCTAGCTAGAGTGTAAATGCTAGTGAAGTAGCGTAGATCCTAGCAGCCGCTACCCAATTAAATCATATCAGGTGTCTAAGGCCTGAGATACATCTTTCATTTGTCTCGTCTCCTACATATATTATCGGTGTATGGGAGATCCCTGCGGGGGCGGAAACGGGGCTCACTGATCATCGGTCCCACATGCCTTTTTTCGATCTATTTAAACACCCGCTGACCCCTCCAAATGTGCATTATTGCAGATCTCACTTATTTCCACTTGGCCTCGTCATGACTTCACCAATCGAGGCTTTGCCACTTGAAATCCAGCAAAAAGTTTTAACATAATTGTCCACATATGATCTCAGTCTTCGTGCTTTCGCATGTGCGAATCGGGCCTGCCATACTGTCGCCTCCCCGTTCCTTTATCATACCCTCAAAGTTGGCTTGGATCCAAATCAGAGACTGGCTCAGAAATTTTACACTAGAATGCAGAACCATCAAGCTATTCTCAGGCTACGGTATGTTCGATGTATCTTGGTCTACGATATCAATGCAGAAGCAGATTCCATTGGCTTGAATTCGAAGGGTGCTGGCCTCCGATCCTTTTTTCTCATTGGGAACCCCACGAATTTTAATGGCTGTCTCCAATCGGACAGCCTTTTACCACAGATTGAACTAGCACTAGACACACAAGCTATTTTGGAATCTAGCGGTTTCTGGCTGCCTTTAGCACAGTTCATTCCGCAATTGCCCTCGCTTTCAGATTTACACTTCTTGCTTCCAACACAGTTTCCAAAGCTTTTGCTGGATCAAATCCATAAGATCAGACCAGACTGTCGCCTGCATATCGATCGATTCTTTCTGCTAAATCTGGTCACTCCCTCCACAGATTCGTACGAGTTTCTCCTGGCCTCGTCACCTTGTCTATTCAGCCTCAAGACAATCCATGAGGGTGACGATAATCCCAACATTGACATAGCTTCCAGCTGCTACCATGAAGATGCTTTGGCTTGTATGACCTCTGGTCTTGCACCAAACTTAAAAAAGGTTTCTTTGGTCTACCCTGTTCCAGGGACTAGTCCGGTATATTATACACCGCCGCCGTGGAAAGGCTTTGGTCAGAGGGTAAGGGAAAATCCCAAGAAGTCATTGGGAAATTTGCGATTTCTTCGCTTTAAACACTGGTGGCGCATCACTGAGGATAGAATGGACTATTGGAATGTGCACACGGATTTTAAAAAATTACAGTCTCTTGAATTCGACGCATATCTTACGTCGGATGTATTGAGACATCTAGCAACGAAGTTCCAGCTTCCCTGTCTGGAAACACTTGTTCTCAGCAAACTCCGAAAGGAACGAGACGACTCAGACGATCATGCGGAAGCAGCGAATAAATTATTGAGAAGCTTGCCCCCGCTTTTGTCCCTGACTTTGGATGGCTGGTACCCCGAGATCTCGATGGACGCGCTTGCCACTTTCCATGGATCTCGCTTATTGGAGTTAAAGCTGCTTAACTATCCTGGGGAGGACCTTACTCAAAACGATCTAGAGGCACTTGGTCGCCATTGTTTATACCTTCGAGAATTCACACTAAGCCTTCGCCGTTCGCAAGGACACTCGACAGAAGGAAATTTGTACAAGGCTCTTGGAGCTCTACCGAGGCTCCAGTCAATCTCACTTGATCTACATATTGCCAAGACATTCTCACCCATGGATAATGATGAGGATGCCGACGGCAACCTATTCAATCCTTCGTTCGACGACGAATTCGACAGAGGAATTCCTTCCGAATTGCTTGGAGATGGTCCGGATTCATCAGAAGCTTGCAACGGTGCTATGCGCGAACGACTGATCAATGGTGCGTTTGATGGGATACTTGCTCGGTCTATATTCGAGATTATTTCCTCTGGCAAGCCCCAAATATCTCTGCCATTAGAGGAATTAAATGTTAAGATTACTGATGCCGGGAACTTTGGAATGGTGAGCTGCCCAACACATTTCTTATCTGTGCTCTTCCATTTGTGTCGCCCATGGCGGATCACTCGGGGTATTCGTGATGATTGCCGGCACGAGATACAGGTGGAAGTGACAGAACCAGTTCCGAGTCAGCTTCAACCACCGCCAAAAGCACTGGCAGGTTATCTTAAAGCCATCTGGCGTCGCGTCTGGCCAGAGAAGGTGTCAGAAGACTGGCGATTCGATTGGCATAGTTTTCCTATCTCTTAAGCAAAACGCAATGTGGCTCAAGGAGATATTCGATCGATTCAAGAATTCAAACAAGACCTTCTTTGTCGAAATGACCCAGTCGTTCATCTACTGTAATGTCAGGACCACAGACGGAGCGCTCACCTAGCCACGCTGTCAAGGTATGAACTAGAGTTTTTAAGTATAGAACTTTTTATGGGATTAAAGCTTTATAACCTAGTTAAATTCGTAGATATATAGGGGAATAGACACTGCACTATAGCTTCTAGAACCAGACTATTCCATATAAAGATTCAAAGTGACCGCAAGTTCATGCTTGTTCAAACTCGAGATATGGCCAGTAGAACAACAAGCACAACACCTATAAGTGCGAGGGAGAAAGTGTCGCAAGAGGTGGAAGATCTGTCAAACCGGAGACCATGGTGATATAGATGTATATGCACCTATATACACAGAATGATGACCGTCAGGTAGGGCTTCCTGCCTAGGCGACCGCCGCTTTAATGAGAACGATCAGATGCAAGCTCACTGAGTGAAAGTCAGCACGGTCTCATACTTAGCTAGTTAAATAACTAGTGATCTAGTCAGTACTGTCATTCGATCGCTAAGTGACTAATCATAGATGCTGCCATCACTCAGTCATTACTTACTCACCAACACTCATCTTCTCGTCAACAAGCTGTACTTCGCTTCTTCCAGCCCATGTTAGACTATACCAAAAATACATACCCCATATGGCCATCTATTCTGTGAAAAACCTAGCGCATTAACGGTACGGAGTACCGAGCACTTGGTGTTAATCTAGATAGAGTAGTGGGTAGTCACATGATCTGCGATTGCCCAGCAGCTTAGATGGATCCCTTCGCCCAGATAGAATCTAACTCTTTACACCTCTCTAATCTCTCCTTAGTGTCCCTATTGCGCTTGATCTTCGTGTCATTCTAATGACTTTCGAAATGACCAGAGCGAGTAGAGAGGGGTACTGTGTATTCTTCATCGACGGACCCATCCAAGCCAGCCATGATGGGGCCTATCATTAGCGGGAGAGCAGGCCGATTGATGACGATAGACTCCCTTCATGCCTCGATGTTTTTCGGCACCAGTCATTTGCCACATCAACGGACTTCGATTGGTAACTGTTCCTGCAGCTGACAAGATGTTTTCCGTCCCAAAGATGAGTTCATAAATGTCGACTGCGTAAGTGTTACTGGAACCAACTCTTTTTTCGGCTGCAGCAACATTCACATGCGCGCACAATGCAGTCGTTTTTTCAAAATCGTCGATTCCGCAGACAACTCGAGAAACAAATTGTGGTGAAACACGACAAGCCTGATAACGTCTGGACGCGGGAGCGACGCTACTTTTACCATGAAGGAGAGATCCAGTCAGAACAACGCGAGCTAGACGAGAGTGAACCGGCAAGACGAAGACGAGAGCATGGGCAGCGCACTCTCATTACTGGGCCAGCCCTTCATCCTCGCCACACGACTCGCACACACTTGGAACGCGACGGGGATGTGGAGCGCGCGGATTATGATCCGGAATTTCAAGACGATCCACACACCATCAACTCGCTAGAGACTCTGGGAGGCAGGGTTGATTTGATGTTGACAGGCGTGGAAAGACACAGACCAGGCAACGGCAAGCCCAATGGTACGCCCGACTGGGCCGCGGACGGCACAATCAATGGCGAGTCAGTCCAAAAAGATCGACTCGTTGTGGTCACTTTCGAGGGCGACTGCGACCTGATGGATCCGCATAACTGGCCTGTCCCGCGCCGGCTGGCATGTACAGCGCTGTTGTCACTGACGGCAGCCACGATGCTATGGGCGACTACAATTGATGCCGTTGTTTTCACCCCCGAGACTCGGAAACTTTATGGAACTGATAACTTCGCGATCGAGACGGTTCCCACTGGTAAGTAATAGGGTCGGTTTGGATGCTACACCCAGAAACTAACTGGCCCTTTCACTAGCCCTTTACCTAGTCGGCTTGGGGATAGGGGGGCTGTTCATAGCGCCTATCTCCGAAGTTGTCGGACGCAATCCCGTGTTCATCCCTTCGCTCTCGCTCTTTATATTATTTGAAATGGGCGCGGGGCTCGCTAGGTCACCGGCACAGCGAATGGTCACAAAAGGCCTCGCCGGATTTTTCGGGTCTGCTCCCCTGGTGTGCTCCGCGGGATCTATCGTTGACCTTTGGTCACGGATTGAGCGAGTCTATGCATTCCCCATGTACGCCATTTTGTCCTTCATAGGACCGCTAGTAGCCCCCACGCCCGGTGTATTCGTCGCCGAAGCCCATGCAGTGAGCTGGCGCTTCGTAGATTGGATGACTATAATCTTGGCGGGAATTGCTCTGAGTTTATTCGTGCTGTGCGCGCCAGAGACATACAGTCCTATTTTGCTTCATTGGAAAGCGAAGCAGCTTCGCCGCCTCACTGGAGACCCTCGGTACCGAGCGCCGCTAGAGTTCAAAAGGGTCTCGTTCTTGCGCCGCCTCGCCCACGCAATGTATCGACCGTTCCTCTTATTTGCGACAGAGCCGATTATCATGGTGTTTACAGTCTACCTCTCGGCCATATTCATCATCCTCTACACCTTCATCGCGGGCTACGTGTCTATCTACGAGAAGGTACATAAATTCAAGCCCACCCAGACAAGTCTTGCCTTCCTCGGTGTCTTAGTAGGCGTGTTTCTCGCCGCTCCATTCGTCCCGCTAGCTATGAAGCTGGTGCGCAGAGACATCCTCCGCAACCGCTCCCAAGGCCGTGACTACTCGGCTCCGGAGATCAGTCTCTATTTGGCCATGTTCGGGGCCCCCGCTATCCCGATTGCACTGTTCTGGATGGGCTGGACAACCCGGCCGTCTATCTCAGTCTGGTCCCCGATCGGCTCATCCGTGCTTCTGGGCTACGGGGTGCTGTGCGTCTTTGTCTCCTCGTACGAATACGTCGCTGAGGCCTTCCAATACCATGCTGCTAGTGCCCTGGCTGCCGTCCAGATGCTGCGCCTTGTATCTTCTGGCGTCATGGTCTACGTCTCAGAGCCAATGTATAGAAAGCTGGGTATTGCCTGGACCTTGACCCTGCTAGGTGGGATTGCCACCGTGTTTCTTCCCGTGCCATATTTACTACATCGGTGGGGGCCGATGGTGCGGCGGTGGAGCCGACATGCACCCAGCGAGGAAGAATGAATTGCATGTAGCAACCATCTGGAGATTTAATGTGTGATTACAGATTATCAACAACATTCTCGCCTTCACTAAGGTTCTTTCCTTGCTGTTCTAGAAGGAAGACTGCCGATTCTAGCGATGCTTCTAGCGGGGTCAAAATTCCCGTGATGCAGACCACGGTCTATCTAATAGGGGCTACTTGTACAATGTCAACCTCAGAAATCAATATACAATCAAACAAACATCTACTCCAAGTGCAAACGACGACGATGCGGTTAGCTTAACCGCAAAAACTTGAAGAAGAAAAAAAAGATTGGCCCGAGCCCGGGATCGAACCGGGGACCTCGCGCAGTCAATGCTTTGGGTGAACCCCTGGAGGAGCTGTTAGTAAATTGGTTGATGATGATTGGTTGATTTCTGGGAGATCTTACTAAGCGCGAATCATACCACTAGACCACCCGGGCGGTTGATATCTGATACCTCAACTTTTGGCTATAAGAGTCTGAACCATACTATTACATACTGTTACATATCTTACCGGGTTTGCTGTACGCCCCCTGGCTTTCTGGCATTCGAAGACGGTTAAATTTCCCATATATCCTGCATCTGCCAGGTCTACTGAAATGTGATGCTTCGGGATATTTAAAGGTGGACACTTCCCATAGCTCGTCTTTTGGCATGGCTCTTACTCCATAGGAGGTTCTTGGCAGTGAATCCAGATGAAGGAAGGAGCATGTTGAAGAGCGCAATAAGAAAGGGCAAAGTCTCCGCAGACTAGATAGAATATGTAGGAGACTCGAATGACAGAAACGCTTGCGAAGGTTGCAGAAACCCGGATATTCCCGGGTCTTCCAAGGCACCGAATACCTTTCCTCTAGTCGACAGGGGGAAGATCGAGCACCTACAGGATAACATCCAGGCATTGAGAATTAAGTTGACGGAGAATCAGGTGAAGTATGCGCAAAGTGTGAGATCCGTTGATATGGGATTCCCAGGAAACTTCGTTGGCGTGGATCCGAAGGTGTCTGAAAGGCTGAGCGCTCCCTTCGCACGTTTGACATCTTTCTCCTTTTTCCGGGCCTCCAATGCGATTGGCTATGAGGCGTAGAGAGATAGGCTCTTCTGCCGTATTAAGCGTTTCGTCAAGAGTAAAGAGGGAGCTAAGGCACAGCTCTAAGTGTGGACAGAGATGGTGGAAATCTTGAGAAGTATTCAGCCTGATATCATCCAGAACAAAGTCTAGTCATTTCGTCCACCTAGAGTGATTCCGTCCAGGGCGAGCCATGCTAATACGATTTCGATGTATCCACACGTCATCTTGCTAAGACACGAGAAGTACCTGGTACCGCTGACCCCCCTGGGAATGAGATACCTGAATACAGTAGGTGCAGCCCCTCGGAGAGGCCGGCCCATCCGTTTTAACCTAGCCCGCTTATCACAACTGATTCGTCTTCTGGGGGGGGATTGGAATTAAAAGCGAGGAGGTTCGCCATCAATCTGAAACCGAGTAGGTTGGTAGCTGAGATGGCATGGGAGAGGGACGAAGGACGGAAAATGCACATTCATTAAGAAAATCATGATCATTCGCCTTGGTTCTGAAGCCAAGGTAGTTTCGGGGCTATATAACATAATACTGCACATAATAAATATTGAGATGGTCTAGTAGACACGCTGTCTATCGACCGAAGGAAAATGGGATTCTCCCCTTTCCTTCATTCACCAGCGGCGAACTACTTGTTCTTCCGCTCCGAAACGTCCACGAAGACATGTCCCAGCGGACCTGCCTGTGGACTCCATCCCCCATGCTCGACTCTATACTTGGAATTATCATCCAGCACCTCGACCAGATTGTGGAACTCTCCACCGCGATTCTCCCAGTGGAGCTCGCAGATCTTGGTATCGCCATGGAACAAGTCCAGACGACCCTCGCTGCCGCGACGGCCGCGGGCACAGATCTCGCCAATGCCCTCGGACTCGATGGTCATGTAGTCGATCTCATCTTCGGTGAGCGACTTACGACGGTCGGTCGGGCTGTGGAATTCGCCTCTAATAGGTTGATGGCGTGTTAGTAGGGGGTGATGACCTAGTACCCTGGGATGAGGCTACGGTACCCTTCAATGACAGTGTGCTGCACTTTGATCTCTCCGTCCTTGAGATGATCCCGAATGTGGAAGGAGACCCACTGCGAGTTGTAGTTGGTCAGGTCTTCCTCGGGGATCTTATCGGTGCTCATCGTGAATGTTGTTGACTGTGAAAGTAGTAGTAATGTGTGAGATGGGAATAGTAGTAGACGAGGTTGGACCCGACACCGGATCGAGGTTATATATGAGCCCAAAATGCGGGGTAAAGGGCAATGTACATGGGTACATTCATTTGGTAGTATACAGTACAATGTACATGGGGATACATCACACCACCTGAGATGGCCGTGTGATGACTCGTACATGCCATCGATCTGGAGATGTTGTGGTCATCCTGGGCACGGTCGCATGACACCATTGGCTAATGGGCCCATCGAACCACGGATCCAGCCTGGTTTTGGCTGGCTCGGAATTGCGGGGGCCGTGAATAAGCTTCACTAACTCCATTTGTCGAGTGTACAGGATCCATTATTCCCCAGGTTTCAGAGAACTACAGGACAGGAGTTAACAGTCACTAACTAACTAACGCTCACTGCTCAGTGTTTCACCAACACTCGACGTTAATAGAGTGGGGGCCTTGGTTAGCGGCCGACGGGGGCTTCGATATTCCCCAGACTTTTACCGTCTCAAAAGCAGCCGACCCCATCCGGACCCCATACCAATCATCATTCTTGCAGGTGGTGGCAACTTTGGAATCAAGTCATTGGTTCTTACGAACCCAATTGCAACCCCCTCACTTCAGCTCACGTGCCACATCCTGGTCGACATTCTGACTGTAGATCTCCCCCAGAAAGGCTGGAAAGATGAAGTCAATTCTGGATTCTGAGGTGTCTCATTTGACCATCTAGCCGAACTATGTACAACGGTCACCACGTACCACACCCTTCTCTCCAGGAACGTAGAACTCAATTGACCATGGAATGTACCAATATTATTCATGAAACGGCCAGCACAGCGATCGCCCAGGCCGTCATAGTCACCGTGTATTTCCCACCGTCGCCTTTGACTTCACTTGTCACCGTTTGAACTGTGATATTATGGGGAAGGTTACCCTGGTATTGCGTCCCAGCGAGCATCGATAACCGTCCGGATTGAGTGTCAGGAATGCTGATGGTAACATTCTGCTCATCAGGGCCGTAATTAGCCAACTTGACATAATACTGCGAGTCCGTTCTCGAGGCTACCCAATACAGAGGCCCGAAATCCGACGATGATTTCACCGGTAGTATCGTGTCCCCCTTGTTAGACGCAAACATTTGTTGCACAAAGTATGAGGTCGAGGGTGTTATCGATCCTGGACTGGAATCAAAACCGTAAAGCGTAGGCTGAAGCCGGAAACTTTAGTTTTTCCACGGGCCAATGGTATCCTGGAAGAAAAGAAAAATGGTACTTACCGACCAGGATGTGAATCCAAAGTGCTCTAGCATGGGTGCATAAGCCGCCATCTTCACTATATCACTGTTTCGCTCCATGCCAATCATATACACGGCCTCACTACAGCTTCCCTGCAGAAACGACCAATACGTGCCTTTCGCATCCGTCGTATTGCGACAGCCGTATTCACCGACCATGACGGACTGATTTCGCGGCTGATTATCAAATTGATTGAACAAGGCAACGAAATCATCCGGCAGACGATATAAATGTAAATCGATAATGACACCCTCGGGAAGAGGCGATGGAAGACAATTGTAATCCCCATTTGACGCGACAAGCGTGATGTGGGGGTATTCGTCGTGGATCGCCTTGTAGATTTGATTGAAGCGATCAGGGTAGGTCGCACATCCACCCGTCAGATCGTCCTCGTTTCCAATTTCCACGTAGTCGACTTTCCATGGGTCCTTGCGTCCGTTCTGTGCGCGGATTTTTCCTTGAGATGTACTCGAGTTTCCGAGAATATATTCAAGTTCGTTCATAATATCCTCGACGTATGGTTGTAAATCGGGGCCTGATAGAATATCGCCGTAGGACTTGCCTGCCCAGACAGCCAGCAGCGGAGACATGTTCATGTCTTCACACCACCATAGATATTCATCCAGGCCGAGAGCGTCGGTGTTGGGGTAGAACCAGTCGCTGTCTCTGCCGGGTCGATCGACCAGAGGTCCAATCGTTGTGTTCCACTTCCACCGACTGTCAACCTGCAGTCCCTCGAGGTTGTTGCCGCCAGGGAAACGGAGGAACGTGGAGTTGACCTCCTCCAGAACCGTACCTAGATCGTTGCGCAGCCCATTCGACCTGTTATGGTAGGTTGGTGGAAATAACTGGATATAGCCAAAGTTCAATGAGCTTCCAGCGACCTTTGATCCATCGAAAGTCAGATGCCACTCATTATCTCCATCCGCTGACTCCTTCGAGGCAAAGCTGGTACTGAATTGTGTGAAATTCGCAGCCGTGCTCTGGACAGTCAGATTGTGATCCGCATAAACTATCCCGCTATGCGATCCAATCAACTGGATGTTGACGGTGCCCGAATAATCGCCCATCATCCAGAATGAAGTATTATATGTCGCGTTACTAACTGGCACGCCATTGTAACCGGTATTGGCAAAGCCGACGTATTCTGATACCCCTTCAGGTACCGAGACACTGAGCGACGATTGAATTGCGGCACTCACGGGCCTTGAGATATCTTGAGATATTTGCGCATCTCCCACTGTGGCATAAGATGTCAATCCAAGACTCAATCCTTGAAACCCATTGTTTTGGAGTAGCTGTCCATGAATCCCGCCATCACCTTGTCGAGTCGTCAGTCGCATTCCACTCGCCTTGTGGGTTTCGCACTATTGCTGCTGTTTTACCTGAATGGTCCATTTCCTAGAAACATAAACAATGAGCCATCATTCAAACACTAGAGTAGCGAGATATCTCACCTCAAACATCATCCCATACAGCAACGGACTCGACTTGTTCCCACCATCCTTCTCAACCTCCAGACTCACCGAGCCAGAACTACCGTGGTGATGAGTCAATGCTCCAGCAAGACAAGTCACTAAAGCGATACATGTCGCCGCAGCTAGGCTCGAATAGACGACTGTTCCTGACTTCATAGCGTGTCAGGCAAAAGTGTCTAGAGAAAGACGAGCGGACAACGTGCGAAATTAAATCCTTTTCCGGGGCATGGCAAATTAAGATTGACAGCTAGGACCCCTGTTCAAGCACTTGATCAGATCTGGGAATCTAATTCGCTGTCAATCTCTTCCTCTAAAGGGTTCTCTCCACAAGAGTGCATCATGGACCTTGGTCCCGGTCGTGCGCAAATCAAGTTGCCTGAAACGCGTTGGAAAGTTTAGCTGCGTCAACTCGGGATAGAAATTGACCAATGAAAGTTCCATGATGACTGACTGGTTCGGGCAACTTTCCAGGTTTTTCATCGTCATATCTGGGATGGTGTGCGGTCAAAGAGAAGCTTGAATTGCGGGCCTCTCGCCCAAATTGCAGTTCAGGAGTGATGACGTCGAACACCCCTTCTGTGTAGGTGAGTCCTCAGTATCAAAGAGAGCCTATCGAAAAATGCTGTTATCACGTTGTCAGGTCTAATAGAAAGTTATTTGGCCGATTCTTTTCAATGCTTTCTTTATCATGTAGGAATTTGTGTGACAAGTTTAAGCCTCCTCATTTCCTTGAATCCTATGCCCTATTTTATATTATCTCCCACGGTCGCGAGCGCAATGACCGCAAACCAGGAACACGAACGGGTTCAGAGGGTCTGCATGAATAACGATTCAAGGCGTTTGTGTATTCGTAGATAGTAAATGAAATTCTAGTTCAAGGCAGTCTACTCTTGTGAAGTGCTATGCACGTCGTTTGCCAAGACAGACAATGGATGTGCGATTTTCTACGACGCGGGCATTCGGGATAGGTCCGCGAATGAATCGCCAAAATTGGCACATATTGATACTATATCTCAGAGTAGCCTATCAGATTGTATTCAAGAGATTTTGATGGATCTAGAACGCTCCGGTGACCGTTAAACTGCCGTGTTTTGGGCTATACCGATGATGGACGGCAACCCCGAAGCTATTCGGGCCCGCCCGTTCTGTGCCCGACAACGCACCTGACGCCCTTAGCCTCATCCCGCCTACGATATTACAGATGAGCTGGCTTTCTTGAACGGAGCTTAGATAATTAAAGCCGTCAAAGCCGTGTAAAAGGATGTTCGATTTTACCTGCTCAGTCTGAATGGTCAATTTACAACCCGGTGGAGCTTTTTACGGTGTCCTCGGAAGATCTAAACGTATGTATGATGGGAGCCCCTCGAAGTTATATAAAGCGTAGAACCCACCCTGCTTGTTCATTTAGATCAAGAACTAGCTCAACAATAATACAGCACTTTGCTATACATTCAGGGCTATACTATAATCGCTTCACCATGTACCCCCGAATCTGGCTCATCACCGGTACTTCGTCCGGCTTTGGCTCAGAGCTCGTGAAAGAAGTAATCTCACGAGGTGACAAGGTCATTGCAACCGCACGAAACGTGGAGCGAATCTCTCATATGAAAGACATCGGCGCAGCGACCTTGCAGCTTGATGTTACCGCATCCCAGGAGGTACTCAACCGCAAGGCCGAAGAGGCAATCTCAATCTATGGAAAGATTGACATAGTGGTGAACAATGCAGGCTATACCCAGTTTGGCATATTCGAAGAGAATAGGTAGGCCCATTTAAAATATGGGGTTAAGAGAAAAGTTCTGAGGCTGATAAAAATTGTCCACCATCTACCAGCCATGACCAGTGGTTCACCCAGTTCAATACGAATGTCTTCGGAGCATTGAATACCACCCGTGCCTTCCTTCCACACATGCGGAGTAACAAGGCCGGAGTCGTGGTATTTATTGGCTCGATGGTTGCTTGGGACGGTCTTCCAGCCCTTGGAGCTTACTGTGCCTCAAAGGCCGCGATCCACTGTATGTTATTCAGGTGATTGCGTATCGTGTGCTGAGGAGGGTATCAAAAGCTGACGCTCCATTCAGATGCTGCGGAATCTCTGTCCAAAGAAGTTGAACCCATTGGAATCAAAACCCTCCTCGTTGAACCTGGTGCATTCCGCACTGAGCTTCTCAACCAGGCTCCAAGCAGCAGATCGATATCCAAGCTTGAGGATTACCGAACTATCTCGGAGGCTGTGGCCAAGAACTTCGATGACTTTAACGGGAACCAACCCGGCGATACTGTGAAAGGAGTACAGCGCATAGTTGACGTTGTGAAAGGTGAGAACGAAGCAAGTGGCAAGCCGTGGCCCGCTTTGCTGCCGCTGGGGTCCGATGCAGTGTCTACAATTCGCAATAAATGTGAGCAAACGCTTCGGGACTTGGAGGTCTGGGAGGCTTTTGCCAAGTCCACAGATATTTAGGCATCTTCCACGTTGTACATAGAATTTGTACTCAATGCGGGGCTCTCAGCTTTTATGATTCCTTGCATACCCCACTTCGTTCGGCTATTCGGGGTATGCCAATTGGAAAAGAGTGACGAATTCCAGACCTGCCCTTTGGGATCTAGATCTGAAATCTCTCACAAATCAATCTAGAGTGTTCTCGTTCTATCATTTCATCTCGTAGGTTCTCTTTTAACCTACTTCTTCTTTGTCAGCGTTGGCTTGAAATTCCGGTCAACGTCACGTGTCGAAACAATCCACGGCTTACGTCTATTATTCGAACCCCATTTCCATTTGAATATTCTGTCAGAAAAAGCTCTCCGTCGCCCTCCGGTGGTTGCCAAATGTAATGGCTCAACAAAATACATCACAGCCCAGTGGGGGTGGTCGCCTGCTCAATACCTTCCTCAATCGGTGAGTAGACAAGCATTCTATCTGTGGTCGGGAACTCGCCGGCATTGAAGATAATGCGAACTATCTCTCATTAAGACAGCCCCGTTGAGAATCATGGCTCGGGATGGTCAGATTTATGGGATCAGGGAGAAAGTGGCCTCTGGGACCGGGGAAAAGCTTCGCCAGCCTTGGTAGACATTGTCGAACAAGAGCGTGAGCTTTTCAATCCCTTGACTGCGGAAGGGAAACGAAAGAAGGCACTTGTCCCAGTGAGTTTCTTTAAATCCTTGCTCATAAAACCCCCCTTTTCACACGGCGAATTCCCTGATTCACGAGGTTCCAGGGGTGTGGTCGCGGGTACGACGTGGTCATGTTAGCATTGCATGGGTTCGACGCGTATGGACTGGAGATATCCGACACCGCCGTCAAGGAAGCTGAGAAATACGCATCTGAGGAGATGGTGAAGCCATCCGCATATCATTTTGGTAGCGAACAGCGCCAGCCTCATACCCGTGGCTCGGCGACATTCTTCCAGGGTGACTTCTTTACCCCTCAATGGGATTTCAAAGGGGCCGTTGACGAAAGTACTAAATTCGATATTATCTACGACTACACAGTGAGTTTCACCATTCATGCTTGTGATGAGTTCAAAGTTGCTGATGTCCTTGGGCAGTTCCTATGCGCTTTACACCCAGAGCAACGAAAGCAATGGGCAGCAAGTATGGCTCGGGTGACAAAGTCAGACGGTCTTCTTATCTGCTTAGAATTTCCTTTATATAAGGACCCGAAGTTGCCAGGGCCACCTTGGGGATTGAAAGGGGTTCATTGGAATCTGCTAGCTGAGGGGGGTGACGGAAAAGAGAGGAAGACTGATAGTTCAGAGACCGGAGATTTCCGCAGAGTTTTGTATGTCAAACCTGCCCGATCATATGAGGTTGCGAAGGGAACAGACATGATCAGTGTGTATGCCCGCAAATAGGACATCCGCCAACCAAGAATCCATCTACTTCTTCTGTTCTGCCAATTCAATCCTTTCATCCATCGCCTTGTGACCCTCTCCCAATTCCATGTCCGCGGTCTTGACATTGGGGTGCTCCTCCACAGCCGCAACGACAAGTTCAAACCGACGACCACGCTTCTCAGGCCCAAAGGCAGTGGTGACCATAATTCCGATGGCAATAATGGCTGTCGCAACACCCATGACAGGGCCGTAGGCAGACGCTTTCTTACCAGATGGGGTTGTGACCCAGGTAGACTCGGCAATGGCGTTGACAATCTGAGCCGACGGAGAGCTGATCATATTCCCGACCTGATATGTGATACCGGGGAACGAGGAACGGAAGGCGGGTGGAGACAGCTCGTTCAGGTGGATTGGAATGACACCCCATGCACCTTGGACGAAAAATTGCATAAAGAAGCCGGTGGCGCTGAGTGCAGGCTCCCCTGTTGGTAGAATCCACGCTGGAATGAGGATGGCAGATATGAGAGCTGAAACAACAATGGCCCGACGACGTCCAACAAATTGTGACAGATACCCGATGATTGTTCCACCGACACAGGCTCCAGTCTTCATCAGGATTGATGCCCTCGAAGCACCGGAATTGTTGAGTTGCTTTTGCGTGAGCATGAAAGTGGTGTAGGAGTCTTGCGAAGTATGGGAGTAGTAGTTGAACTGAAGACGACCAAATTAGATGCTGTTTTGTTGATTGTAGAGAGTTTGGGAACTTTGGGCTTACCCAAGTCATGAGTATGATGCAATAAATGCACATCTTCCACTCCTTGGCCAGCATAACTTGTGTCTCCTTCCAAAACTCGCCTGCACTCATGCTTCTTTTGCCTTCTTTTTTAGCCTCAAGGAATTGCTTTGACTCCGGGAAGAAAATTCGGATGATTCCGACACCAATGGAGATCCCAGCTGGATAAGACGTTAGTATAAGCTGCTAATGCCTGTCAGTATCCATCAAGACTTACCAGCAGCCCAAAAAACAGTCTTCCAACTATCAGTAGCACCGCCGACTCCAAGGTTGGCACATGCCGCAAGCACGTATCCCAGGGAATAACCTTGCTGGAGAATGCCGGACATGAGACCTCTAGCATTGACACTTGGGCAAGAAAACGTTAGTATGACCACTGTGTGGAAGATGATGTGAACTTACGGGCAATGCTCCAAAGCCATAGCAATAGCATTTCCGTACACGCCACCCATGAACAGACCGAAAAGACTACGGACTGCCAGGAACTGCTGGAATGTGTGACTGTAGATGGTGGCAATCTGAAGAATGCCAAGCACGATCATGTTGAGCACCATGGGCCATTTGCGACCATATTTATCTCCAGCAAACCCGAAGAAAGCTGCCCCGACACTTCTCAGCAACAATGTCAGCGTAATAGCCGTTGTGATGTCTGTCTTGGAGCGACCGTAGTAGTCGGAGAGCTTTTTGGTCTGAATAGAAAGTGCATGGAAATCAAATGCATCGGCTGTCCATGCTGAAAGTCCAACAATGAAGAAGACCCAGTCTCGAGCAGACAGCTGCGCCATCAAGCTGATAGGGTTATGGATGGGTTCTGGATTATGCCACTCGGCATGGGTCTCTCCATACTCATTCGTCACCTCGACACGCTGTTTCCAAATAAACAAATCTTTGAAGGACTGACGAGCGGTGGGAATTATTCCCTTCGCAATAGGTTCGGCAGGCTCGTTAGACGCCATGATGAATCAACAACCAGGACTTCACACGTTAATCAACAGAGGAGAATGAGTTGATGGATGATCAAGGAGATGATTCGCAAGCTTGGATATGTCACACTTCTTCCAGGCCAATAATCCAAATCGCCTTCTTCTTATACGTCCCTCGTGCGCTCAACCCCCGCACTTTCTTCCGCATCTTCCTCGTGGTCGAGCCCCAGAATGCTGCAAACTCCAGAGATATTACGGGTGACCACGCGGGGGTAATGCCACTCCGCTGGCCGGCCAAGATATCGCCAAGCATCTGGGCAAACCGTATCCTCCAATGCTAAGTTGCAATACGGGAAATATCCCGCATTCGACCATGCGTGAGCCGACTTAGCGTGGGGAGAGTCCTACCCCGAGATCCTTTCGGCCCTTGGCTGGCATGGGGAAGACAGAGCCGGCAATGCGGGATCGGGTGCTCGGTGGTGTAGGGCCAATGATGCAAGGGCCAGGGAGTATCACAATGGGTGTTATATCCATATGCATCCCGGTGGCGGTAGTTAAGGTTTGTTTCAACTGGCTTTAGAGGCTCGTCGAGTGCAAAAGCCTCCGGAAGTTCTCCGATAGTCGGCGGTGTTGATATAGAGATGGGTTGGGTGGGCGCATGCAGGCATAGTTTTTGCTTTGGCCTTGGAGGCCCTAGCCTTGGCAAGCTGCCTCGAGAGATGATGTTGTATCTTCTCTCTTTCAGCGGAAGCCCAGATTACACTCATTGGGTGTAATCATTTGGAAGTATGACTTGGCTCAAACATTCATGATGGTATTTTCCGGTATACGAGGGAGGAGAAGGTGATAGCCTTGAGGACAACGGTGTATTCTGTGGAGCCATGCCTTATCATACACAATAATAGTGCGGCTCAAGAGTTGCAGAATATGCCAGTGAAAGAGAAAGATAAAATTGCCATTACCTGCAGCAGTCCAAGAGATAGAAGAGATAAGGGGCGGCCATATAAGTAGTAGCCTTTCACACTCATACATCCTCTACAGAGAGAGAACGTGGGTGTCAACAAGCCTCACCGCCTCTGGCTAAGAATAATCTCCGTCGATGACGCGCACGGCCTCCTTTCCAGCCATTTCCACTCTTCCCACTGGTCCACTTCTTCCACTTCTTCCACGTCTTCCCTGTCCGCCTTTCTTTCCCCACCGCCTGCCCCTGGCTCACGTGATTTCCTACAAGCGACACCTCAGCAACGACAACAGCGGACCTCCTGAGGTCACTTCCGTTTCTCCAGATTCCCCCCATTTCCCCTCCTACCCTCTCTCCATCTCCCTGACTCTCTTTCCTATCTCACTTCCATTCTCACCCTTCTCCTTTCCTTTCAGTCATTCTGGTTTCCTTGCGCGGCGTTCAGTTGGGAGGTCCAGGTCGTGTTGCGGCCTAAGTAAATATGGCACCTCTTCCCATCAAGTTCACAGAACTGGTCAACGTACGTTGCGATTCCTCTTGAACCCAGCATCGCCGCTTTTCTTACAGAGTACTGACATCCTGACTTCTCTGCAGTTGACCAATGTTGGCATCGCGGTACGTCTCACCTGAGCTATGCTTGCGTCGAGCTTGTCTTGCGACGAGCTTCCATTGCGAGACGGATACGCCGGTCACGTCCGGCAGATTCCCTCACATCGTCGACAGACCTTACTAACTTCCTTTGCGCTTACAGCAACCATCCATTGGCTTCACTTCATGTGTAAGATCCCCCATGATCACCCTCAAACACCTGGCGATGGAACCGCGACTAACGATGGATGTGACCGCATAACAGACTCTCGAATCCGATCACTATGTCTGTGTTCGCCAGAAGCTCGATGAGGATGACAAGCCCCAAGTCATCATTGTTGACCTGAAGAACAACAATGAGGTCATGCGGCGGCCGATCAATGCCGACAGTGCGATCATGCACTGGAGCAAGAACATTATCGCCCTCAAGGCTCAAGGCCGAACAATTCAGATCTTCGACCTTTCTGCAAAGCAAAAGCTCAAGTCTGCGGTGATGAATGAGGATATTGTCTACTGGAAGTGGTTCAGCGACAAGGCCCTGGGTCTGGTCACCGAGACCTCCGTCTACCACTGGGACGTCTATGATGCTACCCAGCAGAACCCGGTTAAGATGTTCGATCGTCTTCCCAACCTTTCGGTACGTTGGATGCCATGTTTTGGGATTGGATCTACCGGCTTGGAATGCCATACTGAGTCTTGATTTTACTTTAGGGATGCCAAATCATCAATTACCGCGTTAACGCTGAGGAGAAATGGATGGTCGTGGTTGGTATCAGTCAACAACAGGGCCGAGTTGTTGGATCGATGCAGCTCTATTCCAAGGAGCGCGGCATTTCGCAGTTCATCGAGGGTCATGCCGCTGCTTTCGCCGATATCCACGTCGAGGGTTCCGCTCTTCCCCACCACCTCTTCACCTTTGCCGTCCGTACCCAGACCGGCGCCAAGCTCCAGATTGCCGAGATCGATCACCAAGAACCCAACCCGCGATTCCAAAAGAAGGCTGTCGAGGTGTATTTCCCTCAGGAGGCAGTCAATGATTTCCCTGTGGCGATGCAGGTTTCCACCAAGTACGACATCGTTTACCTCGTTACCAAGTATGGGTTCATCCACCTTTACGATCTCGAGACCGGCACATGTATCTTCATGAACCGTATCTCCAGCGAGACCATCTTCACCACAGCTTCGGATACCGATGGTGCCGGCCTGGTCGGTGTCAACCGCAAGGGTCAGGTTCTGTCCGTCAGCGTTGACGAGAACACGGTCATTGATTACTTGATGAACAACCCCGCGATGTCCTCTCTCGCGGTGAAGCTTGCTTCGCGGGCCGGTCTCCCGGGTGCCGATCACCTTTACCAGCAGCAGTTTGACACTCTCATCAACTCCGGCAACTTTACCGAAGCTGCCAAGGTTGCTGCCAACTCCCCTCGTGGGTTCCTCCGTACTCCCGAGACGATCAACCGCTTCAAGAATGCTCCTCAAACCGGTCAGATGTCGGTCATTCTGCAATACTTCGGTATGCTGCTCGACAAGGGATCCTTGAACCGCTACGAGAGCGTGGAGCTTGTGCGCCCCGTCCTGCAACAGAACCGTAAGCACCTGCTGGAGAAGTGGATGAATGAGAAGAAGCTGGAGGCCTCCGAAGAGCTTGGTGACATTATCCGACCATACGACATGGGCCTGGCTCTCAATGTCTACCTCGAGTCCAACGTCCCCCACAAGGTTGTTGCTGGATTTGCCGAGACTGGTCAGTTCGACAAGATTCTCTCCTACTCCAAGCAGGTCGGCTACCAGCCTGATTATACCCAGCTCCTGCAGCACATCGTGCGCGTCAACCCTGAGAAGGGTGCCGAGTTCGCTACTCAGCTCGCCAATGAGGAGGGCGGTGCTCTTGTTGACCTCGACCGGGTCGTGGATGTCTTCCTGTCTCAGAACATGATCCAGCAGGCGACCTCCTTCCTCCTTGATGCCCTCAAGGATAACAAGCCCGAGCATGGCAACCTGCAGACTCGTTTGCTTGAGATGAACCTTGTCAATGCTCCTCAGGTTGCGGATGCCATTCTGGGTAACGAGATCTTCACACACTACGATCGCCCCCGCATCGCCCAGCTTTGCGAGGGCGCCGGTCTTATTCAGCGTGCTCTGGAGAATTCGGACGATCCCTCGTTTATCAAGCGCAATATTGTCAAGACTGACAAGCTGAGCCCCGAGTGGATGATGAATTACTTCGGCCGGTTGTCTGTCGAGCAGACCCTTGAGTGCCTTGACTTTATGCTTGAGGCCAACATACGCTTGAACCTGTCGTCAGTTATTCAGATCGCCACCAAGTTCTCTGATCTCCTGGGCCCCAACCGCCTTATCGATCTTTTCGAGAAGTATCACACTGCCGAGGGTCTGTACTACTACCTTGGCAGCATCGTCAATCTCAGCGAGGACTCGGAGGTGCACTTCAAGTACATTCAAGCCGCCACCACTATGAACCAGGTCACCGAGGTCGAACGTATTTGCCGTGAGAGCAACTACTACAACCCCGAGAAGGTCAAGAACTTCCTGAAGGAGGCCCACTTGACTGAGCAGCTGCCTCTGATCATTGTCTGCGACCGTTTCAACTTCATCCATGACCTGGTCCTCTATCTTTACCAGAACCAGCAGTTCAAGTCCATTGAGGTGTACGTACAGCGGGTCAACCCTTCCCGGGCCCCCGCCGTCGTGGGTGGTCTGCTCGATGTCGACTGCGACGAGGGTATCATTAAGAACCTTCTCTCCACCGTGGACCCGTCCGTCATCCCCATTGACGAGCTCGTCTCTGAGGTTGAGAGCCGCAACCGCCTGAAGCTGCTCCTGCCCTTCCTGGAGGCCACTCTTGCTACCGGCAACCAGCAGCAGGCTGTTTACAATGCGCTGGCGAAGATCTACATTGACAGCAACAACAACCCCGAGAAGTTCCTCAAGGAGAATGACCTGTACGACACCCTGACTGTCGGAAAGTACTGCGAGAAGCGCGATCCCAACTTGGCCTACATTGCCTACAGCAAGGGCCAGAATGACCTGGAGCTTATCAGCATCACGAACGAGAACTCCATGTACCGTGCACAGGCTCGTTACCTGGTTGAGCGTGCGGACCCTGAGATCTGGAACTTTGTCCTCAGCGAGAACAACCTGCACCGCCGTTCCCTTGTTGACCAGGTCATTGCTACTGCAGTCCCCGAGTCCACCGAGCCCGACAAGGTTTCCGTTGCTGTCAAATGCTTCCTTGATGCTGATCTCCCCGGCGAGCTGATCGAGCTGCTGGAGAAGATCATCCTGGAGCCCTCGCCATTCAGTGACAACACCAGTCTGCAGAACCTGCTCATGCTGACTGCTGCCAAGGCTGACAAGAGCCGTCTCATGGACTACATCCACCAGCTCAACGAGTTCTCTGCTGATGAGATCGCCGAGATGTGTATCAGCGTTGGTCTCTATGAGGAGGCGCTGGAGATCTACAAGAAGGTCAACAACCAGCTCGCCGCCGTCAATGTCCTCGTCGAGAACATCGTCAGCATTGACCGGGCCCAGGAGTTTGCTGAGCGTGTTGAGCTTCCCGAGGTCTGGAGCAAGGTTGCCAAGGCTCAGTTGGATGGTCTCCGTGTCTCCGACTCGATCGAGTCCTACATTCGCGCCAATGATCCCTCCAACTACAGTGAGGTGATCGAGACCGCCACCCATGCCGGTAAGGATGAGGATCTCGTCAAGTTCCTTCGCATGGCCCGCAAGACTCTGCGTGAGCC